CCGGGTCACCGTGATACCACCTAAAGATTTGCCTTCTCATCCCATCCCATCTGCAAGGCGTTTCACAGCTGCGGAAAGTGTTCCGGGGTTCCATTGGCCATTATCCACCGTTCTCCGCGTGTTCCGTCGACGAACTTGAATACGTCAGAGGAGGATTCTGGCTTAGTCAAGTTGCGGAAGGTTTCCTGCTTGTCTGGCTGACTGGAGGCAATGCCACCTTGCTTCGTCAACACATGGCACGATCAGTCATCATCCGGGCATATGTTTCTTTGTTCGATCAGACGTTCATGACAGCCCCCGCGCGGGGCCACCCGCTTTCGAAGGCACTGAGTGAGGTACGGATACGGACTGAGGGCGGTGATCTGACGAGTTTCGGCTCGACTCGCATCACCTTAGTCACGCGGCCCCCCGAGGCTGTGGATCTATATTTAACGTCTGCCTGCTACAAGGGAAGCCCGCACATTAATGGTTCCAGACCGGAGTTCACATTAGGTTTACTAGGATTCGGGAGGACTATACGGGGCGGCCTCCGGGCGGCCCGCGTCAGCGGACGCCGAAGGCGGCCGAGGCAGTAGTGTCTGCTTTGCCCTGGGCTTTTGCGACTCGTATGTACTGGGTATCCCGGCGGCGGTAAATTGTTTCCGTGAGCGGTGTATCGTTGCTGTCAGTCTCGATCTCTCTACTTTAAGCTTTCATTTAGGGCTGGCGGCTTTTCCATTGGACAATGCTGTCTGACTCGTACGCCGGGGCGTCTTCCTATCCTTTATGAGCCGGCTCGCCGCGAGCCCTTGTTGACCGTGTAGAGAAGGTCGCCGCAGATCCTTGACGTGCAGTCTCCAACATCCCGTGATTGTTCCGCAAGGTGGCAGACTTCGTCATGTAGGAACTCTAACATGTGAGGAGGGGGCCTCTGGCCCTGGACGACGACGGAAGCTTCCAAGACTCCGAGTCTGGATGATGGTATACAGGGAAGGCATCGAGATACTATATAAGAGAGGCATCAGGACCCAAAAGAAGAGAAAGGATCATCAACCCTTCCACACTACTTCAGAGACCTGCCTCATCACTTCAACATTGAAACAACACATATCCTCTATTCACCACAATACCCACCCCTTTCTTAAACATATAAAAATGACCGTCGCCAACGCTCAGAGGCTCGCGCCGACCAAGGCCGTCACCAAGACCGTCTCGGGGGATCCCTCAGGTGTTCCTCCCGGCTACAAGGCCACGATCGGCCAGCTCCAGACCTTTGTCTTGCCCGAAACCTTCACGTCAAGCGCCAGTGATGTGAAGCTCGGCAGGGCCATCGTCGCCGCCTGGCAGAAGGACGGCATCCTCCAGATCGCCATGAAGCCGAACCAGCAGGCCACGTACAAGGCCGCCAACGCGGCCAGCAAGCGCTTCTTCAAGAAGTCCCACGCCCAGAAGGCGGCCTGCGTCGACAGCCAGAGCTATGCCGGCTACATTGCCAGCGGCGAGGAGCTCACGGACGGCATTGCCGACTATAGCGAGATCTTCACCGTCACCAAAGACCTCCCGCTCGACGAGCCCAGGGTGCGCGCAAAGTGGCCCTGCCACGGACGCTGCCCGTGGCCGGACGTCGAGATGCAGGAGCCCGTTCAGCGGTACATGGACAGCTTGGGCGAGAGCGGCGAGATGATCCTCAAGCTGACGGAGCTCGGTCTTGATCTGCCTGAGGGGTCTCTCACGGGCCTGACACGCGATGGTTGGCATCACCTGCGTGTGCTGCGGTAGGTGCCCCTGGATGCTTCCAAAAGCTTTCTCTGTCTGATTTCTGACGTTGGATGTGTAGATTCCCCGCAACGCATGCTACGAATGGCAAAGGCAAGGATGGCCGTGGCATCGGCTCCCATACTGATTACGGACTGCTCGTTCTCGCGGCAGCTGACGACGTCGGTGGTGAGTGACAAGAGCAGCCTGTCGAAGCCCCTTGCGAGTGACTTACACCGTTTAGCCTTGTTTGTTCGGCCCCCGGAGAAGGACGAGAACTTCGCCAACTGGGAGAGGAGCGCTGCCGGCTTCAAGGAAGACGATGAGGGCTGGGTGTTTGTGCCCCCTGCAGAGAACGTCTTTACCGTTTTCCCAGGCACGTTATTGGTTTTCCGAAAGTGGCTTGGCAACAACACTAACCCGCCATCGTACCTACAGGTGACATGATGCAGTTTCTCACAAACTCAGTCCTGCCGTCCACGCCTCACAAGGTTGGCCTCAACATCAAGGAGAGGTTCGCCTTTGCCTACTTCCACGAGCCCAGCTTCCAGGCCGTGATCAAGCCCCTGGAGGGCTACGACGTTGGCCAGGAGCCCAAGGAGGGCATCCACTACGGCAAGCACTTTACCGACATGTTCATGAGGAACTACCCGCAGCGCATCACCACGCAGAGACTTGTTGAAGAGGGTCGCTACGACATGCTGGATGAACACAGCCTGCGCACCATGTCTTCCTGAGATGCCTGGCATGGGAACAGGTGGCTTTGCGTTGATTTATGAGGATGGACATAGATTTGATTTTCCAGATTGCACTAGATATAGACATGACAGTAACGAACGGACCAACAGAACATTCACTCAATACAGACCCTCTTATGAACTGACACTCACCCGTTGTTTTCACATTCTGTCATTTTTGGAAATACAAGATTTTGGCGTTTGCAAGATTTCATGCTTCCAGTCGTGTCTGGATAGTTAGAGTATTGTGCCTATTCGCACGGATGATGAGACGACATTTTGATGTTGATGAACGTGTACGTTGAACCTTGCCTTTTGCAAGCTCGATGGTTGAAGCCATAAAAGTTTTCTCCAAAGAAAAGACATTTGCTCGCTAGACGACAACAGAAAGCGAAACCGAGGGGATGTAGTCAAACGGAGCACTGTGCCGACAGTGGATGTTGGAGAATCGGAGTGGCACGATGGGATGCCAAGGGAAAGCTTCCCCTCACATGTTCGCGGCTCCCCTACAATCCACGCCACCCTCACAACATGTCTTGTCCAGGCCGCACGTATCCGCTGCGCAAACCCAAGAACCATCGTCTCCCCATTCCGCGATGGCACTTGGCGCTCGCGCCGGCCGTCACGCACGTCTTCACCGCGTACATTGGCGTTCAGCGACACGCGGCCGACGAGCCGTGTCTGCGGGCCGACGCCCAGATCGCCTCGGCCATTCGCGCCTGGCTCGAGGCTGGCCATGGACCGGCTGTGTTCGAGGCCTTCGCCATGATGGACGGCGCCGAAGCGACAGACACGTCCGTCTGGGTGTGCTACTGGCAAGATGCAGACAAGTACGACGCTGCGCTGCAGGCGCTCGCCCTGCCGGCCTTGTTCTCGCGACTGGAGACACGCGATCGCGAATGTATCGGTCTCTGGCGCGAGTGTTTCGCCACCGCTCTCCCGAGGCTGGAGACCAACTACTCCGGCCTCGACTACCTGCCAGGGCTCGCAAGACTCCCAGGGACAACGACGCCAGAGCACGACCGCTCAGCGTACTGGGGCGCCGCGCGGGATCGCATCCCGGACGCGGCCCACGATCTCTTTCCGAAGCCCACGGACCCCGTAAGTCTCCCACCCGACAGTGCTGTCCGGGGACGCGGCCAGCACCTGGTGGGCACGAACCCCCATAATCTCGCCCACATCCGGTCCGGCCAATTCTGGGAAAACTGCGGCCAGCAAGAGGCGGACGCGTATGAGCGGAAGCTCGAGCCGACACTGCACGAAGGTCTGCGCTATCTCATGGAGCACCCGCACGAGACGGAGGCCATGAGCGTCCGCTACCTCCGCAACGAGGGGGACGCGGCGGCTTCCGGACGACCACGTAAAGAGTCCTGCGGCGCGGCCTTTTTCGGCAATCTCGACAGCCTAGAACGGTGGGCCAAGACGCACCCCTCCCATCTTGCCATCTATCGCGGGGCGCTGTCGCATTACAAGGCGTTTGGCGATCTGAGGCGCTTGCGGACCTGGCATGAGGTTTCTGTGCTTCACGAGGGGGACGCCGAGTTTGAGTATATCAACTGCGCGCCTGCCACGGGGGTCATGCCATCGATCAAACTTGAGGCGAGGGATCTCTCGTTGTTGACTGTCTGATGTAAGAACCATGTCAAGAGGAGAGCAACTAGCCACGTCCCTTGTCTTCTACGAGACCAGTACGCGTTGGCTTCCGCTGGCCTGCCGCTGGCCCAAAGCCTTCTTCCTCATCGTGCCCACTACTTGGTAGCAACGCTCTTCGTATGCTCGTATGCCACAGCGAGCGATCCACATGACCAACCGCCAGATTACGACGAAAGAGAACAAGAAATGGTCACCGACAGGGCACCATGATCCCCGGTAAAAACAAAAAAGATGGACAATGCGCGAATCGAACGCGCGACCTTCAGCAGACAGTATCGTGAATGATCCTAAGATCATCAGATGCTAAGCAGACGTTATACCACTAAACCAATCGCCCGATTTGTTGAAGCAGCGGCCCGGTTGTGGGGATTGTGATGCTCGCGTGCTGGGGCGAGGCAAATTTTGCGAGGGCGGGTGGGGAGGGCTCGGTCGAGACCGGGGCGAGAGAGGGGGGCTGGATGGCAGGCCAGAAGTTGATTGTCCGACGATTCGAGCGTGGCCCTTCTTTGCGAGGAGGGAGGCTGCCATGTGCAACTTGGGTCTAGAAATCGTAGTACGGCCGAGCCTCTACACAGCATGGCAGCCCCGAGCTTGTACAACACGTCGGATAAATAGCCAATTCAGATAGTATGTACCGGGAATCAACATCTAGCTGGACGCCTGGAAGAGATACACACGAATAGTATGAGATGATGACTCTTCGTTGTAAATCGCTCTCATGGCGTCTCCGTAAAGCCCTCGTCACTCAGAGATTCTAATAGGGCTGAAATATAGGCAAAAGCGTTGTTCAGTCAAGTTACCCGTTCTGTGACGCATGTGATTGGCCTAGGTGAGCAAAAGCTAAATTCGACTGCGGCGAGAACCAACAAAAGTTTTCTTCCGATCGGGGAATTGAACCCCGGTCCCCGGCGTGACAAGCCGATATCCTAACCACTAGACTAATCGGAAATTGATGTCTGAGACTCTACAAAGTCAAACCATGTCTTGCTCGACAGACAAGCAGAACAGCAATTGGTGATGCCAATCTCATACGCTCTCAGGTCGACACGAACCGAATTCTATCACATCGTGTTTTCCCTCAGGTGCCCCCATCCTTTGTACGCACTTTCCACCATCTCGACAACTCTCCAGTGATGCGACGCCTATCGCCTTGAACGAAACGGTAACGGGTGCCCACGACGAGATCAGGATGGCGGTATCGAGCAAGGCGGTTCAATAACTGCCACACAAGAAGCCCGTCACCGTCCCTTCCATCGCACGCGGCTGGCGTATTTTGCAAACTTGGCGACATCCTCCTCGGCGAGCAGCAACTCGACGGTGTAATAATGTCGCGCCAGCTCTTCGTGTCCAGCAAAGCGATGCACAAACGAGTGGCACAGTCGACAGAGCCAGGCTACATTGTCGAGATCTTCGGGCGGGTGCCATCCCCTCCGAACGACCTTTTCGTGCACGAAGCGCGGAATGAGATGGTGATATGTCAGGGGGATCCAATCGCGACCACACAGTTCGCATCCGTCAGCCTGGCTGCGCGTTGCCCGCGGCGGTGGCGGAGGGGCGGTGAGCGCGGTGATGTACTCAGTCAGAACCGGGGCCAGCAGCTCAGGGACGCCACGGGAAAGACCATCGATGATGTCGTAAGTCGTGAGCGAGGCTGCCACATCCGGGTCAAGTGTTGTAAGGATAGCGGACACGTCAGCGCCAGTCAAGGGCAGGGCATAACGTGTCTGGAGGTCGGGATCTGCAGTCCATGTGACATGGGTAAGAGACTGTAGGTCGACGGGAACACTTTCAAAAGTTTGCGTTGCGATGTAATCAGTAAAGTCGGCTATATCTTCGGCGTCGGTAGGGTTCTGGCTGCTGCTGGTCTGTGTCGCTTGTGAGGTAACGTGGCGGGGTTTCTTCGTGCGACGCTTGGCTTTGGTTGAGGACTTTGTCATGTGCTCGACTATGGCGGCTGAAAGACAGTCCCGGAATGTTTCGAACTGCGTTGTGTCTTCAAAGTTGCTCATGATGGATTTTGGCAAGCTGTGCGAGGCATGTCAGGTGACTACAACGAGCAAAGTTGAGACGTCGTAAGTGGATGACGCGCATGCGATGCGCTCGAGGATGGTGCTGGTGTGGGGCCTGTGTGATGCTGGCTTGTTGAGAATATCCTGGATTGGCGCTGGCGGATGGCACGGTCATCAATGTAGACACTGCTGCTTGGTATGACCTTTTTAGTGAAACCGAGGATTGATTCCGTTCTCATGACATGAGGCCCCCATGCAAGGCATCTCACCAGCATCGGTCCAGCACAGGCAGTAAGAAGTCAAAAGAAGCTCGGCGAACTAGAAACGCACATATGCAGCCAACGGCGGCACGGCCGTATGCGTCACCGGCAGCTGGCGCAATATCTTTTGACAGCTTGGGCGGCCACTCGGCAGGTTTGTGCAGAGGCAGAGCGCCAGCTGAGACACACCTCGCGAATTGAGTATATGCACGTCGGTACAAGGATTTTTGTTCCTTTTTCTTTTTTTTTTCTTCTTCTTGGAGAGCTGAAGCGACAAGCCATCTCGGTCGTGGCAGCGCAGAAGCCGCCTTGTCCCCCCAGCAAGCGAGGGGCGTGGCATAAGACTGTCATCGAGCATGGCTGGCAGCATGCAAGAGCGAGACCAGCAAAGGCGAACGCCAAGATAAACGCAAGACGGATGTCTCGGGTCAACGAGGCGATCTCAAGACACCCCGCTAACCTTGTTCATCACCTGGAACAGTATGGGTGAAAGACCAGTTCTGCTGCGGGGGTCTGAATGGCGCCAGGTCAGCCGGTTCGAGACAGATGAGTGAGGCGTCGGCAGCCAGCATTGAGGCAGTGCCGCGAATGATGTGCCTGAGAATGCCTTGACACTGACCGGACCGAAGAAGATGTCACGATGGTATGGGCGAGATGTGGGCAAGACGATCGAGGGTGTGCCAAGGACGAGATGCCAAGAAAGGGATGCACGAAAGGGGACAGCAAGAAAAGAAGGGGACAGCAGGGGACGGCATGGCATGCGAGGGGAGGCGTGAGGGGTCGCCGCGAGAGCCTGAGGTAGGGAAGGTACCACGGTGCTGGGAGCACCTGCCCATGCCCGCTGGTCTGTCCTTTCCCTCTGCTGCCTTGGTTCATCGCATCAGGAAGGAGTGCCGGGATGTCATCGGTAGGAGTCTTGACGGATAGGGGTCCGGCTTAGGGGGTGTTAGGGGGGGTGGATCGCTGTAGCGGGCTCTCGGTTGCGGATTGATTCCAGTGCGCGGGTGGGGGGACCTGCTACGTCATAGGCCATGGTCCCTACCTTGCCTTCCCTGGTCTCTCTTCACCTCCACCTTCCGCCTCCACCTCCAACATCCACCCCCGCGCACCGCTTCTGTTGCTGGTGCTTGTGCCTGTGTTTGTGCTACTCCTCCGTGTCCCCCCTTTTGGATCATCATGTCATCCACTTCAATCATCCCCCACGCAGCCGATCATTCCATCAGATACTATCAGATGCCGCTCACCGAGGTCAAGCTGTCCAGTCACACATAGTACAGCACCAGACGAGACAACGCGCGAGACATGTTTATCGGGCGCTCCCTCTCGACACCCGAAACTAGCCTTATCGCGGAAGAGGCAATGGCAAGCTGTCACCGTCTGCGGCACTTCTACAGTGCCACCCGCGGCAACACGTCAGTCACGATGGTCTGTCCCTGTCAGCTAGTGACCCAGGCCCGTGTCGCCGCGGCACGCCCTCCACACCCCCCAGTCACGAACATGACATCGTGGACCCGCCATGGCCCTCCCACCTTGTCATCGGATCCTTGAGGTTCCTGACCAACTTTGATCTGCATTGTCCCAAAAGGAACAAGACGTTGGGCTGACGGCAATCGCTTTCGTCCGCGGCCTTCAAGTACAAGCCTTCGCCAGACTTTTGGCTTTATTCATCGCGTTTCTACCCTTGCTCTTTACCATAGTCACCCAATAGCACTCAATGTCAAGGTAGCAAGCACATCACGCCCAACCACCACAAACACCACATCACCATGCAGCTCTCCAATATGATGGCGAAGGAGGGCCATGCTGGTGCATGCATCGTCACAAATCCAGTCGTGCCCTCTAAGCTTGATGCGACCACCACCACCGCACCAACCACAACCACCCGTATGACCTCAGCCCATGAGCAGACCCTAGAGCAAACCCTGCAAGGCACCTACATCGACACAATCGCCTCCGTCTCCGAACCCGTTTCCTCATCAACAGACATCCACCACCTCATCACCCTTCTGACCCTCGCCTACAACGTCCGCACCCCGTCCCCAACCCAGCAAGATCGTCTCGCAACCCTGATGCGCACCCTCTCCAGCGACCGCCTCTCCCACGTCCGCACCCCCGCCTACCCGCACGGCTTCTCCCGCGAAGAGGTCACCCACGCCTTCGCCCGCCTCCTCTCGCCCGTCCTCAACGGCCTGACTGGCCTCGTCGAGTTTGAGCACGCCGTCAACGCCGAGGACGACGCCGTCTCCTTCCGCCAGTTCTGGACCCTCGACGACCGCAACCTCCTCGCTGACGCCGTCGCGGGCACGAGTCCACCCGTGGCTGCCAGCGCCACGGCCGTGCCGCCCGAGTTCCTCGAGACCTTCGTCGGCGACAAGACGGCGCACAGGATTGCCCTGACGAGGAATCGCGGCATGCTCGCACTCGTTCCGGGCTGTGTCGGCGCCGAGGATGAGATCTGGTCCGTGAGCGAGCTGAGTGCGCCAGTCATCTTGAGGAAAGAGGCGGGTGAGGGAGAGCCGGTTGTCGTGGAGGGGTATATCCACGGCTTTTGTGATGGGGACGTCGAGAGGGGTGGGGAGGAGGAGAGGTATAGGGACATCGACCTACCGCTGTCGTCTGTGGCGGTGGGGCTCGCGGGGAGCATTCCATGCTGAGGAACCCATTGTGAGCAGGCGAAATGAGGAGCTAGAAGGGTGACAGCAAAAGACGTCTGTCTACCTCGTGGCTTGGACCGAATGCGGAACACATTTGGTCTGAGCAACCTGAGGTTCATGTCGATCACAGGCTGATCGTTCACGATGGCTTAACCACAGATTACATCCGCGAAGACAACACTCAGTTGCAGATGATTACTCCGCAGCATCCGATCGCTGCTGCGCACCTGGGTAGCAGCGCGTCGACAGTCGCTCAATGCCCTCAAGGTCTCCGCCTTTATTGGCAGCTGTTGACGACAGGGCTGGTTGCTTGCGAGCAGGGCCTCCAGATGGTACGACACAGGCTACTTGTTCTGGGCCGGAAATCGAGTCCACGAAGCAAGAACCATCTAATCAGATGACTTAGACATGATGATAGTCTCGCATACTTTCCAATGCATATTAGCCAAAACCACGGGAATACCTGTCTTTCCAACACGAGCTACCTGGGGCTGCATCTCTTCAAGGGATAATTGCATAGTTATATCTCGTTTCTCACTACTTGAGAGAATTGAATGCTCATGAAAGATCAAACAACTTACAGCCAAAAGCCGGCGAGCCTAGACGTGACGCTCCGCCTTCCTTCGAATATCCGTCTCCACCTCAGCACCGTTTGCCGGGAAAAGATGGAAAGTAGTACAAAAGGTTCTTCCGCAGTTTGCTCCAAAACATAGGATACAAAAACCCTGAGTTCTGAACCTCCACAGGTAAGGGGCTTCCTGCAGCCCTACGCATGTGCCTCTGCGGTTTGGTATCCTTACTCCATCCCCTTAGATCTCCTGTTTCCCAACGTAAATGTCTCCTGGCAAGGACAGACAACAGTGTCATTTTACCTACACATGTATCCGTGGATAGAGGAGGATGCGGACATAGATCGAGCTTCTTATCGGAATGAGCCATTACGCTGGAACGCGCTGGCATTATTAACCATGGCGTAGCGGGCCATGCTCTTGTTGACCTTCATACTCGTGCCTGGTCCAACAACACACATAGACAGAGCGGCATACTCTTCAATGAGAGCCTTTGCCGTCGATGCTGCCGTAGCCGCAGCAAAGTTTTGCCATCCCTTTTGCTTGTGACTGTCGGCGTAGTCGCACACGCCCTTGACAACAAGGCACGGCAGGTTTCCCCACAGACCTGCACCCTCCATCTCAAAACCCACAACATTATGACGCTGGGTGAGTCGATCACGGGCCTCGCTGCTCCTGACGACCATGTCGCCGGAAGCTACGCATCCGATGAATACGTGTGGCGTTTGCGCTTCCGACTGGCGACCTTCCCTCTCGTGTTGATACTTTTCGACCACGCGCTTTCGTTCAACCAGGAATCTCTCATCACAACCAGTCAAGCAACAGGCCAGCTTACGAGAAGCAGCGCAAATCGGATCCGTGCTTCTTTGATGGTTGGCGCATACGCATGAAGAACCAAGATGGTGCTTGTGAATGTAGTCGGCTCTGAACAGCTGGTCTCGTTGAGCTCCAGGGTGGTCGTAGATCGAATCCCGACGTTGGGCCAACGCCTTCTCCTGCAACTCTTGGAGAACGATCTTGACTCGATTCTGCAGCCGCGAGCGCCCTGTGGCCTCCAGGTTGTCGATCATATGCTGAAGATCCTTTGGGAGTGGGATCAGGACGTCCTCGATCTTGTCTCTGGTCGCAAAGCCATCCGGATTTTGGCTCCCAAGGTCATACTGAACAACATTCTGACTGATGACTACATCGCCCAACACAACCTCCTCACCGTTGGTCAATGTTGGCGCCCCTCCACAGATTCCCGTGAGCAACACGAGTCGAAGCCTTGGGTAGCTGAACCGAAGGCCCTCCGCGGCGCGTGCCGCGACAGCCTTACCCATCCTTGGCTGCAGCAAGAACACAACGTTGGTGTTGCCCACACGCCCAGTCACATAATTGTTCTGGTCTCCCGGGGCCCGACCATATCGGTCGCCATTTTCATCCCAGCACTCGTCGATAAGGGTGGAGGCAGCGTCGAACTCGAGCGGTAGCGCACAAACAATGGCAACTTCAAAGTCGTTACGGCTGCGAGGTACGGTCGACATGCCGGGGGATTTCTGAGGCAGTACAATGTGAGAAAAACAAGGGCTCTGGGGACGAGTACTGCTCCCGTTGCGGAATGATGGACAAACGAGGCTTTTTAATCGACTAACACTATTGGAAGCGCTCACGTACCCTCCATGTTGGCCGGGCCGCAGCCAACTTGGCCCACAGCTCAAACGGTTACCAGCTACGTGGCGATCGGTTACAGCGCTGGGTGCGTCGAACTACGAGGTGAACCGAGAAGCTGGGCGGCTCCTAGTGCTGATGCCAGTCCTGCCTTCAATTGCTTGGCGCGCGCGTACACCAGTGGTTGGATAGTAGCAGCAGGTGTGAAACGAGGCGACAAGGGTACGAACGACACCAGGACTTTTCTGCTGCTTCAAATTCAGCCTCTGGATGCCATGACTTGGCTCGCAAGCCCTCGAGATTATTCTGGGCAGCCTAGGGCAACATGGCTCGTTGATCACGTGCTGAGGTACAGTGTGTTGAGGCGAAGCTCCTTCGGAGCTTTTTGGGTCATGCAACCGGCATGACCAAGCATATCCAGCAGCACCTAAACTCATCTTCCTCAGTGTATACATGCCCGGTTAGTGACGTTGCGATTTAGAATGACGTCTCTAATACTCTGAGATGCGGTCACAAAGCCAGTTGATGTAGGCTGTCGGGGTGTTATGACGTAGAGCTTTCGAAAGTATTTCGACAGGAGTAATAGCTAGGATTTATTTCAGAGTCATTCTTTTGGGGAGCCTAAGTTTGGCTCGCAGATCTTGATTAAAGCGTTTCCGCAACACCGTGGGGAGGATAGCGACAATGGAGAGCTCCCGAACTAGATGTCATGGTGAGGCAGAAAAAGCCAGCAGAGTGCGCAAACTCAGGAAGTCCTTTTAAGGTTCTTTCCCACAGTGGTATATGACAACCCCGATCCCAGGTTTCCATATTATCGTGTTTCAAACAATGTTTTAATGGTATATATCAGGGCTAATGGCCAGTAGAAGAGCATTGTTGTTTCCCCGAGATTAGTTGCATGCAGCTCCGTCTCCCAGTTGCTGCTAGGTGGACTATTCGATCGTCAGTCGCCACAGCACTGCAGTAGGCAGCGTCAACTGCGACTTGGAGATCCATTAAAGCAATCCCGCTACTTGGTATTGCTCCTTGGATAAATCTGCGGTCCACGAGATCCGGTGCCAGTCAGAGTATAGTAATCCCAAGCCTATGGTCGGTTACTCTAGGGAAGATAGAGATCAAAGCTACACGATGGATAGAAAGCGAATGATCTCTTTCCGTAACTTGTAGTACGAGGTCCAATTAAGCATATTGAGACGAAGTCTCCATCGCCGCTCCGCACGTAATTAAGCGCGGCATTCTACAGAAGTACTGCAGCGACCCACTCGCTTGTGGGCTACGTTACTACACGCCTCTGCCACGACGATGCACGGTAGTGGTAGTGGGACCGCGGATTGCTCTAGTATCCCGAATACCGGCTCCGAATGCCGGTTCCAAATGCTAATCCCGACATGCAGTCCGGAGCTCTCTCTTCTCCTACGGATTTGCATAGAAGCTGAAAGCCGGCTCTTCAGCTCCCCTGTGCCGTGCCAGTACTATATGAAGGCTGCTTTACTCACCGATCAAATGAGTTCAAATAATCAAGTCGGTCAGAGCCTTCAAACCCTCGTGACGTGCAACGCAAAGAGATTCATACCAACATGACGTCTGAACCGCTTTCCTGGGCGCCCCCCAGCTACCCCCCCTCGACGATAGAAAATGATGGTGTAAGATGCCTCCTACCCCCCGCTTATATACATCATCTCACCGACCAAGACCCTCGTGAACAGATATGACGCTCGGAAAACTCTCGCGTACGTCACAGAGGATACAAATAACGTGAATAAGTAAGCAATCGCTTCCAGTAACCCCGTCACTGTAGCTAACTGGAAGTAGCGTCTTCGTTCTATACTGGATCACCACAGAAGATGGTCACAAGTATCACCTCAACTCCAACGCGGGGCTCCGCGGATCAGCCATGCTGGGCTCCTTTGTGTCCTTCAACGATCTCGGGAACCGAAGCGCACGAGGTGGTTCGATCCTAGAACCGGGATCCGGAAGCTCCGAGTATCTCAACATGCAAAGCGCGACCCAGACTGTTGTTGGTCCCACGACCGGGGACAAGTGGACCGGTACACGTCTGACGCTGGACCTCGTCGGTATCAAGCTGGACGTCACGTTCCGGCCAACAGGCGGCAACTTTTACTACGGCGGAGGCGGTGGCATTCAGCTCACCAACAGGGGCCCCGACCCCACGTATGCCACGTCCCTTCCTGGGTGGTCCTGGTACTGGGTACGTAAAAGAAAAATAAAAAAAAAGCCAGGTCTCGTCCGAGATGGGAGTTTCTAACTGTTCCGCAGGCGAATCCGACCACCCGCCTGACCGGAACGATTACCATCGACGGGAAGACGGCCAACATCGACCCGGAACAGTCCTACGCGCTTTTCGAACGACAGTGGGGCAACTTCCACATTGGAAAAGGCTCCTACGCGCTCTGGTTCTACCTGGAGACCGGGGAGGTGCTCATCTCGTGGAACATGGAGCCGGACCTGGACGGCGTGTCAAGGACGGCGTTCGCGTCCGTGTGGCATCCCAGCGGCCTGCACGAGATGATCCCCGTCGGCCCTGAGAGCCGCGCCTCGGAAATCAGCACCAGCCCGACAACCGGTCTGAAGTACTTCAACCGTTTCTATCTGGATCTTCCGGCTCGGGACGCCGAGTTTACCTTCCACAAGTGGATTCCCGATGCGGAACTGACGCCTACGCTTCCGGAACAGAAGAACCAGTACATTACGATTTCCGAGTCGTACGGAGAAGGCACTGGGCGGTGGAACGGAAAGCAAGTCAAACTACAAGGACATGTGGAGCAACTATCTATGCTGAAATGAGTGTGACTCTTGTCTTCCTGTGTCTTTGCGGTTTTGTCCAGGAGGAGGAAGAGAAATGTCATTTAGAAAAAAAATGCCATCTAGAAAAAGATGGTCACTCAGAAAAGAATTGTCATTTAGAACAGTGTGATCGGTCATCTCTTCGAATTTCGTCAATGCTAGCTATCGCACCATTCTCCGAGTCCCACGAGTCGATAAAGGTGGTCGCACAACAGAAGCGCTCACACCGGCCACACTAAAAATAAAACTGCACATGCAGCCGGACTGTAGCCAAGAACCGTATCAGGCTCGCAGGAAGGTCACCATTGCTGCTTCGCCATGGCGATCCCCGCTTTCGTCAGTGAGGCTCGGGGATGGCGCCGCAGCACGTTGGGTAACATGGAATGAACCTTAACACTATCGCATCTCCATCTTGGCCGATTTGCGGAGCAGCTACGCAGCCTTCACTCCAAAACATCGACCGACATACATCCCATGGCCTCACGTATCTTCCCCACGTGTCTTCGTGTTGGGCACCGCTCGAGGCGCAGCGCCTTGGCGGAAACACTTGATCAATCATCGTCCGTAGCCAGGGAGAAGCGATGGAAATGCCTCATGTACAATTGTATGTATTCAGTAATGAGCAAGAAGAAACACTTTGAAGCCAAGAAGAATGACACGTATTGATCCTAACGCCGACCCAAATGGACAAGTATAACCTCGATAACGCTCTTCGTAAATGGAATCCAAATGATGTTGTAAATGTTGTGAAGAGAAAGAGATGAAAGTATTGTTGAAACGAGAGAAAGAAATGGGGTATATCCATCACCAATGTAACCAAAACAGCAAGCCTCCCCACACAACCCCTCCATAAGTCCAACTACCTCCTTCTCTCCGTATAGCTCAGGTCTTCAAACTCAATCGTCGGCACGGGCGGGCGCTGCTGCTGCGGCCATTGCGGATCACTGCTGCTGCGCTGCCTGTGATGACCCAGCAGCGCCACCTTATCACCGCTCTGGCGATGGGACTGCCTTCGATGATGCTGGTGCTGTGTCTGGGCGTGGTGCTCTTCCTCGTCGTATTCGTCCAGCTCTGGCACGGCCACCAGCCCGTGCGAGCTGCCCCAGCTCGGGGCGCGGCCTATCGAGTCGCTCAGAGGTCGGGCGCTATCCAGTGTCCCACCAGTAACAATGACACCGGTGCTGGAGCTCGAGACGGAACTCGTCGTCGCACTGCTGACGCTGCGGTGGGGCGAAGGTACCGCATCAACCGCCCCTTTGTAAGTGTGCTCGCCGGACATGCGGCGCTCACGTTCCATCATGTATTGCTCGAACTGTGTATCTCGCTCATTGTTGTAAGAAGGCCCGGCGCGACCGACGGAAGTTAAAGATGCCGGGGCTTCGGGTTGGCTCTGGTAAACGGCAGCAGGGTTGTGAATCGACGACCCGGAGAAGCGGCGCAAGGAGCTCTCGCCCAGGGAAGCAATGGAAAGGCGACCGCTCTTCGAAGCCGTTCGCTGCTGGTTCTCCAGGTCGTTGTAGCCATACGCCTTAATGTTGACGGGATAGTGGTAATCGTCAAAGGAAGCCAGGCGACGATAGGTCATGATGGAGTAAATCGTCGGTATCAGGATGGCGACGCTGAGCTGTTAGGCAAGAAAAGCAAATGGTAAGAAAAGAGGTTTGCTTACATCAGGATAGAGTCCATGACAAGGCCAACCAAGCTGTAGTGGCGGTCCTTTCTCTGGGTGTACATGACCACATCGACGGACATACCGCCACAGGCGCAAACCGTTTTGACAACGTTGGTCGCCACCATAGTCCATGGTGTAAGCGTCTCCGCGCCGAGCTTAACGAACTCGATCAGTGTGAGGATGAGAACGATGAGTGGCAGGCCGAGATTGGTGATCTCCCATCTGCACCTTGTTAGTCAAGATACACGGCGAGCAGCGGCTGGGTGTCGAGACGCACACTAGCTCCGTGGCTGGAACATTTCCGCCCTTCTTCTTGTCTTCCTCGTACTCTCGAACAGAATGGGCCAGTCTCCACGAAAATAGTCCAATGGTCGCCAGGAGTAGAGATATCTGTAAGACCCAGCACGGCAGCAAGATGGCCATGCGCCACTTTGCCCGCCCAAACTGGGCCTGTTGCCGGTGTAGAACCATGTTGGTTGTGTCGCGGGTCTCAGTCTTCGGTTTCCAGTGTCCAGAGGTCCGGCCTCAGGTGTCCCAGTTCGTTCTGGCGGCTGCTTGCAGTTTTGGCCCCAAGGAGTGGCCCCAGTTGGGGGCTTTCGAGTCTGTTATAAGTCGCAGTCCGTCCTAGAAACGTTCTAGATGGACAGCATATGCACCGGTACTCGGCACGACGCTAGTGGGGATGAAAACAGCGGAGTTGGGATGTGGCTGTGAAGTTCGCCGTTGGGTCGAGCCGTAGAGGGGGTGGACCAGCACTGCACAGATGCCGCGTCAAGCTATATAAAGACTACCTCACAATGACGGGATGAGACCCCACGTAGCCTTATGAGCCAAGGGGCCCTAGAAGCCTAGAAGGAGAAGGTAAAATGATGGTTTGGACGGCGTGCGCCAGGGTCCTGGATCGCTCAGCCTCCGAGCCTTCAAGCCCTCATGCCCGAAACTTCCTACATGCGCTGCCCAGGGATGACCCTCAAGCAGGCAACCAGACGGGCGAGCGGTGAGATGCGGCAGCCACGATGACTGGATTTGCTCTGCCCTGTTCATCCATTGCACTGGGCGCGGCATGCTGGGATCAGGACTGGAGTGGGAAATTACCCAACGGCCGGTTCGGGGAGGCGGAGACAAGCAGGTCGTCCAAGCTCGTGGTTGGTGTCTGTTGGCCGACTCACGATGGTTTGCAGATGTGACGAGCTGAGCGTATTGGTATTTGGCAGTGCGCCTAGGTGGCTTGGGGCTGAGTTCGCTTAGTCGCCAGTGAGCATTCTTGACAGCTCCGACAAGCCCACCACCACCACCGAAACTACCGTGAATGGAATCACGTTGAGTGAGGCTCCGAACTCGTCGTCGGCTTTCTTCTTCGAGCCTGCATTTCGTCCTTGGACTCATCTGCGGAAGGATCTTGTTGCGCGTTTCGAGCGTCTCATCTCGCTAGGAGACAAGCGCCCGTAGATGACAGGAGCCCACTCTCTTCCTGAAGGATTCTGTTCGGGACCGACGGTCTGGTAAGCTGGTCCGGCTTGAGTCGTCCAGGGGCTTTCAGTCGCCAGATCGACAGAGCAGGCTTCGTTGCAATTGCCAGCATCCTTGGCTTGTTGGCAGCATCAGGGTGCAGGCGACATTGGGGACAGAGCTCCGACGAGACGAGTGAACAAAGTCACGGAGCCAACGGAGCCTCCAGCGATCCATGCGTCAAGACAGGGCTGACTGGGTGGGGAGCACATTGAGAATCCGCCCCAGCATGGAGCTAATTTGGGTGACGGGTTCCTGAGAGGGGCCCTAGCGTTTGAGCTCCCAGGCTGGGGCTGAGCTGCTGGCTGTCGGTCGGGTCATTCCTGTCCGCCAGTGAGGCATTTGCTGGCGTGTGGGCTGAGTCGGACGTTGCCAGAAGCAAAGCTGCGAGAGGTCAGCGAGAGCTTCAACGATTCGATGCCTGGTATGTCGTGGAACGTCCTGCGGCGATGATGAATCGCCCTGGTGAGGTGGTCAGCAAGGAGGCGCGTCTCGATGATGCTTTGATGGAGTGCCAGGAGTGCCAATGTGGAGCGGCTGTGGATAGGAAGAGGGGTCGAGGGGAGCTTGGGAAGATCGACTGGAAATCCAGGGTCTCTCGGTGCAGCCCAAAGCCAATTGGTCCAGCCACTGGGGGTGACACTCGTGGCGAGTGTGTGTGGCGTGCATGTGGCGAGTGGACGTGGCGCAAATCGAGATGTGGCTTGACGTCGTTGATGGTCATCTCAGGGGCTTCATCTTGAGCAGCATATTTCGTCGATTGACTTGTCCATCTGGGGGTCATGGAGATGCCCATTTTCTTGTCCCTATTTTCACGGCGTCTCCTCGCTGCATCGATGGTCTGTCATTTGCGACAGGTCAGGCTGCCTGGTCTCGGCATGCCAAGTGAAAGACCAACACTCAAGGCCAAGCATGCAGCCAACCGTCAATACAAGCACTATACACCACCATCGATGTTTCCTCTATTTCTTCTCGCGGCGACGAAGCAGCTGATGCTCGCCATCACCAACACGCCCCCAACACCATATCAAGCAGGGCTAGTCACACGAACAGCCTGGTTCATCACGCTGCAACAGTGCAAAAAAGTGGTGGGCCAGTCGGCACATCGCCGCGTTCAATTTAGATAATAACTTGTCTGCCCAGGTGACGAGAAAATGACCACGTCGTCACCTATTCCCTCTCACAGGGGGTTCGTCCCGCTGTTCCAAAAAATACGCTCATTGAATAAGGTCCTGCCAGTAGTACATGGCTTACTTCGTTTCCTTGCCGAATCCCGTACACGTGGGGTTCCGTTCTCGTCGCCCCAGATTGTGCATCTACCGGGCCGCGGCAGGCTCGACGACGACTTCAGCCGCGTTGAAGGGCACAATGTTGCCGTTGGCGTCGGCCATGGCGGGCGCCGAGACGTCAACGGTGGAGGCCTGGCGAGGCACGAGCCCTGTTTGATCTGTTAGTTTGACTGTGCGACATGGCGACCCCCCCTGGGACGTTTCGAGGACGTACTGTTGTGCCTGGAGCCGACAGAGGCGGCCTGGACGGCGGCGACAACGGCAAGAAGAGTGACGATGGAGTACTGCATGGTTGCGATTGATGGAGTGGATGTCTGACGAGACGGTACTGGTTGATTTCGCGAGGTTGTTTCAGAGAATGTCGGCCGGCGACGGGCAAGTAAGCTTTGATCAAAGAAGAGAAGAGACGAAAGGGAGTGTTAATGGCTGGCTGGCTGAGAAAGGAGAGCTAGAAGGAAGGAGGAGGAAGAGAGAGGCCGGCGTATTTGTACGGCGCCTGGTTGTAGTCGTCTCATGAATGGTGACGTCCGTCTCAGGGTACCCGGCCGTCAACCTGCCATCCAGTGCAACGGCACGCGCTTGCTGCCTTGCTAGGTAGAAGAGGCTGGCTTGGTGCGGCGCCCCAGGTTCATCGTCGCAAGAGCCCGTGTGCGGCCGTTCTCCAACGTGGAAAGGACGAAAGGAGAGGGGGGCAATGGTCGCGTGGTAGACCAAGGCCAGAGCCTCAGACAACGGGGCCAGGGTCAAGCTTCGGACGTGAATCGTATTCCTGACAAGGAACGGTACGCGACGAAAAGGCTTAGCATGACAGCGGAACAGGTGATTCGGGTCGTAGAAAAGGAGATGATCGATGTCGTCTCATGTTTCGCAGACGTCTGAGACGTGGTTTGTGACGGATCGGCTGGACACATGCCTGCAAGGCTTGTCGCAGGATCCTGGGCGTCAGACAGGAAGCGCTCGCTTCGTCGCGGATCCGGCAACACGTCCCCTTCGTCTGGTGTCATCTGTTGTCATGACCCGTAGAGGCTGCGCTGCATCAGGCTCCATGGGGCAATTGAAGAGAGGCATGATTTCAAGAGACACTGCCTCGATGTTTCGATGAGATCTGTAGCATGTTGATCTTGCGTGTCTTGCTGATTCCTTGACGGATAATTCGACAGCACAGCCGGCAGACGATCCGGGTCGGACAATTGATGGTCAGGGGTCAGTTGGTTCAGAAATGAAACGAATGCTCCCCTACTCGTGCAGGGGGTTTGGCTGACGCCAGCGCTGGACGAACTATCGATAGCGTATTTGGTGGGGTCGGTGGTGCTGCTGGGTACCTAGCTGGGTAGCCATCTGTTCGTGGGCTGAATGCTGAGGATCGAGAATGCATTCGACCAAAAACCTTTATGCGAATTCAATCGATGTCAACAATGCCATCCCCATTGATTGTATCTCGACCTTTTACATGAGAGCACGAGTCTTCGGCGATTAACCAAATGCATCGTCTCCCGCCCCATGCCTCTCATGACATGTCCAGTCGCTGGTTGACATGCTAGTCAGCCCCTGTTGCTGAACTAGGTTTACACCGGCGAACCTTTTATACCCTTCAAGGCCTGCTTGTAGCCGCGACTGCTTGTAGCCGCGAACTTTGGATTGAACACCGAGCTCCTCTAGTGTCATCGTGTCTCCAGGGAGCAGCAGGTGCCAGTCTGGGAACTGTTCGCTCTAGCGAAGCTGAGAGGCAAGTTCCGAGCCAGCAATACCCCAGATGCGCTCGTATGCTTTGTCTGATACGCCTAGGTAGACTCCTTATTGCCCTGACACGACCTACCATACGTTGACAATGTCGGTCATGTTGAGGTAGTCGGTGATCACGACGGCGACGTTGCCGAATGACGGGGGTCTTACTTCTGGGTACTTTATGCTGGCAGGCGGCAGCGAGCTCATGACATGGTCTTGTAGAGTCGAGGTGCGAGATGCAGTCTTGGCCATGGAGGCTTCCACGTATCCTGCGGGATTTTTCTGGTATCAACTAACCTGTTCTGCCAACTTCTTTGATACGTCGCTCTTGTTTCCTAGTAGCGACACGAACGGTCCAACTTGAAATGGTCCGTAAGGTTTTGCATACAGAACCCCCTGGATGCCAGTAGCACAAACTACGCATGCGACATGCATGACGAACATAAGATGGGATAGAACGAGTCAAGGAAATAAGGTCCTCTATTGTAGGCTGTGTGTGTCGCTCCTCTCGCGTAGATACAGATGAATGATAATGTACAAAATAGCAGACACAGTTATTCGTCCGAAGTAGCAGGTTCATCGCTCAAAATTTGACCCCTACGCCGGTATCATGTCACCCTGCGTCCGACAAGTCGGAATGCCGAAGCCGCGAGCGCCGCGATATGAGAAACAACACCGTATTTCATTCTCCCTGTGGGTAAGCACAGCGGGGGACTCGACCCACCCCGGCTCTTGACTGCCGGGGGCGGGGCGGACCGATCGGCCGCCGGCTGCCCTCCGTGTTGCGAAGGAGACTCAAATACCCAATTCTCGGGATGTAAAGTACCCGGGGTAGGGAGAGGATTGGCAACTAGGTGCCTCTCGGCCGTGGCTTCCGTTATGCAGCTCGCCAAAGTCCCAACTGTAGGTTCCTCATCAGTACTGCTCTTCTTCCCGCAGTTTTTGCCTGTTTCATACCTTAGAAGCTGTTGTCGGGAACAAGTCAGCATCAGTTAGCTCTGTCGACGAGTTGGGACGTCCAAACACCTCACGCTTGACGCGGTAGACATTTCATTTAGCCCTATGAAAGGCGTCATGACGCGCGTTCCAGCATTTCCATGATGAGGAGATGTTATCAGTCGGCTAGTTACAGGTTGGTGTGGTGTAAGCAACATGGTCCAAGAAGCTCCCACTACCATTCGCCTGACATCACGGACCTGAACACCACTACATCGAATCATAACTAGTCCAAAGCTGAACGCAACAGTCTGATCAAAGCTTACGAGAAATCGCTGCAACTACACCGATGTCGATTCGCTCAACTCCTTCCACCGAGCATCCGACTCAGCCTGCTGCTGACTGAAATGCTGTCCGTAGTTCACCGCGTCCTTCCCCAAGAGCACCCGCACAGGCGGGTCATCGGCCTTGTACAGCGTCTCGATGACGGTGCCGATTTTCGCAATGTCCGATCCTCCGGACGCCGCCACCCCGCCGCTGTCCAGGTTGCCGACATGCCCTGCAATCGAGCCCACAGTCTCGCGGTACGCCTCGTCGATATCGTGCACCTTCATCGACGAGCCCATCCAATCCGTCTGCATGGCGCCGGGCTCGAGGGAGGTGACCTTGATGTTGAAGGGCGCAACCTCGGCAGCGAGCGAGATGGAGAAGCCGCTCACGGCAAACTTGGAGGCCTGGTACGCCGACAATCCGGGCGTCCCTCCTCGGCTGGCGATCGAGGACACCTGGAAAATGTGCCCGGCGCGACGGGCTCGGAAGTGCGGCAGCACCGCCTTGGTGACGTTGACGACACCGAAGAAGTTTGTGTCAACCTGAGCGCGGAAGTCGTCTTCGGCCATGTGCTCGACAGAGGCTATGTTGGCGTAGCCGGCATTGTTGACGAGGAGGTCAATGTGGTCGAACTTGTCGAGCGCGGCGGAGACGGCTGCGCGCGCAGCCGAAGAGTCTGTGACGTCGAGGGGGTATAAGAGCAGCGTGTCGGGATATTGCGCTTGGAGGGGCTCGAGGACTTTTGGGTTGCGAGCCGTGGCAACAACCTTATCGCCTTGTGCCAGTGCGTGGTCGACGAGGGCTCGACCGAGTCCGCGGGAGGTGCCTGTGATGAACCAGACTTTCGACATTGTGAGCAGAGGGATGTTCTATCTATTTATTTGGGTCCAGATGAATTGAGGGTGCTATCGAATTCATGTAGAGAAAGTTTGGATTCCGTGTTAGACGTTTTATACTCGATTCCATCATGTCGTTGTTCGGCGCTCAATGCAGGTCGCCGGATATACCGGACTATCGGCAATCAGGGCACTGACTCGCGCAGACGTGCATGAAGGGGACAACCTCGTTCACCCATGTTACAATAGCCTTTGGCGATGGAGTGATGGCGCCAGAGGACTCACAACAGAAACATGGAGACAGGTGATTGGCAGAACAGCCCGGCAGTTGCGAGAGCTCACGCCAGGGAGGTTACCCGCACGACGCTGCGGGGCAGAGGTGGCGGGCCCGGAGAGACTGCGCACCCGCAATAGATGCCGGGCTGTGATGGCGTTGTGTTTTCGGCAGGGCTACGCAACGAGTGCGTCGTCGTGGTCGGTGAAGAGCACACGTGGCTGGCAACGAAGAGATATGATCGACCGGCGCTCTCGGGTGTTGACCAGCAGTGGACCACGCAGCTTGATGTGGGCAGCAATAATTTGTTGTTTCTCTCGGCACGGTTCGTCATGGAGTCGAGCATCGAGGACCCCGTCCTATCTTGTGATACTTGCCCTTCCCCAGAGCATGGTTGACGACATTTGAACTGCCTGCCATGCCATTCAGGAAACCTGACTGCAAGAGCAATAATGGCTCAGCTGCCGCTAGGGCAGTGCTTTCCATGGATGTTTGATCTTCTTGACAGTTCGGCAGACGCAGACGTGGCAGACGGCGTCCACCCGTTGGCTCACGTATCGTGTTTCAGGGCAAGTCTGGTCGAGGTACCGGCTATAATAGGAGACGGCGCACCTCAGGGTGCTTTCTCGTGGTCCAAGTGATTAGGTTCGATGACACGGCGATCAGGCATCCCGAAGGTTCGACAGTAGCAGGCTGATGCGGCATGCGAATGGGTCGTTATCTCTGCACCTATCTGGTACCTTACAGATGAAGAAGCACTTCCACTTTAGGCAATTCAGTCATCACGAAGATCGGGGTTCGCCTCGGATCATGCATGCCCCTGAATATGCAATTCACCGAGCTGCACCCCGCCCCCACCTTTCCTTCCTATCTCTCACGCTGTGTGACATGACAACGTTCCCCGCGTCAGGTCACGGCCATCGCTGTGCCTGCCTCAAACATCATCACTTCCCCTCATTGCCTGATCACCTGCTTCCTCGTGACACTCGGGTTGAGCACTGCGTCGTTTGACTCTCTCACCTTCTCTTACCTGGGAAACGTCTTGACTGGGCAGAGAAATAACTAGATAGCCCTGAAGACTCCCAGCCCGTCGGCTCCCACAGCTCATGGCTTCCATCGAACACTGTCTCTATTGCTTCGAGGCCCTCGCTTCGCACCTCGAGCGCCGCAAGGGCCGCTCCCTCCACGAGATCCAGCAGTCCTGGGCCGAGTACGCCAAGTCGCAGCCCGAGACGGGCGGCAAGAAGCAGATGCCCGCCCTCCAGCGCCTGACCGAGCCGTCAAGCGACGCCGGCTCCGCCTCGTCCGGCTCCTCGAGCAGCGCGTCCCTGTCCGCCGACACGCCGGCCACGTCGACGGCCTCGCTGCCGTCCCTCGTGACCGAGTCGCCGCTCTTCGTGACCTGGAACACCGTCGCCGGCGGGCCGTCGCGCCACCGCTCGCTGCGCGGCTGCATCGGCACCTTTGAGGCGCAGGACCTCGACGCCGGCCTGTCCGAGTACGCCCTGACGTCGGCGCTGCACGACACGCGGTTCCCGCCCGTGGCCGCGTCCGAGCTGCCGACGCTCGAGGTCGCCGTGACGCTGCTGACCGACTTTGAGGACTGCGAGGGGGCCATGGACTGGACGCTCGGCGTGCACGGGCTGCGCATCAGCTTCGCGGCCAAGGGGCGCCGCTACGGCGCCACCTACCTGCCCGACGTCGCCGTCGAGCAGGAGTGGACCAAGGAGGAGACGCTCGTGAGCCTGATGCGCAAGGCCGGCTGGACGGGCCGCAAGGACACCTGGCAGGACGTCGAGCTCAAGGTCGTGCGGTACCAGGGCAAGAAGGAGAGTCTCGAGTATGAAGAGTACAAGAAGTGGCATGACTTTGCATCGCGGAGCAAGAAGACGAGGACCGGCTAGACGACGCATGCATGGCTCTGCCACGGACGGCAGAGATGGGACTGGCGTTTGGGCAGTGCACGACGACATTTGACAGTCGAGGAAGGGACGGGTAGAGACCTGTGGGTTTCATGGTATGAGCACTAATGCGACGAGGAGTTAAGGCAGTAATTTGTTTTGTTTACGTATGCTTGTCATCTTGCATGTTGGGCATTGCCACATGTCGCAATCGCTGGAAATAGAAGCTAGGCCAGCAACATCCACCGTTCCGACCAGAGCTCAAGGAACAATCTGGCATACTGCCATAGAACTCGTCAGTAGCTGACTTTTCCATTGATGTCGCACAGCTCGTTTCATCCTTGACTTGCCCTCGGCTTGCCCTTCAATGCTCAAAGCAACACCGCCAGCGACGCCAGCATCGCAGCAACACCCCAACGGCCCATCTTCATCGCGCAGCCCGCACCCGGCACGTCAACAGGCACGTCCACGTGCCCTACATCCCACTCCTGTCCAGCAGCATAGATGCCCCAAACCAGCTCCTGCTTCCCGCCGCTGCCGAGCTCGCACTTCGTCTGGCCGCTGGCGCCCACAAGTCCGCCGGCCACCCACGACCCATCCACGGCCGTCGCGCCGCCCGCCGGCGACGAGAAGTTCCTCACGGCCTCCTCGAGAAACGCGGCAGCATCCATGGCACCGATCACCTCGTGGAAGTTCAGCAGCGTCGCGGGCCTGACGCCGAAGATGCAGCTCCCTTCCGTTGCGATGCCGACGAGGGTCGTCGTGTCGGTGAAGCCGCGGGCGACAAAGTAGCCCTTTTCCTCGCGCAGGGTGGAGGCCAGGGCGAGACAATCGGCTGCGAACGGGGAGAGGCTTGACGTGTGCGAGACGATGGAGGAAGGGCCGCAGATGTTCTTGCGGTGGCTGTCTTCGTGCCAGGAGATGGGGGTTGTGGGATCGACATCTGCGGCTTGACGGGGGACGGCTATGAATGGGAGCGTCGGGGTCACGGTTGCGCCTTGCGACATGGGAATCGTTTGCGTCATGAACGTCGCCATCTTGCTGGTTGTGGGATGCAGGGGATAAGGCAGGATAGTGAAACCCCGCGCCTGAATCGACGTGGTTGTCGTGTGCTTGGGGTAGGGCAAAATAGTCAATACCTGCGTAGGGACAGGGGCGAGGCTGGTGAGGTTGAGGAAGCCGGGGATCACAAAACCTTGAGTTTGGGGAAAGAGCGCGAGGATGGCGGCCAGCGTCACGAGGGGAGATATGATGTTCAACATCTTGAAGATATTCAAACCCTGCCAAGTATGTTAGTCTAGGGGGGAGTGGCACGTACCTGCTTGTGTGGTTGCTTCGTGTAGAGACAGTCTGATGAGTGTGAGGCATGTTGCAGAGAGGAGTTAGAGCAGACCTGGGCAGTTGACTCTTATACACTGGCGGCATATCGCGATTCCATGGTCACTGTGTTGGCCAGAGAGAACTGATCCTAGGGCCAGTATGCCATTGGCGCTGTTCAGTGTGTTGGCATCTACACACAAACTTCGCAATAGCAGTGCTCGTACCCACTGCTCTATGTTGCGGGCGTCTTATGTTTGAGAACAAAGCCATCGATTTTGCAGGACAGCCAAGAGCCAAACAACCAAGGATAGTGTATATGGCACAGCGAGTCATCACCGAGCCAATGTTGCAATCAGCTTGTCAAGTCCATTCACAGCCAAATGTAGCATGCGACTGCAGGGTATCGTTGATTCCAATTATACGTGCTACAACAGGGATAGCAAGCCACCATGCTTGACCCTCACTTCGGCGCCAGCATGATCACGTACTCCCTCGTGCTGTGCCCAAACTTGACCATATCCTTGTGCCTCAGCTCAACGTACCGGCTCTCGGCGACCTTCTTCCCATTGAGCTCCGTGCCATTGGCACTCTCGAGATCGATCAAGTACGGCTTGACCCTGCCTATGCGGTCTCCAAACTCGTTCCTCTTCTCCACAAAGCGAAACTGGATGGCAGCGTGCTGCTTGCTGACGCTCGGGTGCTCGGCCGCCAGGTCCACAACCGCCATCTCACGGCCGACGAGCCAGCAGCTCCGCGCGCTGAGGCCGATCGTATCGAGCACATCCTGGCCCTTGAAGACGAACAGCTTCCAGTCGTCCTTGGCCGGCGGCTTGCGCGCCTCGGGCGGCTCGTGGTACTTGAGCACGATCGACGTGCCGTCCGCCTGCTGCACCGAGTTGGACGCCGCCGCCAGCGCGCCGCTGTTGCCAAAGTTGGGCTGCTCCTTGGGCTGCGGCGCCTCCTCGCCCGTCGTCACGGCGAACGAGTCGGTCTGCGACGGCAGGGGGCCCCGGCGGCGCAGCGGTTCAGGCGGCGGCGGCGAGGGCGAGGCGCGGCGCTTCGTGTGCCGGTCGGATTCGCTCTTGGGGTTGCTGCCGGCGGCGTCGTCTGGGGATCTGCGTCTTCGGGGTCGGTCGCCGCGGTCTGCGTCTCGGTCGCGCCGCCTGTCGCCGTCGCCGTCGCGGTGGCGGTCACGGTGGCGGCGTGACGAGTCGGGCGTGTGTGAGCGGCGTCTCTCTTTCCTCCTCGGTTCTCTCGATCGCGAGCGATCCCTGCGCCGGTCCAAGTCGCGGTCTCTGCTTCGCCTGCGGTGCGCGTCTCGGTCTGATTTTCGCGGCCGGTCGTCGCCCTCGTCGCGGTGGCGACTGCTCCTTGCCGGGCGCTCGCGGGAGCCTTCGTCGGAGCCCATTGTTTTGCGGTCGTGGGAGCGTTGCCCTGGAAATGCGCCCAGCAAATTGAGGTTGTCGATTGGCAAGGTAGAAAAAGTGTCTGTCTGAAGTCGAGGTAGGATGCCGAACGCAGAAGCAGGGGTCTAAAGTGGCGACCCACACGAGGCCGACGTCACTCGAAAACACCAAGAATGCAGACCGCAAACATGTCGAGATGTTTTGCATTGGCGGTGCAAAACAAACAATAAAGTCCTGAAACTGCATGATATCAAGAGAATTGATTGAGAAAAAGAAATTCAGACGCATTTCATTCATTGCATGGTGCATGGAAAAACAGCAAAAAGAGTTCGATGCCGCGTAGGACATCTACTTCTCTCAGGATTCGAACCTGCCCTCTTCTTTTTTGCCATAAGTAGTTTGTTGCCAGGGTGCCTTATATGTTGCCTGCGGTTTGGATGCTCTTAAAGCCTTACCGCTCGGCCATGCGGCCATCCTCGCGGTTCCGGCGGTGGGAAGACACTGGTTGGAGGCCTATAGAGGTTGTTGCCTTGGGGCCAACAAGGTGCGGCATTCACAGGCAACACTGGCGAGGCCACATTCACTGGACCGTGTTGTGGCCCGGCCAGGCTTCCTCATGGACGTGACCACGGCCGAGTGATCTACTGACCTCGGTTGCCCAGCCACGTCTTGTTACGACAGTCGAGTATATCGTGGCGAAACACCAGCTGCATTATGGAAAGTAGTCATACACATGTGGTCTCATTATTTATAGCTCGAACATGACGCGTTGAGCTCAGTGTATATTTGCCACAGGGCATTCTTCATAAGACTGCCTCGATTTGAATTGATACTACAGAGAAGACAATCTAATGAGAAGGTTGTGTCCTGAAAAACGAACTTGAAGTCACTTCCTGTCTTGTTTTGGCTTGCTGTTCGCGCGAGTGAACAGTTCGGCATTCCAGGGCGTTGGGTCGTCTCGTCGAAACAAGCTTACGAGCTTCGAGGCCATGGACCTGCTTGACGGAGAGAACATGTCAATCACAACAGGAGCTTCGATGACTTTGCATCTGCCGCGAACAGGAAAGGGTTGCGCACCATATCTGTATCACTGAAAGTTATGCTGTTGTGGCTCTTCACTTCTGTGATTGAATACATACTGGTTGTCAGTTTCACCGTTTGCGTCTCAGCCTGGCCGTTGTTCACCCACTGCTCCTGACGCAGTAGGAACCCCTGAACCAAGAGCAGGACGGCTAACCGGGCATGGCGCATGCCAGACCATGCTAGCAGTCGGCCTGTTCTGTGCAGCGTGAAATGACCTTGGCGCGAACTTGATTCAGTCTTTGGGCAACACGGTCTGAAAAGACCCAGAAGAACAACGCCGTCATCTTGCCAGAACCCCAAAGGGACGACTGCTCTCGGCACCAAGAGAAATCCACTGGTATGCACATGCTGAGCAAGCATCTTCAACACATGTATTGAACTACCACCTGCCCGGCGCTGATGTCACGTTCGTCGAGTACGTCCTACTCGTCACAGTGGCCTGTGACCGCTCCTTCTCCAACTTGGCGAGCCCTATCCTATCTGTGACAGGCGTCGCGTTGATAATGTTGTCAAAGTCGTCGTCGTCCTCGCCATTGTCGCTGTCCGGCTCGACGTCTGAATCGGGTTTCAGCTGCTGCGGCCTCGCGATCGTTTCCGGTTTCTTCTTTTCGGATGCCTGGGGATTGGCGAATGTTTTGGAGGCGAGGACCTTGCGCCGAATCTCCTCCATGGCTGCATCTTCGTCGCTGTCGTCTGACAAGGCGTAGGGATCCCTCTCTTCCTCGTCGTCGTCCTCGTCGTCGTCTTCCGGGTTTGCCTTGTTCTTCTTCACAGGTTTCGTCGCGCCATTGTTGCCCAGATATATGCCATCCACACTCTCGTCATCGTCGTCGTCATCATCATCTGCCCTCTTCTTGCCGTCACCCGACTCATCATCATCGTCGTCGTCCTCCTCCTCCTCGTCATCCGAAGGAATGAGCGCCCGACGGTTGACGTTGCCGCCGGCCCAGATATCGTCCCCCTCCTCACGGCTGTCGGCGTACTCCTTCTCCAGCCTCGCCATCCAGTCTTCCTCGACCTGCTTCATGGCACGCTCGTCCTCGCAGGCGGCATACCGTTTCAGCAGACTGCCGTTGATCTCCAGAAAGGAGGCGCCGTAGGAGAAGGGCGCGAGGACCTGCTCGGCCCAGTCGGGCTTGCCGCAGATGTAAAAGGCGGCGGCCAGGGCCTCGGCGCAGTTGAGACGCCACGGCTTGCCGTAGTTGACCGTGTTGGCGGCGACGAGGTAGGGCAGCAGGCGCTCGCACTTGCCGCCGACCTTGCTCCACTGGACCTCCTGGGTGCGGGCCCAGCTGCACTCGACGACGGCGGCGCCGTAGGCGTGCAGCAGCTCGCTGTCGCGGGGGGAGACGACCTGCTTGCCGTTGGGCGTGATGATGACGCCGTTGAAGCGCTGGCCGAGGTGCAGGTCGCGCATGAGGCCCTGGCGGATGAGGCGCTTGCCGGAGCAGCGTTTCGGGTCGCAGTGGCCGAGGTCCCAGCAGGCGGCTTTGAAGGTCGGGCGCGCGGGGGTCGAGCCGTCGTCTTCGCCGTCGAGGTTGTCGCCGCGGGGTCGGTTTCGGGGGGGTCCGTGGGGGCGGCCGCGCGAGGAGAACTTGTCCTTCTTGTGGCGGACCATGGTCAGTGGAGAGGGACGAGAGGGAGGTTAAGACGTTGAGACGTTGAGACGTTGAGAGGATGAGAGGATGAGAGGCCGAGGGAGAGATGGGTCGGCTCAGCGTGGAAAGCGACAGTTGGGGTGAGGTTGAGTCGGAAATCGAGAGGATCTAAAATGCAACAGAGTCAGTGAAATTTAGGCTCTCGAGGAAGTAACTTCTTCCCTGGCGTGGCGGGGTAGTGAATGCCCCTCCAGGGTTCGAGGCCTCGCCGCTTTAGACGGGCGGTCAGCAGCCTTCCAAGCCTGCAGCCTGCAGCCTGCCTACCTAGGTCTCTAGCTAGGTACCTGGTAGGTAAGTAAGCAAGGTACCTAGGTGTAAAGCCCGAAGGAGTACTTCCCATAGAGAGCTCATCCCGGTGTATGCAGCCGCTATGCAACTAAACAGCGGAGAGCACCAGCTTGGCGCTCCAAGCTCCAGGGACAGCACTGCACACCGAAGCCTAAGCGGCCAGGCTATCATGTAACCCCTCGATGCCGAGCGGCCAGCATCCATTGCCCACACCACGCCCACTCTCTGCCACCTTGTGCCCTCGCTCGCGTCTACACCAGCATCTGCAGCGTCCAATCCTCGCGCTGCTTTTTCTGGCCACTTGTCGTCTTTGATCGATCTCATCCGCCGCCGACACCCAGCATAGTCGCCGCCGCTCGAGCCGGCATCCTCGCCTCCACCTGTCTCTCTCTCTCTCTCTCTCTCTCTCTCTCTCTCTCTCCATCCTCTGCTGCCACCTCGCAGGCCACGATCTCCGACCCATACATACACAGCCAGACCCAGCCAACCCCACGATGGAGGCCGCATCATCGCGGGCGGCGGCGCGAGACCGATGGGGCGAGCTCGGCCGCCCGACGCCCTCGCAGCTCCAGCGCTTCATCCAGGGCGCCTGCAGCCCGGAGAACTACGAGCCGAACCTCGCGCTGAACCTCGAGATTGCCGACCTCATCAACTCGAAAAAGGGCTCGGCCCCGCGCGAGGCCGTCGTCTCCATCGTCAGCTACATCAACCACCGCAACCCCAGCGTCGCCCTGCTCGCCCTCCACCTGCTCGACATTTGCGTCAAGAACTGCGGCTACCCCTTCCACCTGCAGATCAGCACCAAGGAGTTCCTCAACGAGCTCGTCCGCCGCTTCCCCGAACGCCCGCCCCTGCGCGCCACGCGCGTCCAGATGAAGATCCTCGAGGCCATTGAGGAGTGGAGGAGTACCATCTGCGAGACGAGCCGCTACAAGGAGGACCTCGGCTTCATCCGCGACATGCACCGCCTGCTGAGCTACAAGGGCTACACCTTTCCCGAGGTCCGCCGCGACGACGCCGCCGTGCTGAACCCGAGCGACGTACGTGCCCCTGCTCTCCTCTAGGCCCTGCTTCATACACCGAACGCATGCTGACCCGTGGCAGAACCTCAAATCGGCCGAAGAGATGGAGGAGGAGGAGAAAGAGGCCCAGTCGGCCAAGCTCCAGGAGCTCATCCGACGCGGCCAGCCCGAGGACCTGCAAGAGGCCAACCGGCTCATGAAGATCATGGCCGGCTTCGACACGCGCACGAAAACAGACTACCGCGCCAAGGCCGCCCAGGAGGTCAGCAAGATCCAGGCCAAGGCGAGGCTGCTCGAGGAGCGCCTCGAGGCCTTCCAGCAGGGCGACACGATGCAGGACGGCGACGTCTACTCGGAGCTCGCCTCGTCGCTGCAGAGCGCCCAGCCCAAGATTCAGAAAATGTGCGAGGAGGAGTCGGACGACCACGAGGCCGTCGCCAAGCTGCTCGAGATCAACGACAGCATCCACAGGACCGTCGAGCGCTACAAGCTCATGAAGAAGGGCGACCTCGAGTCGGCCAAGAAGCTCGCGAGCGGTGCGCCTCTGTCCGCGGCAGCGGCGGCGGCGGCGTCGTCGTCGTCGTCGACGAGCAATGGCAAGAGCGCCGCGCAGGAGCTGTCTCTGATCGACTTTGACGCCGAGGTGCCGTCGAACGGCACCTCGTCCGCCCAGCCGTCGCAGGCTGGCGGCAGCGTCGAGAACGACCTGCTTGGTCTGTCGATCGGCGAGACGGAAAACTTTGGCCAAGGAGGCGCCCTGTCGCTGGGTTTCGGCAGCAACACAAGTGAGTGCGCTTCTTCGCCTCGATGTTGTGACAGATACTAACAGCAGGTGCCAGATATCCCCGGCCCCGCGTTACTCTCGTCCCTGAACGAAGGCCAGACGGCCAAATCCGCCACCGCCAGCCCTGCCGCCCCGCCCCCCGGCTTCGCCAACCTCTCCTCCTTCACCTCCCCCCCCGCCTCGCAGTCCGGCACCCCGCAACCGCAAGCCAACTACATCTTCAACAAGCCGCCACCCCCCGCCCCAGCCTCCGATCCCTTCGCCGCCCTCGGCGCTAGCTTCTCCCCGCCGCAGTCGACGACGCCGGTCCCCGCGGCGGCGCCCACGTCCAACGACGACGACGAGTGGTCCTTCTCCTCGGCCCTGCCCCAGGCCGCGGCGCCGACGCAGCCGCGCGAGCACAAGGCCGTCATCAGCGACGGTGGCGTCAGGATCGAGATGCTCGCCAACCGCACCACGGCCAACAGCAGCGCCATGAACATTGTCTTTGCCTTTTCCAACACGACGGCGCAGCCCGTGACGGAGCTGCACTACCAGGTGGCCGTGACCAAGGTACGTCTCCTTCCAGGACGTGATTTTTCCTGCTTGCCGGACTTTCTGCTCGCCGGACGGATTTTTTGCTTGCGGATCGTGCCGGTGCGAGGAGCGTAGTGTGTGCAACCGCTAACCGTGCGCAGGGCTACGAGATCAAGATCAGCCCGCAGACGGGCGTCGCGCTCGAGCCGAAGCAGAGCCGCGGCGTCACGCAGACGGTCGAGGTTAACCACGCCGGCGACAGGAGCCGCAAGGTCGAGGCGCTGAAGCTCCGGTTCAGGGTGTCGTACAAGGTCGGCGGTGCGCTGCGCAACGAAGCGGGTGCCGTGTCCGAGTTTAGCATTGCGTAGGGGGGGTGCTTGGGGGGGCTGTTGGAAGGTCGGTGAGCGGGTGAAAAGCCTGTTGTAGAAGGAGGAGAGGAGAAGGGGAGAAGAATCTAAGGTGCTTCTGAGATGTGATGTTTGATGTCCTGCTCCGGTGTTTTTGCCAGACTTGCGTTTGAATGAGGGCTATGTCAGGTTGGCTGAGAAGTGAGAAACTGGATTTTGTGGCCGGCTCTAACACGCAGGTTGGGTCGTGTATCTTGCCGGACTGCGTGCGAGCGAAAGTCTAGGTATGAGGCGATGTAGAGGTAAGATCTGGAAGGACGTTCTTCTGCTTGGTTGGTGAAAGTTCTTTCGACTTTCCCTTCAGTCCCGTCCTGGTTGACGAGCAGCTTGGTGGGTGTATGACAGGTTGAAGGAATGATGTCTCTCTCTGGGGGTGCTTAATCTTTGCAGCTTGGCGTACAGTGACAAGTATAGATACAAACCTGGCATTGAGGCGACAGGTTGAAGGAATGCTATCTCTCTATCTAGGGTGCTGAGTCTGTGTTTGCGCGAGACAGACAACGACTGGGCTGGCACCGCGGCGACAGAATGACATGATGTCCGGGTAATCGGATTGAAGTGTCACTTCGCCATGCTCCGTTCACGCTCAAGGCTCAATGTGGAAGAACTCTAAACCTGCTGGCCTTGACTAGTGAATACCAGTGTTCATCTGGCCGTTTACATCGGCTGCACGCAGTCGACTGCGTCTATCACCTCTATACATCCCTGCCAGGGCCGTAGTAGTACACATCATCGTACAATCCTCGACACACGCATCGTACAGCGTCCTCGGCATCCTCGACACCTTACAGCGTCCTCTTCTCCCGGACCTCCTCGTACGTCTGCACCTGGTCGCCGACCTGGAAGTCCTGGTAGCCCTCGAACGAGATGCCGCACTCGGTGCCCTTGCGCATCTCCGTGACGTCCTTCTTGCCGTGCTTGAGAGCGTCGATTTTGCCTGCGCGCGTTGCCGTGTTAGCCGTGTTCACCGTGTCCAACGCGGGAGACAAGAGAAGGAAAGGAAGGAGAGGGAAAGGGAAAAGAAGGAAAAGAAGAAGAAGGAGAAGAAGACACGCACCCTCGAACACCGTCTCCCCCTTACGCAGCACGCGCACCATGCCCGTCCGGCTGACGAGGCCGTTCCGGATCTTGCAGCCGGCAATGTTGCGGAAGGCGCGGCCCCTGGTGTTGATGGGGAAGATCTGCAGCACCTCGGCCTCGCCGACGACCTTGGTCGAGACGACGTCGGCGAGCTCGTCCGAGAGGGTCTGGCGGACCTCGTCGGCGAGGTGGTAGATGACGCTGTGGGCGAGGAGGCGCACGCCGGCGGCCTCGGCCATGCGCTTGATGTGCGGCGCGACGGCCACGTTGAAGTGGACAATGACGCTGCCGGACGTGGCGGCGTGCTCGACGTCCGACTCGGACACCTGGCCGACGGCCGCGCGCAGGATCCGCGGCTTGACCTCGTGGTTGCCGAGCTCCTGGATCGTCGCGCAGACGGCCTCGACCGAGCCGACGACGTCGCCGCGCACCGTGAACGTGACTGTCTTCATACCGCCGGTGGCAGCGTCGCCACCTTGGCCGCCGTGTTCCGCGGCCTCGTCGGCCTCTTCGGCCTCCTTGCGCTCGCGCTCGCGCGCCTCCTGCTCGACGAGCTGCCGCGACGACTCCTCGCGGTAGCGCATCTCGGTGCGGTACTCGACGGCCCTGCGCGCGCGCTCCTCGTCGGGCGCCTGCAGCACGGCGTCGCCGGCGGCGGGGAGCTCGTCGCGCCAGCCGAGAATCTCGACGGGCGTGCCGGGCGGGGCCTCGGTCAGCTCGACGCCGGCCTCGTTGCGCAGCAGCCGGACGCGGGCGCGCGCCGTGCCGGCGACGAGGCTGTCACCTGGGCGCAGCGTGCCGCGCTTGACGAGCACCGTCGCCGCCTTGCCGTCCTGCCTGACGCTCGCCTCGAGCACCCAGCCCTCGCACAGGCCGTCGGGCTCGGCGCGGACGTCGAGAATCTCCGACAGCGTCGCAATGTTCTCCTCGAGGTCGTCCATGCCCTGGCCCGTCTTGCCGCTGACGCACACGACCTGCACGTCGCCGCCGAAATCCTCAATCTCGACGCCGTGCCGCGCGAGGTCCGACTTGACCTGGTCGACGCGCGCGTCCTCCTTGTCGACCTTGTTGATGGCCACAATCATGGGCACCTTGGCGGCGCGGGCGTGCTTGATGGCTTCGAGCGTCTGCGGCTTGACGCTGTCGTCGGCCGCCACGACGAGCACGACAATGTCCGTGACGTGGGCGCCGCGCTGCCGCATCGTCAAGAAGGCGGCGTGGCCCGGCGTGTCGAGGAACGTGATGTGCTTGCCCGACGACATGCTGACGACAAAGGCGCCAATGTGCTGCGTGATGCCGCCGTGCTCTTGGGCCGCGACGGACGACTTGCGCAGGTAGTCCAGCAGAGTCGTCTTGCCGTGGTCGACGTGGCCCATGATGGTCACGACGGGCGGTCGCGGCGGCAGAGACGAAGGGTCTTCGGGCTCGGGGCGAGGTCGCAGCTCGCGGTCGCCGCCCGTGTCGACCGTCGGCTCGAACCCGAATTCTTGCGCCACGAGCGCAGCCGTGTCGCCCGTGAAGATGCTGTCGAGCGTCATGTTCTCGAACCCCATCTCCTCCAGCGATGCCAGCAAGACGTCGGGCTTCAGCTTGAGGCCGTAGGCGAGGTTCGTCAGGTTGATAAACTCGGGCAGCGTGATCTTCGGGGGGCCGGCCGCCTCGAGAGCCTCGGCCGCCTCGAGCTGCCTCTGCATCTTCTTCTCGGCCTTGCGTTCGCGGCGCTCGCGGTCGCGCTGGGCCGCCTCGTCGTCCCAGTCTTCCTCCTCTTCTTCGAACCGTGCCCTGCTCCGCCCGCCCGACTTTCTGGCCGCCTTCTTGTCTTCACGCCCGACCTTGCCTCGCTTCCTCGCGTCGCGATCGATCTGGTAGGACGCGTCAAAGGTGGACTCCCTGTTCCTCCGCTGCGGCTGCGTCTCCTCCGGCTCCGCCACCGCAGCGTCCCACGCGCTGTAGTCGATCTCGTTCTCCTGCTGCACGTCTCCGAGGCCCTGCTTCTCAGCGCCCTGGCCAGAGCTCTGGTGGACATGATCCTTGAACCGCTCCCAGAAGGAGCCCGCCGCGGCCCCCTGAGCGCGGTTGGCCCGCGGTCCCCTCGGGCCCTGTCGTGTCGTCTGGCCAAGCTCCTGCCGCGGTGCCCTCTTCGCGAGCAAGCCCCAGTCCGCAGAGCCGGATTCGTGCGGTCTCGATCGCGGTGTCCTGGCCTTCTTCTCGACCGAGTCCGCCAGTCTCGCAAACGGATCGCTCGAGCGCGGCGGCCCGTCCAACCCGCCCAGCGAGCCTCGAAGGCCCGGCTTCTCATCGAGCCCCATCGGGTTCGCGGCCCGTGGCGCTGCGCGCGGCGTGGTCCGGTGCGGTATGGGCGCCACAGGCCGAGGCCCCGCGCGAGACCGGCCGATGCTGTCGTCGAGCGCGCCAACGTGTTGCCGCGGCCGCCTGCCGAGGGACGGGAGGCCTTCTTGCTTGTGCGGCGGCGTGCGGTGCTGGTGGTGGTGCGGTGTGGCCGGCTTGGTCGGTTCGGCGTCGGCGGCTCGTTGGGCGGCGAGGCGCTGGCGGGCGGCGCGTTCGTGGGGAAGGAGACCATCGTCAGGGGCTGGTGTGCTGGACGTAGCTGTCGGTGCGTTCGAGGAGGATGTCGTCGAGTCGTTTTCGTTCACCGCTGAAGCGTTGGAGGCGCCGAATGCTGGGGCACCCCAGCCGCCATGGCTGGGCCCAGAGGTCCTTCGTGGGATGGCGGAGGACGCTGCGGACGACCAGCCGCCGCCGAGACCTCCACTAAGTCCACGGGGGGCATGGGAAGAGGAGTTCGGGTCGCTCGAGTAGCTTCGTATTGTGAGAGGGGTTGGTCGTGCGGCGCCGTCGTGGCGACAGAGGGCGCAGATGTACGTGTTGCCCCTGTCCTGCGGCAGGTCAGCATACGGGCGGCAGGGAAGCGGCGGAGGGAAAGAATCATACCCGTAGGGTTCGACATCGCAGCATGGTCAGACAGGATGCGCAGCGTGTGAAGCTACGACGACTGGGATACCTCGTGGGGGATCGAACAAATTTGGAGCTCGTCCGAGTTGGACTGATGGACATTTCTGTATCGGGGTTCATCGGTGTGCTTTGTTGCATTATGTTCAGTCTGCATAATAATGTACCTATCCGACATATCCACCAAGTCCAAAGCTCTGAGCTCCTGAAGCTGCGAGCTCCTATTATTCCCCTCTCGGGTCTCACTCTGAGAAACGCCTCCATCATCGCGGTCACACACACACAATCACCGTCATGGCCCCCAAAGTCAAGGCCGTTCGCTCGCGGGCCAAGCCCCCCGCCCGTCCCAGCGACCCGACCGTGCCGCCGGCCCCCTTCAAGGCGCCGGCGTCGGTGCTGGCGCCGTTCCTCGCCCACCTCGACCCGGCGCACGTCTACATCACGCACATCGACCTCAAGCCGCGCGACTTCAAGCGCAACATCTTCCTCGTGCCGCTCGGCATGAACGTCGTCGTCGTGCTCCTCTTCCTGCTGCGCACCTGGTCCATCACGCCGTACTACTGGCGCCTCGTGCAGTCGGGCCTCGGCACCGCCAACGAGACGACCTTCCCGGCCGCCACGGCCACCTGGGCCCAGATCGCCTGGGAGGTCGCCAAGCGCGGCGCCACCTTCTCCCTCGACCTCGTCCTCGTCGTCTTCGTGTGGCCGTGGCCCGTCGAGTTCGCCCTCGGCCGCACCCACGGCAACCCGCTGCGGTGGCGCCGCCGCGTCGGCTTCCGCGACAAGGAGATCTACGTGCGGCGCAGCCGCGACTGGGACCGCAAGCTCCGGACGCGCGGCGCCGACGGTGACGGTGACGGCGACGGCGCCGACGTGCTCCAGAGCGCCGAGACGCGCGGCGCCCTGCTGGCCCTCGTCCGCCAGGCCACGTCGCCCATGCTGCAGCACGAGAAGACGGGCTACCTGACCATGAACGGCGAGTGGGACCTCGACTGGGAGGCCATGGTGACGGCGCACGCCATGGTCGACCGCAAGGCGATCGCCGTCGACGCCTTCCGCGCCGTCGTCCTCGTGCACCACGTCGAGTACGGCTGGATGGCGCTGGCGCAGCCCAGGGAGGACGCCGCGCAGGAGGCCGACGTCGACGTCGACGCCCGCCGCCGGCAGGTCTTTGAGTTCCGCGACGCCCTCGCCGCCGTCGGCAAGGAGGACCTGTTCTTCCGCTGGATCGAGATTGTGCAGTACGAGTCGACGCAGCCGGGCGGCTTCGGGCCCGAGCGCCAGGTCGATGCGGCCAAGAAGATTCGCGACCTGTTCAGCAAGGAGGGCATTGACTTTGACGAGTTTTGGAAGGAGAGCGTCGGCGAGGATGCCGAGGCGGCTTTTTAGCTTCTGTCCGTTTGGGGCATGGCATGATGTTGTGTACGATCAAGATGGGAGGTGGTGGTTTTTTGGCGGACAGACTGGCCCGGCGAAATGGACAGTATAGAAAGGGCGGCACAGAGGACCGCACAGAGGATGCACAGAAGGACACACAGAAGGACGCACAGAAGGACGCACAGAAGCACGGCACAGAATGCCCACAGGCAGTAGGTCTATGACAGCAACTAGACGGCACGGTACGGAAAAGCGCATCAAGACGAGGCATGTTGCCTCTGGTTCTTTATTCCAATGCATCACATCATCAGTACACATGAAAAAGGCGACCGTGGCGTCGGGCTTCGGCTTCGAGCTTCAGCTTCGAGACACACGGCAACACTGTTTGACAATCGGTCCGACCGGGAGATGTTCATGACTCCCCGTCCGCCCCGACACGAAGAGGACCAAGGCGAGCGACACGCTTATTTGGCCTTCTTGCTGGTCTTCTTGCCGAGGGCCGCTTCGCGCTTCTTGGCCTCCTTGGCGTCAATCTCGGTCTTGCGAGCGGCCTCCTGCGCGTCACGCTCCTCCTTCTCGGCCTGCATCCTGTTAGTGTGCTGTCCTCAAAAAAGAACAAAAGGAAAAAAGGTGAGGAAAGAACGTACCGCCCGACGCGCGCCCTCGGCCTCGCGCTGCTCGCGAATGAGCCTCAGACGCGCCATGTCAGCCTTGGCCTCGTCCGTCTTGCCGGCCTCGTGCAGACGCCTGTACTTCTCCTTGGCGACGAGGGCCTCGGCGCTCTCGCGCTCCTTGCGGTTCGCGGCGCCGCCGGCGCTGAGCCCCTTGACGCCGTCGGTGACGTCGTCGACGCCGGCGTCGCCGCTCTTGACGGTCGCGGCCTTGGTCTGGTTGCGCGCGGCCTTGGAGTGGTTCGGGTTGGCGGGCATGTCGTCGTCGTCGTCGTCCGACTCCTCTTCGTCCGAGTCGCTGGGCGGCATGTCGCCGACCTCGACGGCCTGCGCCTTCTTCTTGGCGATGGCGGCGTCCTTGCGGGCCTTGGCCAGCTTCTTGCGCTCCTCGCGCGACACGGGGCCCTTGTCCTCGGCGGCCGAGTCGTCCTCGTCGTCCTCTTCGTCGTCGTCATCTTCCTCCTCTTCGTCCGAGGACGCGTTGGCGCTGCCCTTTTCTTTGGCGCCGGCGGCCCACATGCTGATTTCGTTGCCTTCCGAGTCGACGGGGCGCAAGTCGCGGGAGAAGTGCTTGCCGCCTTGGTCTGTTAGCGCTGTCTGTCTTTCGGTGCATGTCTGGTGCAGTTTGGGGGGCAGGTTGGATGGTTGGGACGTCAGGCGGGTTACGTACCACCACGAGTGTACTTCTTGAACTTGCCACCGCGGCCGCGGGAGTTACCACCAGGAGCACCACCAGCCATGATGATGAGGATGTGTCGTGTGGGGGGGGGAAGGAGAAGAGAAAGCGGTTGAAGGGGGAAAGGAGAGGAGAACAAAGTGTGTCAAAGAAAGGAGAGGAGCAAGGGTTCGTCGATGGTGTGCGGTGCTGTTGTTGCAGAGGTGCAAGGCAGAGGCAGATGGAAGAGACTGCGGGGTCGTTGAAGTGGGATGTTTGGTGTTTTGGGTGGTGGCGGGGTATCGGCGGTGGGATGGAGGGGCAGACGGGTCCGGCCAGTGACAGGCACGAGGAGCAGGCGGCAGGGTGAGGAGAAGCTATGAACGATAGTTGTATGAACGATAGTTGTATGGATGCTATTTGTACGAATGCTGTTTGCATGAACGATGGCTACATGAATGATGACTGGAATGATAATTGTCATCGCAGCACGGCCAGGCCGGTGACTCGAGCAGCGCGTCCTCGTTCAGGCAGAAATCACGGTCACGGCAAGAGGCAGCCAGAGCGGGCAAACAGCACACGAGCACCTGCCTGCCTGTACATGTACATGCACTGCTCTTGCCTCTGCCTACCTGCTGTACACGCACTGCTCTTGCCTCTACCTGCTGTACACGCACTGCTCTTGCCTCTACCTGCTGTACACGCACTGCTCTTGCCTCTACCTGCTGTACATGCACTGCTCTTGCCTGGGGCTTCCTGCCTCTCTGCCCTTGGGCTCACTGCCCCTCAGTGGAAAGCGCCCCTCAGTCGACGCCCTCAGTCGACGCCCTCAGTCGACGCCCTCAGTCGAAGCCCCTCAGTCGAAGTGTCAGTGCCGTTTCTTACTGGCGGCACGACATGACGAGGGTCCCCGCCCAATGCTGGGTTTTAGGCCTCGCTTCATTGGCTCGACACCCAAGCCTCCACACACCCAGCGCCGCCGTTCCTGACGGTGCCTTGGGTGCTTGGGTCTTGGGTGCTGGGTGCTGTGTGCTGTGTGCTGTGTGCTGTGTGCTGTGTGCTGTGTGCTGTGTGCTGGGTACTGGGTGCTGGGTGCTGGGCTGGGTGCCTCTTGGGTCCGACTGCAGCGACAACGAGTCTCTGGCGGTGAATCGCGTGCCGGTACGAACGAACGGGCAGATCTCGGCAGCCCAATCATCCCCCCCCAATCATTTCATTCGTGCCCAATCATTTCCCGCCTCACACCTGGATCAGGGGATGCAGGGGCGAGGCGCCTGATGCCGTGCGCTTGCTAGCGATGAGTGCCCAAGGTTGGGTCATCACGCTGGATGGGAAGGCCGACGAGTGCGAACGGTCTCTGGTCTGTCATCTGCCTGGCCATTTGCTGGCGTCAAGGCGTCTACGTAGTGTTGGGAGTGGTCCAATCCACACAGGTCCAGTGTGAGGCTGGACTTGGCTGGCTCGACCATACCCATGAGTCACAGTCGACAGCAGGGGGGAAAAAAATACAGAGAAAGAAAAAGACGACACGACACGAAACAAAAACAACGAAGCTGCGCTCCGGTAGTGCGATCCTTCCGACCGGAGTCGAGCCGGTGACCTTTCGATTGGAAATGAAGACCAGTCACAGTCGAACTTGATGAACCAACTACACTAGGTACCTACGGAAGGATTTGATGAGGCTGCCGATTTTCCTGTGCTCTGAAGAATCGCGGGCTTGCGTGCCAGAATGCTGACTCATCTCGGATCGGGCGCCGCTGCGCCGAAAAAGAAAAATAGACGAAATCCGCCCCGCAGCAGCAGGGGAACAAAACCGCGCCGCAGCCGTCGCGCTTTTCCCCTTTTTTCTCCTTTTCCTCTTCTTCATCATAAAACACACTCCCCTCTATTCACTCTAGCTTTCATTCCACCATGATTGCCTGGAGGGGAAACGAGGGGACAGACGAATGCTGGTCTTTACGTTCTCTTACCCTCTGGCCCGTGGCAGCTTGCTGTGTTGGTGCTCAGAGAAATTTTTCGAACGGCACATCCTGATGAAGAGTGACGCGTGGGTGTGGTCGTGGGCGTGGGCGTGGGCCGGAGTGGCGTGGTTCGTAGGGGCCTGTTGCAGCCTGCTTTTCGTCGTATCTACCTCTCACGGGGACTCTTTGAACGCTTTGCATACTGCTGTCAGGGAAGCAAAGCGTCTCGACGTGACAGGGCCTGTCTGTCGAGTCTGAACGCCGTGCCGAACGACGTACCAAACGACATCGCTCATGACAGTTGGCAGCTGGCAGTATCCTTGGCCGGCCTATGCAGCCGCCAGCTGTCAAAAAATACGGTGAACGCGACTGATGTTGTCTGGGCCACCAGCGTCTGCAACTGAGGTCAGGCGGCCATCGCCATGTCCTGGTCTCTTGTATGTCCCGGTCTCTTGTATGTCCTGGTCTCTTGTAATGACACCGGATCAGGCCTTTCGATGCACGTTCGAAAGTCAAGCTGGGAACCGATCCTCGCAGATGCCCTGGCAATAACAACATCGGGCTTGCGTCCCCGGATAAATTCTCACCCAGTTCTTCTTCATCGTTTCTGGCAACCCGCTGTGGCATCCCAGGCAGGTAGGTACCTGGCAGATCCTGAGGCCATGTCATTCATCGTCACGGTCATCATCAGCTGGTCGCAGAGAAATCCATCTTCGCTAGGCCAGGCTGGGTTGGGTAGCCTTGCCGCTGCTGTCGTTGCCATCAACCAACGCGGATGGTATTCATTCCGTACACGAGGCCCTCCGCAACAGCTCCCATTCCTGGTGAATACTGCACTGAACATGGAGTGCCAGTTTATCCACAGGTCACAACATGAGCAAATGCTGTGCTAAAGCGGGTGCCAAGCAGGTGCTAAGGCGGTGCGCCTTGTCCTCCAGCTTGGTAAGAACAAAGGTACAGTCTGCCAAAGATGACGAATGAACACCCCACATCCTGCTCACTCGTCGATGTTGAGACTGTCATTCACGCTCTCCAGTGCCTTTGATGAACTTGTGTCTATATCTGAACTGATGGCAAACAGTCAAACATATGCCCCCCTCAGAAACCCAGCTGTGCATGGTTCCTGATCCGGCAGAACAGATCAGACAACGATTGGTGAAGAAGGGCCCAATCTCTTCCGCCTCCTACAGCCCTGCAGCCCTGCCACAGAACCATTGGCAGTGCATCCGTCTCAGGTGCGCCACTAGTGCATCGTGCAGTGAAATCCGGAAGGTGCCGGCGCTGCGCCGGGCAGGTGGGGCCGAAACACCGGCAGTCACGACGACGAGGCCAGCACTATCGGTGCCTACCCGGAACAGTATTTAGTCCGGCTCCGGGTCTCCCTCTGGCCTTCTTTCTTCTCCTTCTCCCACATCGACAAAGACCATGGCCGCTCAGATCGACCGCCAGCGCCCCTCGACCTCGACCTCGCCCCCGCCCCCGCCCCGCCCCCGTGGCAATGTCTGCCGCACCTGCAGACAGACGCTGGTCCTCCCGCCCCCCGTCGCGGCCGTGGTCGCCTCGGGCCCCTTCGTCGTAGCCCATCCGTCCATCAGCCGCACAACGCGCCGCTGCCAGAGCTGCGACGCCGACAGGGCCCGCAGCCTGGCCGGACCGATCCTCGCGCAGCTCCACAGCGCCGACAACAAGATCGTGCGCCTCAAGCGCGAGCACCACCACCTCGACGTCACCGTGTCGCTGCTCGTGCGGTTCCTGCCGCGCCATCCGCGCGACGACCTCGACGGCCACTCGCTCCTCATCCGCAAGCAGACGACGCGCGACTGCAAGCACACGGAGCTCGTCCTCTCGGCCGCCTGCGCCAAGGTCCTCCTCAGCGACGCCTGGGCCGACTACTGGGCCATCTGGGGCTGCGCCGGCACCGGCACCGGCCACGACGCCGCCGTCGTCCGCGCGCGCGACTAGGCGTTCATGCGCGAGGACTGGATGCTCGAGACGACGCCCGCCGAGGACGCCGAGCGCCACGCCGTCGACGAGCTGCTGTACGTGTCCATGGCCGCCATCCGCGCCCGCGCCGCCCGCGAGGACCACACCTTCGACCTGCTCGAGCCCGTCGACGTCAACGCCCGCGACCCCCGCTGGATCGCCCGCCGCGCCTGCTGCGTCCGCCTCGCCAACGAGTTCGCCGCCGCCTGGGACCGCGACCACGACGACCCCGCCGGCAGCAGCAGCAGCAGCAGCAGCAGCCAGACGCCCTTTGACCGCCTTCACCTCAGCGGACAGTGGCCCGGCCGACGGACCCAGCCGCTGCGCGAGGAGGACCCGCGCCACCCCGGCGGAGGACCCCACGATCACCTGTACACCCAGGACAGTCGCGACCAGGAGGCCGTGCTCGACCGTGTCATCGCCGCGCAGGACCGCGCGCGCCATGCCGAGCGGGAGAGGCGCCGCCTCCACGGACCGAACGGATACCACCCGGACGAGGCGGCAAGCAGCAACGGTGGCTATCCCTTCAGCGACTATTGCGCTTGGTGATGGTGGCTTGGGGTCTGCGCTGGCCAACGTGTGTCGTCTTGCCGCACTCGGACGATGGCATCTTCCGTCGCTGTTGGCGGCAGCGAGACGGCTTGGAATGGTTTTTTGGGCGTTGAGGTGTGGAATCGACATCGGGGGTCAGAACACGAAATGATCCAGTCACGAAATGATCCAGTCACGAAATGATCCAGTCACGAAATGATCCAGTCACGAAATGATCCAGTACACGAAATGATGCGAAGCCAGTATCATATGGACGCGACAGCTTGCAAGGGGATGACTTCAGAAATTAATGAAAACAAAAAAAAAGCTTGCAAGGGAATGACTTCGGAAAAGAACAAGCGATTTTCCCCTCAAGTACATCAACAGAACGGAACAACTCAACTCAATCAAGAACACCAAAGGGATCGAACGCGCAAACTCGAATGACAAAACACAGAAAGGATCGAACGCACAAACTCGAAAGACAAAAACACAAAAGGATCAAATGGACCAATGCAAATGACAAAAACGTAAAAAAGAGATCACACACGGCATCACTATCAACACATCAAGCTCCAAGGCCGAGGAAGGGTTCGCTCCATACTGCAGTGTAGTACAATTTACCCCCCTCAGTAGCACCATGCTTCATCCCGTGACAACCTGTCGTGAGCCTTGACCGTTAACCTGACCGCGGTGCATCCCCGTCTCCCAGTCCTCCACAGTACAGTAGGCCCAGCTGTCGGCGTCCGAATCCACGTCGAGAGAGATGTCAGCGTCCGGCTGATGCTCCATCGACCCCTCAGACTCACAGATGGAGTCACCAGTCGCATGCATATCGGCGGCGGGCCTTCTCTCGTCTCTAAACCGCGTTCCGATAAACTCGCAAAGCTGCGGCGACGCTTCGGAGCGGAGGACAGCCCCGTCGCCCCAGAGCTGGCCGCGAATGGTAGCCACGGCACACGCAATGGCGCGCCTCTTCGTGGACCAGGGCGCAAAGTAATGGACGTCCACCTCCTCGACGACGACCGGCTGAAGCGGCTCGAGCCTGGCGGCGTCGTCCAAGGCCGCGATACCCAGGGTCTCGAAGAGCCTCGCGAGCGCGGCTCTGACGGACCGTTCGGCGATCACCTCGGGTGCTTCCGTGGACTTGATGTCGTCGAGGGAAATGACAACATCAAAGCACGTTCCGGCCTGTATCGGAGGGGGGTGGAACCGCAGCGTGCCTCCACACGCGTCAGAGTGCTCGCAGTTTTGCGTCGACGTTTCCATCACGCCTGCCTCCTGTTCTCGCACGGCGTTGTCCTCCGTGCTGCGAGGTTGCTCGTACTGCCGCCGGAACTCTTCCACGACACTTTTCGCGAGCCTCTCGCCGCGGCTGGCACGGGGACGCTCCAGGCTCTTGAGCACGAGAGGGGAGACCATGACATACGGCTCGACGCCCCGCTCCTCGTCGCCGTCCATGCGGTCCATGTCGCCAAGGATGTGGGCAAGCGTCTGCAGGCCCTCCCCGAACGGAAGGTTCCGCATAGAGCGACTATACCGGGCTACAAGCCGCGGCAGTCGACCAAGGTGCCTGCTGTGGGCCTCTTCCTCTTGCTCGTGATTCAGGTCCTGGAGCTCCTTGAACTGCTGCTGTCGACGATGCTGCCGCTTGATGTGACACGGTATAGCCGCGGCGCGCTCGACGCAGAGCTTCCAGTAGGCGGCCATGGCCTCCTTTGTCTTGAGGCCCTTCATGCCGTAGCGCAGAAAGTCGTGCTGCGTCTCGATGGCGGCCAGGCTGGTGATATCCTCGTGGAACATTTCGACCTCCTCCGCGTACAGCCTCTCGCCTTCCCAGCCTTCGCTCTTGGCTCTGCTGCTGAAGGCTTGCCAGTGGTCGTCGTGGATGCGCTTCTTGAGGAACGAGAACCGTGCCCAGTAGGCAGCCTCGAGCTTGCGATAGATGATGTGGTTGGGCTGGACTGTTGGAGCAGCAGCCGTAGGCGCCGCAGCCGCAGGGGCCGCCGGAGGTGCATGCTGGCCGAGTGTGTTCGAACCTGGGGTGTGCAAACCCAGAGACGAGGCGACAAAGGAGGTCTTCATATCAAAAGGCGCCACGGCAAGCGTCGAGCAAGACTCGCCAGGCTGACGAGTCGGCAGAGAGGCTCCGTTCAGCGATGGCTGGGTCTCGACATCCGTAGGGCCGGAACTCAGGGGATGTCGTGGGGACGGCGAGGGCACAGGCTTCCTGGGAATGCGATGCGGCTGACGGGCCGTGTTGGCTTTGCCAGTGGCCGCATCGCCGAGCTGCTGAACCATCTGGGACGCCAACGAGTTGATCTGTGTTCGCAGGAGCAGCAGTTTGTGCAGGTTCGCCGTGTCCTTGATACTCTTTTGCGATGCCATTCTCTTTCGGATGATTTCGTCCATGGTGTTCTCGAGTTCGCCGAAGCGCCTTTTCAGCACCACGACTTGCAGTCCCGGATACGCATCCATATCGAATAGAGGCGCCGACGATCCCTCGTGCGTGGGCATGATGAGCTAGCTGTAGGGCTCGAGTCTGTCGGTTTTGATTAGGCTGGTGTGGACGCCTGTATGCGACGTGTGGTGATGGGCGGTGACGTGCGAGAGCAACAGACGCCTCGGACGGGGACAGCATTCTCCTATGTAGACAGATGTCTGCCGTCTCCGACAGCTCGTCTCCAACAGCTCGTGTGCGGCGCATATAAGTTTGCGAGCCAGAGCTTAATGAAAAAGGTTGGGCGTGACCTTGAAGGCTGCCAGCGTGCAGCGAACCTGTTGGGCCGACGGTGAACTCTCGTCCACGAACTTTGGCCCACGAACCTTGCTGGCTGGCCGGCCAGCCCGACGACGGCGCGCACCATGCTCACGACCTCATGAACGACTCCAACAGCTCGTCCATGCGCATGCGCTTCCTCCGCCGCAGCGGCAAGCCCGTCTCCACCGTCGAGGTTTGGGCCCTGGGCTTCATGAACCCCGCCGCCTCCTGGTGCCGCTTGCTCGTGGTTTTGCCCTCGCCCGCGACGGCGGCGGCAGCCTCCCCCGTGCGGTAGAACGTGTAGCGCGACGTGGCGAACAGGCCGCGGCTGACATAGGCCACGGCGGGCGAGATGCCGGCCCTGTCGCTGTGGCCGAGCTGCAGGCAGGCCATTGGCTTGGGGGGGAGCAGCAGGTTGCCCGACAGGGCGTGCCTGGGCTGCTCGTCTGGGGAACTGTCCTGCTTGGGCTGCTCGTCTGGGGAACTGTCCTGCTTGGGCTGCTTGTCCGAGGATTTGTCCTGCCTTGGCTGCCTGTCTGAGGATTTGTCCTGCCTGAGCTGCCTGTCGGAGGAATTTTCCTGGCTGGGCTGCCTGTCGGAGGACTCGTCCCGCCGCTCGGCTTCGACTCGCGCCCGGTCCTGCTGCTCGAGAAAGGCGCAGAGGAAAAACGCCCACGTCTCAAAGGGAAACCGCTTGCAGGTCTGCAGGTCATAGGACGGCGCATCCAGGTACAGCGACCGGTTCGCGCGCGCCGAGTCGCTGAGGACGTCGAGGAATGGCGGCGGCGGCTCGGCGGCGAAGCGGAGCGGCTGGCTCGCGTTCTGGCCGAAGCTCACGAGGCCCTCGTCGATGCCGCGCGCGAGCTCCTTCAGCGTGACGCCGGCCCCGCCGTGCGTGGTCCGCCCGTCCTCGTCGAGCGGCGCGAACAGCATGAGGTACCACAGCAGCGAGTCCTGCAGGCCGTGGAGCGGGGCGCCGACGGTCCAGCCGTGGTGCTGGGCCAGGACGTCGGCGGCGGGCCAGTCGCTGCGGGCGCCGTGGACGTCGTAGAGGCGCAGCGCGGGGAAGCGGGCGAGGTAGGGCAGCGAGTGCTGCGACACGGCGTCGTCGCCCCAGAGGCGCAGGACGCGCAGCCGCGGAAAGGGGGCCGCGGCCTCGGACCACGAGCGCACGAGGCGGTCGCTGACGCGGGGGAAGCTGGCGCGCGCCGCGGCATCGGCGGGCTGGATGATCTCGAGGGCGGCGAGGTTGCGCAGCGAGGCGAGCGCGAGGAGCTCGCTCGTGTCAAAGGCGCACCGCCCGTTGATGCTGAGGTGGCACAGGAAGTCGACCGACGTGGACTGCAGAGGCTGCAGGTAGCGCGCGAGGTCCTGGGACGGCCGGCAGATGTGGTGGCGGAAGCGGTAGAGGTCGAGCGTCTTGTCCTCGTCCTCGGCGAGGAGGAGCTTGGAGAAGGTCTTCCATGCTTGGAAGCAGACGCCGCTGTGTTGCCGTCAGCATCATCATCATCATCATCATTATCATCATCATCAACAACATCATCCGTAGCTTGCCAGACTGGCATACGCACCGGTTCTCCAACAGATGCCAGATCCTCCACAGAATCCTCGCAGGCAAGACGTGCCGCCCGAGATGGTCGTCAGAGAGAGAGCCGATGTTCTCGGCCACAGCATGCATGGCCATGTCGGCGAGGGCTCTGGGGCCCTGGACGCCTCGGCCGGAACGACCCCTCCAGGATGGCAGATCGACGTGGCGCGCCCAGTCGGCTTCGGCCCCCCGCGGCGCACCGGACACGACGGTCTCTCGGTATACCTGGCCCGTTTCGCGATCGTACATGGCGGGGGGTGTGTTCAGGTGTGCATGATGAAGCAGTCGATGAGCGTTTCCAGGACGATGACGAAGCATATGCTGTACTGTGCCAGGGACAGTGTTCACACGCAGCCTCGTCTCAGCCTTGCCTCATGCCCCTCTCCGTCCGACCATTTGGCATCGAGACAGCATTCATTGACCGACAGCGACATGTTTCGAGACAGACGTATTGGCCATTCGGCATCGAGACAGTATTCATTGACCGGCAACGACATCTTAGAGACAGACGTATTGGCCATTTGGCATCGAGACAGCATTCATTGACCGGCAACGACATCTTTCCTGACAGACGTATTGGCCATTTGGCATCGAGACAGCATTCATTGACCAGCAACGACATCTTTCGAGACAGATATGTTGACTATCTGGACATCGAGACAGACGTGTTGCCATTTGGCATCGACCATTTGGCATCGAGACAGACGTAAACGATTCCTTCCATTCATGACGATCGATCAACACCGAGCCAAGCCAAGACCAAGCTGTGCGCATAGGAAAAATGTAGATTGGTACGCCTCGAAAACGCCGGCGATCAAGTACGCCCCCATCCCAGGCCCGTCTATCTGAACATGCGCGAACCCGACGACCCCCTTCCCGTTGTCATGCACCCACACAGCACGCGCGCTCGCCGAGCGACCGCGCCGCTTCTCACAGCATGGGCTTGAGGTCCTCGGCGACGGTGAACGGCGCCTCCGTCTTGTTTTTGATCTCCTCGACCGTCACGCCGTCGGCAATCTCGACGAGCTGCAGGCCGTGGGCAAAGTCGACGTCAAAGACACCCTGCCCAACGTTAGCGTACATTCTCTCCCTCGTCTTCGCACGGCATGCACCTACCAGTTCCGTAATGATGCGCGAGACGCAGGCGCGGCCCGTCAGCGGAAAGGCGCACTGCTTGACAATCTTGGGGTTGCCCTTCTTGTCCGTGTGCTCCATGGTGACGACGACCTTGGTGGCGCTGGGGTTGCTGACGAGGTCCATGGCGCCGCCGAAGCCCTTGACCTTGCCGGGCAGCATCCAGTTGGCGAGGTCGCCCGTGCTGCTGACCTGCATGGCGCCGAGGATGGTGAGGTTGATGCGGCCGCTGCGGATCATGCCGAAGCTCTCCTCGCTGCCGAAGACGGCGGCGCCGGGGTTCAGCGTCACCGTCTCCTTGCCGGCGTTGATGAGGTCGGCGTCCTCGAGGCCCTTCTTCGGGTAGGGGCCGAGGCCGAGGATGCCGTTCTCCGACTGCAGCTGCACCTCGACCTCGGGGCCGACAAAGCCGGGCGCCAGCATGGGCATGCCGATGCCGAGGTTGGCGTACATGCCGTTCTTGAACTCCTTGGCGGCGCGGCGCACGATGCGCTCGCGCTTGGCCGCCGTGTCGCCCGAGCCGAGCGCCGACGTGGCCGACGCGTCGCTGTCGTCCTTGGCCCACGTGTACTTTTCAATCTTCTTGTCCTCGGTGCTCTGGATGACGCGCTTGACGTAGATGCCCGGCAGGTGGATGGCCTCGGGGCTGATCTCGCCGGGCTCGACAATGTGCTCGGCCTCGACAATGGTCATCTTGGCGTTGCGGCCCATGGCGCCGTTGAAGTTGTTGGCGGCGAGGCGGAACTGGCAGTTGCCGAGCTTGTCGGCCTTGTAGGCCTTGACAAAGGCGTAGTCGCCGTCGATGCTGTGCTCGAGCAGGTACGACTTGCCGTTGAACACCTTGACGTCCTTGGGGTACGAGAACTCGGCCGGCGTGCCGTCGGCCTTGTTCTTCAGCGGCAGGTCGCCCGTCTGCACGACCGTGCCAAAGGCCGCCGGCGTGTAGAAGGCCGGGATGCCCTTGCCGCCGGCGGCGCAGCGCTCGGCGAGCGTGCCCTGCGGCGTCAGCTCGAGCTCGACCTCGCCCGTGAGGTACATGGTCTCGAACGTCTTGTTCTCGCCAATGTAGCTGGCCACCATCTTCTTGATCTGCTTCGTCTTGAGCAGCTGCCCGAGCCCCGACGTGTCGGTGCCGGCGTTGTTCGAGACAGCCGTGAGACCCGTGAGCTCGGGCTTCTTCAGCACCTCGTTGATCAGCGTGTCGGGCACGCCGCAGAGGCCGAAGCCGCCGCACAGCAGCGTCGAGTCGGGCTTCATGTCCTTGAGGGCCTCAGCCGCCGAGGGAAACACCTTGTTGATCTCGAGTCGGCGGCTGGACGCCGAGAAGGCGCGCGCCAGGAGGGGTGTGGTCTGCATGGGCCCGTGTCAGTCTCGCTGCCTGTGACTTGGCTGCCGCCGGCCATTGACGACCGATGGTCGGGCGTAGTACGGGGAAGCTTACATTGGAGCCATGGCGAGCATAGGCTCGTACTGTCCTCATGCAGAGCGCGGCAGAAGACATTGTGTTGTGTAGGTGAATGGTCCCAATGCCTATACTGGCCTATACTGTGATGGACTGACTACCAGAGGGGTGGAGGGGTTGTAGCGATGATGAGACACACAGGCAGAGTGACCAGGGTCAGACTATGACGAGGGGGGGACGTTCAGGGTATAAAGCAGAAGAAGAGCAATGGGTAGAGAGTAGGTTCAGGAAGCGAAGCCGGAGGAGAGAGAGAGAGGAAGGGGGGTGGGAGAAGAGAAGGAGGAGCGAGCAACAACGGCGACAATGGTCGAGGTGCAGCCGGCGATGGAGGGCGACTTTATTGACCCGGCTGTTTAAACCGGCAGTGGCCGAGGTGAACGATCCAAAGGGGAAGCTGCACCTGGGTCCAGCACTGGGCCACTGGGCCACTGAGCCACTGGGCCACTGAGCCACTGGGCCACTGGGCCACTGAGCCAGGCGAGCCACTGCGGGCCACTGTGTGAGTGAGCCACTGGTGACCACCACTGGTGACCACCACTGAAGAGGGCTCGGGATGTGGCCCAGCTGCCGAGGATCGCTTCCGACAGCCTTCCGACGTGCGGAGTGCCCCAGTGCCCCAGGCTCCTCTAGCTCCCCTTGCTCCCCTTGCTCCCCCAGGTCCAAGGCACACACACAAGAACGTAGCATTCTTCCGCCGTTCCTCGTTCCCCGCATTGTTCCGTCGTCCGGGTAAGTCCTCTGCCGCGCCTCTCTTGGCGAGCACGGCCACTGTATTATGTCAGCGGCGACTGCCAGCATGTGGCTGGAGCTCTGTCGTCGTTTCGTCCCGCCTTATCTTATCAGAGCCCCACGCCGCTGCAGAAAAAAGTTCACGTCGAGGTGCAGGTGCGACCAGAGGCCGTCAATGGGGAGGAGGAGCTCATGCGTTTTGCGAGGGCATACGGTCGTCCAACACCATCGCACGACCACGACCACGACCACGACCACAACCCAAGGCACCTTCACCCGGCCCGCCAACCGACACCCCACGCCACCATGGAGTCTGGCGCCAAGCGACGCAAGGTCTCTCACAATGGCGACGCCCCCAAGTCCAAACGATCCGTCGCCATGGCCACGGCCAGTCCTTTCGTCCTGCAGACCGAAGAGCTCCTGAAGGAGGTCAAGGTCGACTACGCAGAGACCTTTGACGGCGCCGACGCCCTTTTGAAGCAGATCAAACATGTCATCGACGGCATTGCCCCGCAGGAGGCCGCCCCCGTACGAACTCCCCTCTCGACTCTACATCGAACACTCGTCTCGCGGCCGTGAACTACGCTGACCCCCCTGCCCCTCCCAGATCTCCGATGCCACGCGCAAGTTCCAGAAGAAGCACCACATCCAGATCCCCTTTCCCGACCCCAAGCCCGCCGCCGACGCCCCCTACAAGCTCGCCTACGCCAAGCCCGCTGCCTGCAATGTCGTCGGCAGCTACGTCTCGCGCACCATGATCCAGGGCCAGGAGGACAAGTGCGTCGACATGATTGTGCAGATGCCCGCCTCGCTCTTCCAGGACAAGGACTTCCAGACCATGCGCTACTTTTACCGTCGCGCCTACTATATCGCCAACATTGCCGCTGGCGTTCGCGAGGCCCTGGGGTCGTCTGTCGACCTTCTGTTCGAAAACCTCAACGAGAACAGCCTTCTGCCGATTTTGACCATCCTTCCCAAGGTCGAATCGGAGAGCGTCAAGAAGGGTGGCAGCAAGGCGGGAAAATCGGAAGAAGACGACTCAGAAGAGGAGGAGGGTGACGACCAAGACGATGACAACGAAGACGACGACGACGACGACGAAGCTGAATACGCCATCCGCATCATCCCCTGCGCCCCCGACGGCCTCTTCGCCAAGTCCAAGCTCATCTCCACCGCAAACAACAACAAGGCCGACGGCGCAGACGCCCCCACCCCGTTCTACAACTCGACCCTCAAGGCTGAGGAGACATTCGTCACATACCTGCGCGTCTTGACCCGCGCGAGGACCCAGTGCAAAGCCTTCGCGGATGCCTGCATCCTCGGCAGGGTCTGGCTCGAGCAGCGCGGACTCGGCGGCAACATCTCGGGCGGAGGCTTCGGTCACTTTGAGTGGGCCATCACCATGGCGCTGCTGCTGCAGAAGGGTGGCCGGAACGGCCAGGCGGCCCTGTCGTCTTCCCTCAGCAGCACGGAGCTGTTCAAGGCCACGGTACAGTTTCTCGGGTCCACAGACTTCGTCGCCAAGCCCTTCGTCTTTGGCACGTATGCTCGTGGCGAAGAGGCGGTTCGCGAGGCAGGCCCCGTCATGTTTGACGTGGACCGTGAGCTCAACGTCCTGTTCAAGATGAGCCCCTGGTCAGCGAACCTTCTGAAGTACCACGCCGGCATCACGCTGGAGCTGCTCAACGCCAATGTCGCTGACCAGTTTGAGGCAGCCTTCATCACCAAGGTCGATCTCCCGCATCAAATGTATGACATCAACATGGAGATTGAAGACATTGATCTCGAGCGCAACAGCGCCGCAGCAGACCGGCAAGGACCTTTCTGGAACTTCAGCACAAGGGTGCACAAGACGTTGAAAAAGGCGCTCAGCGACCGCGCCGCTCTCATCCACGTGAAGCTGCCGGAACAGTCTGCATGGGAGCTCGACACGCAGCCCGAGGCGAGTACGCCGAGCGTGCTTATCGGGGTCGTCTTTGACCTGGCCAACATGGCCAAGCCCATGGAGTATGGTCCGTCGGCCGAGTCGCAGAAGGAAGCCGCCAGGTTCCGTCAGTTCTGGGGTGACAAGTCGGAGCTGCGAAGATTCAAGGACGGCAGCATCCTCGAGTGTGTCCCTTGGAAACAGACATCTGCGGCGGGCATCTGCGAGGAGATTACCCGCTACGTGCTGAAGCTGCACGCGAGCGTCGAGGAGAGCAACATCCACTTCTACGGCGGCAAGACGCCGGACGGTCTCGAGTTCACGCCCGTCGACAAGGAGGCTTTCGACACGGCGAGGCGCGCCTTCCAGACGATGGAGCACGACCTTCGCAGTCTCGAGGACCTGCCCCTTTCCATCAGGCGGCTGGCGCCTGTTGTGCCCGAACTCCGCTACGCCTCGCTTCAGCCGCCCGTCATCGGCTTCCACAAGGGCACTGCCGTTCCTATGGACGTGACGCTCACGTTCGAAGCGTCGAGCAAGTGGCCTGAGAATGTGGTGGCGATCCAGGAGGCCAAGATTGAATTCCTGCTTGACATTGACAGGAGGCTGAAGGCCGCCAAGGACAACATCACAACGTGCCTCGGCCGTGACAATGCCGTCCGCGACTCGGACAACCTGGCTTTCCTCGACGTCGTCTACGAGAACGGCGCGGCGTTCCGCCTGCGCGTCCACTCGGAGCCCGAGGAGACACTTCTCGAGCGCCAGGCGAAGAACAAGACGCTCGACCCCTATGTTCGGCTCGCCGCCGAGGAGACGCTACACAAGATCCGTTGGCAGAACAATGACCTGCCGCTCCACACGCAGTCCATCGCCAGCTTCTGCACGCGCCTCCCCGCTCTCTCGCCCGCAATCCGCATGACCAAGCACTGGTTCAACAGCCACAAGCTGACGGGCCACATTTCCGAGGAGCTCATCGAGCTCCTCGTGCTCCACGTCTTCCTGCGCCCGCACCCGTGGAAGATCCCCTCGAGCGCGCAGTCCGGCTTCCTGCGCACCCTCCTCTTCCTCTCCCGCTGGGACTGGCGCACGCAGCCCCTCGTCGTCGACTTTTCCGACGACATGTCTCCAGAGGACGCGGCGCTGTCGCAAACAACGCTCGCGGCCTGGCGCGCGCGCGACCCCACCATGAACCACGCCGTGCTCTTCGTCGCCACTTCCAACGACCCAACGGGCCAGTCGTACACGCGCACGGCGCCGACGAAGCTGTCGGCGACGCGCATGACGCGCCTTGCCAAGTCGGCCGTCCGCCTCGTCCGCGAGCAGGACGTCGCGCTCGAGATGGACGCCCTCTTCGAGCCGTCCCTCGCCGACTACGACTTCCTCCTCCACCTCTCGTCCAAGGAGACGAAGCGCGTGCTCCGCGACGCCGCCGCCGACGCGGGTGCGCGCCACTCGGCGTTCAAGAACCTCGACGCCCGGACGGGCAAGGTGCCGCTCCCGCTGGCACGGCATCCCGTGGATGTGCTGCTCGGCGAGCTCGAGGCCGCGTACGAGGACAGCCTCATCTTCTTCCGCGGCAGCCGCGGGGACGCCGTCGTCGGGGCCATCTGGCAGCCCAAGCTCCGGAGGCAGGCGTTCCGGGTCGGCCTGCCATTTAACCTTTCGGCCGTCGGGGACGGGGCCGAGGTCGAGGTGAACAAGGAGGCCGTCTTGTTGGAGATTGCGAGGATTGGGGGGGACATGATCAAGAGGATCGAGGTTGCAGAGTAGACTGGGGGATACGCATGTCGGGCGTAACCTGCGCGTATCTACAGACCATGGTTGGATCTGAAGTTGATATCCTTGCTAATACCATTTGTTGAATTGCAGCTCGTTCATTGCAACACAATGTCGTCTGAGGTGTGGTGTTCTGTAGAAAGATGCCTGGCAGCGAGCTGGTGGTCCCACTAGACGGCTACCTACCGCGGGGCGACAAAAAGCCGCACTCACAAGGCAAGCTCACTGAACCGTGACACTATACTTGACATCGTCAACATCAGTTGGAGTTCTCTGATCTTCATGTATCGCTGAGGATCTAGTAAGCAGAGCATCAGAGCCTCTAATGGAGATGAGAGGTGAAGAGGGCCTGAAGCAGGAGTCTGTCTAGATGACACCTGCGTTTGGCAGATTCGGCGTGCGGCTTCTGTCACCCCTTGCCCGAGCGGTCTGCAAAGAGGACGGCACATCTGAACGAGATGATGATGATGATATGTAACACCACAACGAATCATATGTAGGCCAAAGGCGCCTGCGCCGCCGCGCCATCCTTGGACCGTCATAATCATATTCCAGTTATCCGCTGATTTACGGGATTCATTTCGTCCTACGGGGCAGGATTCTGTTTGAAGGTGATTCAGTTGCTTTGGTCCCGTGGCGTCAGCGCCTCTAGGCTTGGTGTGCTCGTTTGCATGTTCTCGGACCGGGGGCTCGCGTCTTGCCTATGTTGGTGTTGTTGTCTCTGGCTCTGGACTTGGGTTTTGGCTTCTGCACTGTCCGTGGTGTTGTGAGCGCCTCTCCATAGCTATGTGATCGTTGTTGCCCGTCATACGTTAGGACCCTTGTCCGCCCATATTTGGTGCTGTGGGGGAAAGCTTGTGGTCGTGGTGCAAGTCCAATGGAGCGTCAAGATGGTCATATTCCAGGTGTCCGCTCGCTTATGGGATTCGTTTCGCGTCCTTCGGGGGCAGGATTCTGTTAGAAGGTGGTTCAGTTGCTTTGGTCCCATGGCGTCAGCGCCTCTAGGCCTGGTATGCTCGTGAAATGTATACGGGCCGGGGGCATGTCTTGCCGGATGGGGGAGTTCTGCTCTGGTCTTGAATCCTGGCTTCGGTACTCTTTCTATAGTGCTGAGAGCACCTTGCCTTAGCTACCTATCCTACTGGCGTTGCTCGTCCGAGCTAGCACCTCTGCCTCTGTCTGCACAGCACTGGTGCCAATGGGGGCAGGCTTTTGGTCGTGGCTGCGAGCCCGGTGACACTATCTTGACGAGATGACCCAAGAAAGGGTCAGAACCAGCCGCGACGCTGTGCACGACACCGCTTGCTATCCTGCTCACATATCTGTCAAGCGTGTTGATGCGGACCGGGTCTCTGATCAAGGGTGCCTCTGTCTGTCTCTGTCTCAAGTACCCTCGTGTTGGTAATGCCAGCCCTGCGCAACTCACGTAACAAACCCAAGACCCTGGGATATCAATCATACAGCCTTTCAGCTCATGAGCGGCCAATCAAGTCCGGTCGCACATACATCCGCGGTCCTAAGCTCCAAATTTCCTAGTCAGCGTCTTGCCTAAGAGTTCCCATCGCAAGGTTCCTGTGACCGGGCTGGTTGATTCCCCTACGCCAGCCTCAGGCACTCAACCCGCAGCACGAAGCAGCCCAGCAACCAGCCGCTCAGAGTTCGTGCCCTGTCGATGAGCCACGAGCCAGCCATGCTCGCCAGAGGCGAGCTTGACTTTCATGCGTCATTCCGTACTGGCCTGCTGAGCTGATCCGGATGCGCATTGTCTGTCACTGCCTTCAACTGTACATGTCTTCGGATGCTGCTCGGGCTTTGTGGCCTTGCTTCCAGCCTGGCTGGTAAAACTTCTGTTGTAGTGCTCGTCATTCCTCCGGGGGTTCACATGTGCCTCACTCGCACATGATCACTCGTACATGATATAGATCGTTCCGCGAGCTTCGGCCATGTTGGATGTCCGGACAGCCCGGGCCGCTCGCCTGAGATTGGGCATTCGATCAACCCGAACAGTCGGCTTTTGCAATTCCATGCTGCAGGTCTGTTGTCGTATACAAGACGGACTTGGAACTTGCTACAATAACAGCCAGTCAGCAACTCACCAACAGCTCACCAACAGCCAGTCAGCAACTCACCAACAGCTCAATACAGCCAGTCAGCAACTCACCAACAGCTCAATACAGCCAGTCAGTATTCAGTCACACGCACCAACGCCAGTCAACTCACGCGGTACAATGCACAATCGAACGTGAATATCCCTACAGAATCAAACGCCATGCCGTGGTATAGATGTCCCGCGGTGCCGCACTGCACCTCGCCAGAAGCAGCCCGCCCGTGCTGGACATTCCTTCATTGCCCGTCCCAGCCCCTGTTCCAGCTCATCTCCCATCTTGTGCCCGCATACGTCTGCGGCTCTCGTCTGCCTCTCGTCTGCCTCTCGTCTGCCTCGTCTGCCTCGTCTGCCGCCGTCGTCTACAGCTTTCGCCTGCGCCTAGTACTTCAGCAGCTTCTGGTCCTTGCCGTCCTGGACCTGCTGCGTCGAGAAGGAGCAGAACTTGTCCTTGATGGCGACGACCTCGTACGTGCCCTCCTCGCTCGCGCGGATCACGGTGCTCGTCTCGTACGAGACGCCGCGCTTCGTCTCGAGCACCTCGACCTTCTGGCCCCGCTTCGGGTTCGAGCTGCGCGTGTACGTAAACTCAAACGGCGGCGTGCCCCAAAAGTCAAAGTGAATCTCGACCTCGTTGCCCTGGTGAATGTCGACGCGCGTCTGCTTGCCCTTGCTGATCCGCACGGCGGGGAGCGGGTGGATCGTCTTGGTGATGCCGACCGACGCCCGGCACTCCGAGGCCTTGTCCGAGACGGACGTGATGGTGAAGTCGCCCGGCGTCTCGGCGACGCGCCGGAAGCTGGTCGTCTGTGACTTGGCCTTGCGCTGCTGGCCTTGGAAGTCGTACCAGATCTCGAACGGCGGCGTGCCGGACAGGGTGTAGGCGATGCGCTCGCCCACGCAGAAGTCTTCCCGCGTCTCGAGGGGATAGATGGCCGGCGCGTCGTACAGGTGCACCTGTACCGAAGGCGCGTTGAGGTCGTACCGCTGGAGGCAGCCGCGCGCGTCGCGGACTTCGCGGATCCGCACGTGCTGCACGCCGAGGTGGAGATGCTGTCGCGGCATCTGGATCGAGTACGAGTTGGTGCTGATGCTGGGGATCCGGTACACCTCGGGCACCGTGCCTCCGTGGTGCTTAATCTCAAGCTCGAGGTAAAAGGGCGCAATGCCGGTGAGCGTAATGGGAATCTTGTCCTCGTTGTCCTGCTCCGACTGGCAGTACTTGAACGACTGTCCAGGTTTCACAAAGGACGCAGAGGGCTTGGCGTTGACGCGCTGGCGCACCACAAGAGGCGTGAAGTTCTTGTCGCTGTCGTAGAGAACGTCTGCCAGCGCCGAAAAGGTGTACGTGTACTCGCCAGCCTTGGACGTGTCCATGGCGATGGTAGCCCGGTTCTGAGCAGCGTCGAAGTCCTTTGTGCTCCTGGAATCGGCGCCGCGGAGGGGCTTGTGGCGGACTGAGTACTGGACGTGGTAAGGCGAAGCGCCTGCAACTGTTAGCATGAGAAAAGCAAGGCTTAGGGCCGCCGTGAGACTCACCCGCAAGGTTCAGATCGAGGCCGTCAATGTCGCCCTCGCACACGTCAAGTTTGGTGAAGCCAGATGTCGCAGGCGAGATTGTGTCTGAGTGGACGAGGCTGATCTCGGGCCGAGCATACCAGTCCACCTCGAAACGCGATGCCTGGGGATCGACCGTGCCGGGGCACTGCTTATCAGTCACGTCGACAATCTCATAAGTACCCTTGGATTTGACGACGATCTGGTCGTTCGGCTTGGTCGCCACCTTTTGAAGTACCTCGCCGTTGCCGTGGAGGTTGCGGTACGAAATCGTCCATGGCGCTTCACCCTGGAGGCGAAGAGGAAGATTCACCTTGGCATCTTCGACAGCCATGACCTTTTGCTTCTTCTCGGCCAAGCCGAAAGCTGCTCGGGGTCGCTGTCTCCTGACGGATATCTTGACCTCGTTCTCCAGATGGTTGCGGCAGCCGGCCTTGTCCTGCACGCTGCTGAGGGCGAGAACATGGTCTCCGCCCTTGGTGAATGGCGGTGTCTTGATCTTGTAATGTTTCGACTCGATGCCGGTGACACGCTCCGTCTTGCGCTTGCCATCGTGTACGAGCTCCCACTCCAAGGTAAACGGAGCGTCGCCCACGAGACCAATGTTCACCTCGACCTGCTCTTCCAAGCAAGCGTTGATGACGCCCGTGTTGTGTTCGATGCGCGCCACCGCCGCTGGCTTGACATTTTGTTCGAGCACCATGTCGGGGCCAGACAGCGTATGCCCCTTGTAGATGGCATCGTCCACCGACTTGAAGACGTACCTGTGCAGGCCAGCTTCTGTGGGCCGAAGCAGCAGCTGCTGGCGATGGCCCTGCACTTCGGCGTATTCGGCCTTTCTGCGGCCATTGTGCTCGACGTCCCAGCGGACGACAAAAGGCGGCGTGCCGGTAAAGTCAACATCGACTCGGAGGCCGACTGAGTTGCCGGCGCACTTGTCGGGAATCTCCTCGGCGCGCAAGGAGAGAGTTGGCTCGAGCGGGTTGAGCAGGAGGCACGATGAGGGTTCCTGAACCTCGCCTTCGCACGAGCCAGAGGAGATAGAGGTCAAGGTGTAGAGGCCGGGTTCGGAGACAGATGGCTTGTCCTTCGAGTTCTTGGCCGTGTACGACCCTGTCTTGACCTGATCACCATGTTCTCCGCCGCTCGTCAGGCTGTCGATGGGCGAAAACTTCCACTCCAGCGTGTGCGAAGTATCCTCGGGAATTTTGCCTCCAGAGGAAGGGATGTGAAACGCGATGGGCAGCCTCGACGCCTTGCCCTTAGCAACCTTCAGAGGCGTTCTCAGATCGCATCCCCTGAGTTGGGCGCTCGGACGCTCCTTGACCTCGAAGTTCCGGACGAGGTGCTTCGGGCGAGGGTGATAGTCCAGGTCAGGGCCTCCATCGCCATACTTCTGCACGTTGCCGAAACCGTCGTGAACCTCGGTCACAGCGTACTGCCACTGGCCGGATGTGTCAAGGGTCTCGTTCAGTCGGACCTCGACAGCCTGGGGCTTGACCCAGGCAGAGTCGCCGCTCTGGGGAAGCACAAGCGCCGATGATTGTGAGCCGAGGAGAGGCGAGGCAAAGTCGTCGGGCTGCAGGCTCTGGAAGTGGAAGCTGTGGTCCTTGCCATTGATGGTCCTGCTGTAGTGGATCTTCAGCGGCGGGGTGCCGGTGACGTCGATGAAGAGGTCGGACAAGTCTCGCTTGCAGCGATCGGACGCCTCCGTCTTGCGGAACTCGACCTTGGGGCACGGGACGATGTAGGTATCCTTGGTGACTCGCTTGACCTCGAGCTTGTAGTTGTCGAGCACCTTGCCCAGGCGGTAGATACCAGGCTTCTTCAGCGGAATATCGACGGAGACGGGGTTCGAGTCGACCATGAGGTCCTTGATGCCCTTGGCGATCTTATTGACCTCCTTCTTGGTCATCCGGATCGTCTCCTCTTCGTCGGTCTGCAAGTCGATACGGATGAGCTCGATTTCGGCGGGGATGGTCGAGTTGAACTGCAACGGCACGGACACAGTATCGCGGCCCTCGCCGAGGCAAAAGGGGATCTGCTCGTAGTTGAGCACGGCGGAGCTGGGGCATGGTTAGCATAGGCGCTCGACAGAAGGGACATGGCAACGCAGGGCTTACCCCTCGGGAAGAATGTTGATGATCTGCCGGCCCATGATGAGCGAGTGGTTGTGCAGGATGGAAGAGACCTTGACGCTGTGCTCGGAGACGGAGATCTCGCGGTCATAGAAGATCTTGAGGAAGCCAATGAGCCACGGCTGCCAGGGCAGGCCGATGTTGAACATGAGCAGCCAGTTTGTGATCGAGTGGAAGGCCCAGACGCTGAGGACGGTGGTCTGGGAGAGCTCGAGCCAAGGTATCCTCATCTCGGGGAGGCCCATGAGGAAGACAAAGTCGATCAAGACCCATTTGAAAAAGAGCCACACGGACATGTCGTTGTCCTCTATCAAGCCGACATAGTCGTAGAGCTTCCACGCCCACAGGATGACGTACACCGCGGCGGCGTAGAATCGCTGCTGCGGGCCATCGAGGAAGGTCAGAGGTATCAGAGGCTCGACGGCTGTCGACGTTTGCGCTGTCGCTGGCGCCAGTGGCAGGGTGGAGGAGAGTCGGGAGGGTCGTGAGGTGCGCGAGGCCGCTGATGGAGGTGATTCGGAAGGGCTGAGAGGCACTCTTCGCCTCGGGGCTGCGGTCCCTGGGGTTTGTGGGAAACCACCAGTCCGCTGTCTGGGTGTGTCGCTCATGGCTGCATGCCGGTTGGGATCGCAGAAAGGACGAAAGGTTGGGCAGCGGGCAGAGGAGCCTGCTGATGTGGTGTAGGGGGGATCAAAGACCGACCATAAATGAGACGCTCCAATGTTGGGAGAGCTTGGGTGGTGGCGCTTGGGAAAGGTCAAGGAGGCCGACTGGCGAGTGGAAAATGATGGCTCTGCGTGAATGAATGTCTTCACGTCTCTGGACGCGACGGGTCCTGGAACAACACTTTCTTTGGTACGTGGGGCACAGCTCCTGGCAGCTTGGTTTGTTGACGGTTCGTGATTGGCTTTTTGAATTAGATAATCGATAGTGAGCTTTGACACAGGGCAACATTGGACAGCCTCGTGGTAAATTGGATGCAGCGCCTGGTGTGCGGTGTGAATCTGCTGCAGCACCAGGTCGCGGTGTGAATCTGCTGCAACACCAGCTCGTCGCACAGGGTCAATGCGACGACGGGGTTTCTCAGCGACGCCGTAATTATAAAGGCATGCCCTTGCTATCATATGTATCCTGCTTATCGTCGTCAGAGCGCTTCAGCCAACTCGCCCTACCTTATTCTCCTTCTCAGAAAGCCATCTACTAGGATGCTGCAATGATTCTTTGATGCTACGACCCAGCACATCCACTTGACCAGCTCTCTCTGTTTGATGATCCCGACAGATCGCTCCCTCAGTCGACGAGCCTCGTATCTGGATGTTGCTCTGGAGCGATGTGATAATCTGCAACTGAAGGTGTGTATACAGCTTCTTTCAAGTTGCCTGAAGAACATGGCCAAGCCCTACGTGGAAGGCTCGCTCTTGCGGCGCTTGGCTGGTTCTATTATCATCACTCTCAATATCGGCCTGATTTCTGCCTGCTGCAAACAACTCCCCACGTTCATGTATTCTATTGACGAATGGCACAATGTGGAAAAGTCCGTCATATTGTAATGGGATCCTTCCACCCTGAAGTCCTGAACCTGCCAAAACCCTATTTGTATGACTTGCACCTACCACTTCCTCCTCGCCTTCACACCTCATCTTAACCCACCTTCCGTCACTACATCTTTACCCCAAGAGACTCATCATCCCATCACGACTGCAATCTCTCTGCCCTTACCCACACACGCCCATTCTCATGTCCCTCGTCACCAAACCTACACGGCGCGCCCTGGGTCGAACTGATGTGGCTGATCCGCATGATGACTCGGCTATTGACGTTTCCGAAGGTCCGATTACAACAAAGTCTCCGGCTACCGTCGCTGACGAGCCCGATGAGCTCATAACTGTGACGCCCTTGCCGACTCCCGCCGTTACGTCTGTCGTCAAGTCAAAGGGCAAACGGAAGCGAGCACTCCTTCCTGATACTGACTACGACGCAACCGACGAGCTCGCCACCATGGACGACACCAAGGGGCCGAAGCGCAACCCCAAGCGCAAAGCCACCGAGGCCATCGTGACGCGGAACCGTTCGTCGGAGGATACCCTCAAAGAGGCCCTAGCACCCGTCACCACGGAGGATATCCACCAGTGGACCGGCTGGTGCGAGCTCGAGTCTGAGCCGGTATGCACTTGATTTGTTTATTTTATGCCCCTTCACAAGTATCGTGCAGCGTCACTGACAGCTTGGCAGGCTTTTTTCAACGCCATTTTGCGCGACTGCGGCGTCAAAGATGTCAAGATTCAGGAACTTTTCAGCCTCGACGAGGATTCTCTGCAGCTCCTGCCCCAGCCCGTCTACGGCCTCATTTTCCTCTACCAGTATTTCGCCCAAGACTGCGAGGTCGACGACGAACAGGGCCAAGACGACGGTATCTGGTTTGCCAATCAAGTAGCATTTCCCCCTCCCTCCTACCTTTATGTTTTGAGCCCTCCTGACAGACAGCAGACAACAGACAATGCCTGCGCGACAGTCGCCATGATGAACATTGTCATGAACAGCGACGTCGAGCTGGGGCCCGAGCTGCAGGCCTTCCGCGACGCGACGAAGGACATGTGCTTCGCCCTGCGCGGCCACGCCCTCAGCCAGAACGCCCACATCCGCACGATCCACAACTCGCTCACGCGCAAAATGGACCACCTCAACGCCGACCTCTGTCTCAGCAACGGCGCCGCGGCCTTTCAGAAAAACGCCAAGAAGCGCGCCAAGGCCGCCGCCGCCGCCGGCACCACGACGCCCAAGAAGAGAAAGAGCAGCGCCGCGGCGACGGCGACGCCCAGGCGCAAGAAGAAGACCAAAGTCGACTCAGACTCGGGCTTCCACTTCATCGCCATCGTCCCCCGCCACGGCGCCGTCTGGGAGCTCGACGGCCTCAAGAACGGGCCCGTCCGTCTGGGCCCCGTGGACGACGACGCCGACTGGGTCGCGGCCGCGACGCCGTTCATCCAGGACCGCATGCGCCAGCTCGGCGAGGACTCGGTCCACTTCAACATGATGGCGCTGTGCAAGAGTCCGCTGGCGGCGGCCGCCGCGCGCCTCGCGCAGAGCGTGCGCCAGATGGAGATGCTGCAGGCCCGCGGTCGGACGGCGGGCTGCGGCGCCTTTCGGGAGCTGGTGGCGGGGAACCCGCCGCCTCTGGCTGCTTCTGCTGCTGTTGCTGCCGAGGGTGACGAGAAGGAGGACGAGCAGCTGGGGAAGTACGGCCTGACGAGGGAGCACGTGGACAAGGCGCCGGTGGATCCCCAGTTCGCGTTCAAGGTGAACCATTCTTCCATGGCGACCGAGGACCTGGTGAGGGTGTACGACGAGCTCGTGATCGTGCAAAAGGTCGCCATGGGTGAGTGCAGGGACGAACGGGGCGGGCTGCGCGTGGATGAGGAGAGGCTCCAGGGCCGGAAGAGGGACCACATGTCGGCCATCCACAGGTGGCTCGAGGCCATGGCTAAGCATGAAGCGCTTGGCGAGATGCTGAATGTTTGAACCTGCCAGAATGGCAGACGGATACGGTGTCGAATTCTCTGTTTGTCGGGGAGAGGAGAAAGCCTGCCGTCATCGGTTGGCGGGCCAGGGTACAGTAGCGTACAATCATACGAGCCTGATGAATACACAGTCGAGGATAAACAGCCAATTTGGCTGCTGAGCATGGCAATGTTGATACGTGTGAAATGTCTACGCCAAGCGTGTACGGAGCAGAACGACATCCGCATCTCTTCGTCTATGTTTAGCAACCGCCCAAACCAAGCTCTAGTCGTCCGGAAACTCCTCCGTCATGTTCGACACGAAAGCACACGTCGAGCGATCGAACCTCTTGAAGTAGAGCCCCGCCTTCTCAAACCGATTCGGAGCCAGATCCGGATCCGTGACGAGCTCCAGATTATCGGCCCTGGCCACAACAGCCGGCGGCCCGTCCTCGATCCTGTCGACGAGGTCAACGTACAAAGACTGGAGACGCGAAACGAGCCGGACACTTACATGCAGTTGTAAAAGGTGATGCCCGCGTGCTGGATCCACCCGTAGACCAAGCCGAGTCTGTCGTACCGTGCGTGCCGCACCACCTGGCCGATGCGGAAGGTCATGTCCGGCACCCGTCGCCGCGGCACGGGCGACTCCTCGTCCTCCCTGCGCATGGGGCGCGTGAACTCGCTGGCCGAGGTGCCCAGTATGCGCTCGCTGAGGGGCGAGTAGTACTTTTCAATGAGCCACACGTCCTCTGTGCGGTGCGCATTGAACCAGAAGGCGAGTTCGCGGCTGCTCTCGCCAAACTCCTCGGGCGCGCCGGGCGTGAGCAGCAGCGTCGCCCAGGCCTGGGCGTAGACGGCGAGCTCGAGGTTCTCCGAAGGGTGGCCGTGCAGCATGTTCCCGGCGCGCAGAAACGGGTCTTGGCCGCGGTGGTAGGTGTACGTGGCTTTGATGTTGGTGGCCATCCGCACGACGAGCGTCGCGGCGGGCGCGGGGTGGAGGAGGCTTTCCAGAGACCTTTGCCAGCCAACACCGAGCACGAGGGTACGCAGCGAGTCTTTGGATACTTCATAGTCTGACGCGAAAGGATCCAGATACATCTCATCAATTGCAGGCTCAATATTTTCCTCCCCCGTCTCCGCCTTGACACCGTCGAGATTCGTGTCGCGCGTGGCATACACTACTGCATGTACATGGCCCGGAATGGCCAGGCAGTGCGCGTTCAGACCCAGGCGTTCCGCGAGGCAGCAGAAGATGGCCACGGAGATGAGAGGTAGCGACTCGTGTTCCTCCTGTCGCAGGGCTTGGCCGATGAAACAGTTTCTCAGATTCCGATAGTTCTTGTGAGGATCGCTCATGCCCGTCAGATTATGCGTTCGAAGCCATCGGTTCAGAGCCAGTGACTTGTCTCGCGTGCTTTGTCGCTCAAAGCTATGTTGAGAGGACCGGAACTCAAGGGCTAGGCCATCGAGGATGCGGGATACCTTGACACCATGTCAGTTCATGCACGGCGCCGGGCGCAGTCAACCAAAGACCTACGTGGTTCATGTCGCCCGCATCATCCTGGATGACAAACATGTCCAGAGCAGAGAGAGCCGACTCCAGAGCGCGCGGTCTTCGCCACGGGGGGTCTCGCCCGCTGGCCACGATATCCGGATGGCGGCGCAGGCTGTCCCAGACGTCGAGAGCGAGTCCTCGGCGGAGGCTCGCGAGAAGGGCCTTGCTGTGATACCTGAGCGCTCGTTTCAGTGATCGGAGTGGTGGCTTGGGGAATACCTATCAGTTCCTACCGCCTGGCCAGCACGTCGTCCGCCGTGTCAATGGTGTGACATTGCTCGAGCAGGAAGTCCTTTGCGTCATAGCCGAGGAGGCAAATCTGCTCGAACCTCCTCACGCGGCCGAGCTTGGTGGCGAGAATGCCGTCGAAGAGGTTGGAGATGCGGGCGTTGGTCGCCTTGCGTACGAGGAACAGCGCCTTCCAGTCGACGTCAGAGACCTTGCCGTCGAGCTTGGCTTGGAAGTCATGGTCAGGCCCCCAGTACTTGAAGGCCGTCCGACAGTGCTGGCGCCATAGCAGCGGCTCGTTGGCGATCGTGTTGAGTCGTCTCGAGAGCAGCTGAACGCTGAGCAGGTTGTTCTCCGGCGATACGTAGGAGAGAATGTGGTGGATGATCTCATCGGGGATCTCTTCCAAGGTGGGCATGGTGGCGATGTGAGGGAGGCGACTTGCTCAGCGTGTGGAGGAGTAAGGGACAAAAGCCGGCGCAGACGTGGTTGAAGAGGTTGGAAGAATAGCAGAAGAGGGTAGCGAGAATGCTGGATGAACTCTGTCAAGATTCAAAATGATGTGCCGTATATTTAAAGGATCTCCTGCGAGGCAAACGGAAAGGAGGGGTCGGTCCGGCTATGGGGTCAGTTCAGTTGGAAATTGAACCCGTCATGGTATGGATGACCCCTCGGTTGGAGAGCTCCCTGGGGTTTGCCGCGAAGAAACCTGGCACCTGGTAGCTATGTGCCCGGATAGGGTAGCTCGATATTGGTTGCAGCGCAGATCTAGACCGGCCTGGGACAGTCTTGACCGCCGAGTGTGCGCGTCTTGGTGTGTCGTTGGATGACCCTGGGATGGATGGGCGGCTGAGTCGCTCTCACGTGGAAGCTTGCAGCTTGGAGATGCTGCGGCTGTGACGCTAACAGACGCAGGGTTCTCCACCCTTGTGGCATGAGTTTTGGGCCATTCTGCTGGCATTTGCTGGGCGTAGAGACGCATTTTGGTGGGTGGGCGTGTCGAGGGGGGGCTTGGGGGGCAAGGGAGCTCAAAGAGGCACGATTCATCGGCGCCTGGTCATGTGTGCGGGGTAGTTTGAATTGGTGTCTTGATTGGCCGACAGCCTTAGTCATGATTACCGCCCAAGAAAGTAAACGAAACTAACCCAATATGGATGGAATGTCAACAAACTGGGGAAAACGCGCCTCGTCCATTGCATCACGGGCGCAAGAGCCACCCTCGCGATTGCAAGTTGAATCACGTCCATATTTCGCAAAGCAGGCAAGCACAAGTCGCGTTGTCACCTACTCCGTTTTTTTTTTACTCTCAGCCTTGCACCGCGACGCAGTTGAAAGCTTGCATCGTACAGTTTCTATCGCCAGCCTCACAACTGCCGAGCTTCACGTGCTATACTTGCTGGTCTACAGTTCTTTATGTTTCGTTGCATCCATGTCTCTACGCACGACGAGATAAACATACATTCGACTTGCTAACCCACATCACCACCACCACCACCACAACATCAACTCGCCCCCCCCGAGCCACCCAACAATGGCACGACCCGGTTATGGCGGTGTCCTCGACACGCCAGGGACCAACGTTGGCGACGCGACATATCTCGATCGCCAGCCCGACTTTGACATGTCGCAAGAAGTCTCCTTCCAGTCACCGGCCAAGGACAAGAACATCTTTCAACAGCTGCGCAACGGACGACCGAGCCTCCGCACACCACGCGGTCGCGGACCTCTGGCCGACCGAAGAAACCTGCCGCTGCAGGGCGCCGAATTCACGCCCATGCTCAAGTCGGCCACGCGGAACAGCGCACGACGCGCCGCCTTTGGCAAAGAGAACGGCGCCGTGCCAGCGACGCCCGCCGCCCTTGACAGGATCGAAGAGGACCTCACGCCCATCCCCAACGCCGACGCGTCCATGTACTCGCGCAACGCCTCCTACGTCGACAACACGCTGCCGCAGGTCGACACGAGTAGTGCCAACTCGACCCCGCTCGTACCACTGCCGAGGAGAGGAGACGGCAAAGGCCCCTTGCAGGACGGCAACCAACTGTCGCTGCGCGAACAAGAAAATGTCATTGACCGGATCGAGAAGGAGAACTTTGGCCTGAAACTCAAGATTCACTTCCTCGAAGAAGCCCTGCGAAAAGCCGGGCCCGGCTTCAGCGAGGCGGCTCTCAAGGAGAACACGGAGCTCAAGGTCGACAAGGTCACCATGCAACGCGACCTGCAGAAGTACAAGAAGCACCTGACGACGGCCGAAAAGGATCTCGAGAGCTACCGTCAACAGATGCTCCAGCTGCAGGAGAAGGCCAAGAAGAAGTATGCCGACGAGAAGCAGTTGGCTGAGATTGACCGTCTCCAACAGTCACTGGAGGAGAAGGAATCAGATATAGAGTATCTGCAGCGCCAAGTGCAACAAGAAAAGGGAGATTCGGCAGAGGTCGAGAAGCTGCGAGACGAAATCGGAGACCTGGAAGCAGACTTGCGCGAAAAGGACCGCCTCATTGGCGAACACGAAGACCAGGTTGATGATCTCCAAGCCAAGCTGAACGAGAAGGACGAAGTCCTGGGTGAACGCGAAGACGAGATCGAGGATTACAAAGCCAGGCTGAAGAGGGCAGAAACAAATGCTGCTGGAGAACACGACGAGCAACTCAAAGATCTCGAAAGCAAACTGCAAGAAACGGAGGCCCAGTTCAAGCACGCACAACGGAGGATGATTGAGATGGAGCAGGAGGCCGAAACGCAATCCCGGCAAGCGCTGCGAAGAATCACCGAACTCGAGCAAAAGGCCGAGGACGAGTCCAAGCAGGCTCAGCAAAAAATTCTCGAGCTCGAACGAAAGGCCGAGGCCGGTTCGTCGGCCAACGACGAGTTGGAGGACGCCAGAGACACCATTCAAGACCTCGAGGCCAGCATCCGACGGTTGGAGGCTCAAGTCGACGAAATCCAAGACAAGGCTGACGACGCCATTTCGAACAAGAAGAGGGCAGAGAGCGATTTGCAAGAGCTGCAGGAGGAGATGGCCAACAAATCAGTCGTCACTAAGGGGTTTAGTCGTCAAAAAGAAGAACGACTCACCCGCCTGCAGAAGGAGCTGGAGCAAGCTGATGAGAGATACGCAACACTGGAGAAGGAGTTTTCTCAGGCAATGACTGAAAACCGCAGCCTCAAATCATCCATCCAGGAGACACGGCAAAGCAAGGACCTCTCTGAACAAGAGCACCATTCTCTCGTTACGAAGGTCGAAGAGCTAAGGAAAGAACTTCAAGCGCGGATTGACGAGAAGAGCCTGCTCCAGACACGACACGACGCGTTGACCAGCGAGTCTGCCTCTCTGCAGCGTGATGTTTCGCGGTTGCAGAGATCCGTCGATGAGTTGGAAGAGAGCCTCTCTCAGGAACGTGATCATGCCCTGGGAATCGAGACACACATTCGCAATCAGTTCAAGGGAGATATCGACCGCCTCAACGACGAAATTTCGGATCTTCAAGCCGAGATCCGCGAACGAGACAACTTGTACGACAACGACAGCGAGAAATGGGAAACGGACCGCCGCACGCTGCAGTCGGAGCGTGACCGAGCACAAGAGAAAGCATCGAGCCTGGAAAGCACTATTGCTCGGCTGCGCGAAGCGGAGGGCAACCTATCCGGAAAAGAGGCACAACTTCAGGAGGCGTTGCGAAGTGAGGCTGAGCGTCACAAGAACGAGCAAGCCAGTCTCAACCGCCAAATTTCCGACCTGCGACAAGATCTCGACTCTCGACAGTCGATGCTCACGGAGTTGCGCAATGAACTTTCCGCGACGCGAGACGATCTGCGGCAAACCCAGGTTGACTACAAATCACAGTCAGAGAAGATCGAATCACTAGAGGATGAGGTCGAGGTTCTGCAAACGACACTGGATGAAGAGTCTGAACACTCCCGCGAGGAGCTTGAAGCTGCTCGACGCGAGTGCGAGGACCTCAAGCAACAACTCGAGTCCCTTCGCCGCACTGCCGACCTGGCCCGTGGTACCGCCAGCTCATACCAGCAGAACGAGACGCGCGCCAGTGCGTCCCTCGAACGACTGCAGACGCAACTAGATGACTCAACCGCCCAGGTGGTCAAGCTTGGCAAGGAGAAGAAGGACCTGCAGGACCAGCTTGCATCTCTGGATCTGGAAATGCGCTCGCTGAGGAACTCGCTCGCTGAAGCGAGGGCTGAGCGTGACGAGGTCGAAAGTGAAATGAAGAGGCTGCAGCACTCAGGCGAAGAGACTCTACGCGTCGATCGCGAGAGACTCGACCTGCGGACTGCCAAATTGAAGCTCGACAACGAGGTGCGCCGCTTGAAGGAGGAGAACAACGTGCTCATGGAGCAGAGGAGATCGCTCGAGAGATCGCTGGAAGATGAGATTGACAAGTCTGCGGAGGAGGAGGAGCGTCTCAACCAGGAGATCCTCCAACTACAGTCCAAGCTCAGAGAGGCGTCGTCTTCTGATGGACCAGAGTCTTCATCCACGCGCAGGACCATCCGCGAGCTTGAGCGACGCATCCGAGACTACGAAGATCAACTCGCCGCCACGACCAATGTCCCCGTCGGTAACGTCACGGAGGGCAACAGCGAGTTGTCACTTGTCCGTCGCGACCTGTCAACTGCCCGACAGAGGGAGCGCGAGTTCTTGCAACGTGAATCAGCGCACAAGGACATTGTCAAGAACCTCAAGCGACAGATTGCAGACCTCGAGCGCCAGGCCCACGAGGCCGAAATGTCTCGTCTCATCGCATCGCCAAACTCTTCCAGCACGTCCGCTCGTCCGTCGGAGGTCAACAGCCTCCGCACTCAGCTCTCATCAGCTCAGCAATCGGTGCAAGAGTTCAAGACCAAGGCGCGCGATGCCGAGCGCAAGATCGGGCAGATCGAGCGCGACTTCCAGTCCCGCCTCGACGACCTGGAAGACCAGAAGGCGTCGCTCGAGCAAGCCCTCGAAGACGCGCAGCGTGACGCCGACGAAGTTACGGTCCTCCACGAGAAAGCCCTCCGCCGTCTCAGCCAGAAGCTGGACAAGTCGGAACGCGAGCGCAAAGCCGCGGCCTCGAGCCGCCTCAACCTCGACAGCATGTCGTCCGAGCACCGCAACCTCCAGGAGCTCCTGCAGCGGTCCGAGGCGGAGACGGACGCGCTCGAACACGACGTGCTGCAGCAGCAAGACGCCATCGACGCCCTCTCCGCCGCCGAGGCCTCCCTCCGCCGCAAGCTCGAGCGCACGCGCAGCGAGCGGGCCGCCTACAGGCTCACAGCCGAGAAGCTCCAGCGCGACATTCGCGAGCTCAAGGCCGCCGCCGACACGGCGCCGCAGGGGCCCGCCGTGTACGACACGCTTAACGAGTCGGCCATTGACACGGTGATCCGCGCGGCCGAGGGCGCCGAGGAACGTCACGGCAAGGAGCTCCGCGGCATGGCGCTCCAGATGGAGTGGATGCAAGCGCGCTGGGAGCGCGAGGTCAGCATGCGCGCCGACGCGGCGTACGCCAAGAAGTTCCTGCAGCTGGAGCTCGAGGTCGCTCACACATGGTACGTCCACTGTCCCCCGTTGCAACAGCAGCAGCAGAAACAAAACGCAGCTAACCTGTCTCTTCTCCCCGCAGCAACAAGGCCCAGCTGCGCGAACTCGAGCAGATCCGCACCGAAGTCCTCGGCAGCCGCCGCGCGCTCGCCGCCCCGCCGCCGAGCCTTGCCGGCCGCCTCGCCCGCCCGCCGGGGTCCCGCCCGACCTTCAAGGCCGTGGCGACGATGGCGCGGTTCGTGGCGCGGGCCAAAATCTGCGCGCGCGAGTGGGCCAAGCACGAGGCCACGCGCAAGAAGCTCGCCGACAGGGTCGAGGAGATGCGCCGCATCAAGAAGAGGAGGGGGCTCAAGGTCGTCCGGGAGGAGGAGGCGCACGCCGTCTGAGCGCTGCGTGGGTATGTTGTTGTTGTCGTCGGACGGGAAACGATTCCGCTGGGCGAGGAGGGTCTGGATGGCGGGACGGGGGGCACGATATGCTATGCCGCTTGTTGGCGTTGTTTGGGTACAATGCGTGCACTAGCCCTTGAAAGGGCAGGGATGGACGGCGTCAAGGTTATGATGGGTTTTGGGGTTCGGGTTTTGCATGAGAGGGCTGGCTTGGCCAGAATGAAGAATGTCATGATCCCGCTTGTGCGACTTTTTCCTTCAGTCATGTTAGCAGTGGCTTTGTGACTCGCGACATGTCGGCAGAGCACCATCTTCCTGTGGCAACGGCTGCTCCGACGAGTTCATTGACACCTCTGCACCAAGTTCGGACCAAGATGGTTTGACAAGGTTGCATTACGAGTATGCGCTGCTACTACAGAATCGTGCAACTACCAAACTGGGCCACTGCTTTCTCACTTGTCCAACAAAAACATCGCCAGTCTCCATTGAATCTTTCCGAAACAAAAACACATCCATCCCACTTCTCTTCGTGAACCAAAAATGCAAGGCCTTTACCCTCCCCCTCCTTCCTGCTCTTGAAACTGCCACCCTATCCAGGGGTATTCGCTGATTCGAGCCCAGTGAAGCGAGCGCTGAAACTTTTTCATATACAAGACGGGGCCGTAACGCGTGAGGTATGATTACATGACGAAGAGAAGATTCGTGTCTGTGGTCGTCAGTAACGAACGAGGCACCATCTAGGCGAGAGGACTTACTCAGCGGGTGGCTGCAGGACAGCTGAGGCTTCTGCGAGTACTTGGCCTCGAGCTCGTCACGGATGCTGTTGAGCAGCTGCACATAGCTCTGCTGGGGGTTCTTCTTGAGAGACGTGATAAAGGCCCACGACATGGCACCGGTGGCCTGCTGAGCAATAGTGGCGTCCGCACTATAACGGTAGTTAGCATCCGTACCCACATCGTCGACGCTTGCTCCAGGAACAAGGATGCTTGGTGGCCCTCCGCACTTGCGGCGCGCCAGTGATCCAACGTGACTCGTCGCCCCAGACGCAAAATCGGGCCACAACATGGGCCGACTTCGCGTCTAGGACGTAAAGACAAGAATCTTTCCTATACTGCTAAAACGGAAAGGGGAAAAAAGCCATAATCGAAAAGCTGGCTGGTGGCTGCCAGTTCTTGTGTCCCCAATGGACTCCCGTCTCCCAAACTCCCAGCAATGCGGTGAGCACCGACTGTGTGAAATCGCTTTCCTCCCTCTTCTATAAAATCAAGACCAACATCCAGGTTTTCGTCGTCAAACATAAGAGACATATATGCTGGGGTATACATACGAGGTTTGGTCATCCTTGCTGCCGGAGAACATAATGACGTCTGCCGGAGACGTCTTGGTGGCCATGGTACGCTGGTGAGCGTCATCGCCGTTGGTGGCCTTCTTGAAGAAACCCATGATATTGTTGGCCACGCCGCTCATGTCGCCCTGCGTGTACGACGAAATGACACCCAGAAGACCCTGGCCGGCCTCCTTGGCCAGGTTTGGCTCCTTGAGGATGCCCTGGGTGTTGTAAACGTAGGGAAGGTCGAGGGCGGTACCGGAGTGGCACGAGTCGAAGATGGCAGTCAGCCTGACGCCGGGAGGCAGAGACTTGACCATGATCCTGTGCATCTCATCATCGACAATGTGGCCGACCTGGCGGAAGTCGACAGGATACACGACCTCGTCGTAGCCATCGTCCTCATCGCCATCGAGATCCTTGGTCTGACCGCCATGGCCCGAGTAGTGGAAGAAGAGAGAGTCATTGGGCCTGGCATCCTTGACCAGCCAGTGCATGGCACGCAGCAGGTTCTGCTTTGTCGGCTGGCTGACGGGGTTCTGCTGATCATCCGTCAAGATAACCATGTCCTCTCGCTTGTATCCAAAATTCTCCACCAGATAGGCCGACATGTTCTTCACATCGTTGATGCAGCCCCGCAGCTGGCCGCGCTGGCCAAAGTAGTTGATGCCGATCAAGAGCGCTTTCCTCCTGCCGGTGCAGTTGGAGTACTGGAAGTTGTAGTTGCTCGGGGCGCCATGGCCAAACTGCTGAGGCGTTGTCGGAGGAGGCGCCGGAGCGTTGTGGTTGCCGTGGACGTAGGCATTTGAATTGACTGTGGGCATGGCGGGTCTGCTGTTGTAATTGGGCTGCGGCGGGCCGTAGCCGCCGTTGTAGGGCTGTTGCTGCTGTTGCTGAGGCGGTGGCTGATTCGGTGGTCAGTGTGACAAGTCCAAGACACGCAGCGTGGGACGGACGACGGCAATTGGGGGAATACTGACAGGTCCGTTGTAACCGCCATACTGCTGGGGAGGCGGCTGGTTGTAGCCGTAACCAGGACCGGGGCCGGCGCCGGGCGGAGGGCCAGGTCGAGGCTGCTGGTAGCCATTGTAGGTGGGCTGTTGCGGTCTGCGGTGGAGGATTGGGTCAGCAAGGCTCAAGGCTGTGCACCAGATGAGATCCGAAGTGGTCGAGGCGCACAGAGAGAGAGAGAGAGACGGAGGGAGGGAAAGAGATGAGCGTTGGGGTTGCTGTCGCGTGGAGGAGACCGAGAAACATACGGGTAGTAGCCGCCCTGGTGCTGCTGGTGTTGCTGCTGGGGGGGGTAGCTCTGCTGAGGGGGGCCGTTGTGGTAACCTCCCCCGTGGTAACCCTGACCCGGATAGCCGGACATGGTGATGGACGGCGGGCGGTATGGGCAAGCAGGCCTCGGTGACAAGATGAGCGGCGCGAGGCCGTCAAGGCGACTCGAGGAGGTGGGTGACGAGGTCAAAAGTGAGATCAGTCCTCGATTGACACGGACAGGTCGGGATGGCGCGTGGCTTTATAGACGGCGAAGGGGAAGCCCAGGCGAGAGACGAGAGACCAGGCGTCTAGGCGTCTAGGCGTCTATGAGGTGAATGTCGCGATGGTGTGGAGCGGACCGTTAGCGGAGGCAAGCGAATCCCTTGTTCAGCAGGAGCCGAGAGAGGGGAGGGGTGTTCGAGAACAGAGCTATTGAAGATTGTATCGTGATGCTCCGGGTGCTAAGAGGAGTGGAGGAGGGACCAGACCAGACCAGGGGGGGTGGGGGTGGAAGGGTCAAAGGCGAGGTGAGCGACGCGGGGGGAGGCTAGCGATGCGAGAGGTGTGTCGAGCGAGGCGGCAGCCGGAGATGTCCAGAACCGCGTCGGCAGTCGTTAGGGCAGGACGAGGGCGAGCGGTGTGGTGCGGTGCGGTGCGGTAGGGTAGGTAGGGATATAGAAGAGAGGAAAATGAGGGGAGGGGGGAAGGTTTTCTGGGTGTGTGCGAGGGGCAGAGAGAGGGTCGGTCGGAGAGGGTCAGAGGTCAGAGGGCCGCCCAGAACGAGAAGAGGAGGGCCGATGAAGCGAACGTGAGAGAAGGAGCAGGACCGAGACCGAGACGACAGTGGAAGTTGCTGGTACCTTATTCCTGCCTCGGGACAATTTTCCATGTCCCAAAAAGGCCAGGAGCTGCTGCTTGGCCTGGCTGTTGTCTGGCAGCGACGAGCGACCTCGCCGTGGCTACCTTCCCTTACTCACGCAACTTCAGCTTCCACAGAGTGGGATGCCACACATCACTGCCTCTTTCGCTGCCTCGCTGCTGGCGCTGGAGCTGCCACTGCCACTGCCCTGCCCATCGTGCGCTTGACGGCTCGGGCGGACTTGCCGGGTGTGGGGCATCTTAGGTCTTGGTCTTGGGTCTTGGGTCTTGGGTCCTGGGTGCTTTTAGGTGGGATCAGATGTACCGTGTCATTGGGCACTAACAAGGATGCGTAGGTAATCTTGGGCTAATCTTGGGGGCACTCTTGACGACGCCGAGGCCCGAGTACCTACCTAAGCAAGCTAAGGTACATACCTACCTACCTAGCTAGATACCCAAGGCAGCGGCGTGTCAGCGGGCAGTTTGCTGACTCTGGCAGGCGCAGAGCAAGCTGACTGCCCCGCCCCATGTGCTGGAAGTACACACTGATAGTGCAGCGGGGTCAAAGTACTTTTCTTGTGTTCCGACCTGCCTTGCCTGCCCACATTGGTCTTCTGCCAGAGGTGCGCATCTTTCCCTCTCGACTCGCCGCACCTCTCGACTTCAGCTTTCCAGGCACCGTCCCAAACCCTTTTCGGCAATTGACAGCCGCCTAGCAAAGACACCGCCCACTTTACCGACAAGGCCTTGGTCCACGTTGCTTCTCCAATGACCTGCCATGCCTTGGCCAATGTCATTGGCAATGTCATTTGAGCGTGCGCGATCATCATCACTGACGAAGTTCGATGACGGTCTCGCAGTCCTCACTCGCTGGAAGGCTCAGCTCGAGTCCTGCAATGCCTGCCATGCCTGCACAACCTGCAAGGTCTGCCAGGTCGGCCACGCCCTGCAACATCAACAAACCAGGGTCCGGCGCCTGATCCTCAGCCGCACCCAAGGGGGGTTCGCTTCTCGAGACGGACCGTGAAAGCGTTCGGAGTCGAAGACTGCGCTTCGACAATCGTCCAGTCTTGCTCAGCGCACGTCAGCATCTGGGGCGAAAATTCTCGCCCCCTCGTACGACATGACTAGGCGAGTCGTCATGCCTCTCTTGTCCGCTCCCTCCTTCGTCGACCGTATGCCTAACGCCTAGCTTCGTGGGGCATGCCGAAACTCCATCGCCTTTTCTCGCTTCTGTCCCAAGGGGCCTCTACTCTTGTGATCTCGAGACCCGCCCTCGACGCCGTTTCGCGGGGAACATCACCAATGTGGCCAAGTTCAGGGTCCAGAACCATCACATACACGTTTTTCCACCCCAACACCCTAGCCTTCAGAACGGCCCACGGCATCGATCATTCCACAACAACTGCCGGACATTTCTCGTCGTTGCTCGTGTCGTGCCCCATTCAACGGCCCGAACCACGATCGTGGCGAGCCTGTGACTCCCCTTAGGTCAGGGCAGGGCAAGGCGTTGCACATGCAAAAGCAGGCAGCTCATCGCCGTCGTGCTGCTCAGCACCACCAGCCCCTCTGCTGTCCTCGCCTCGACTCGTCTGCGCCTGCATGAGATGAGACGAGACATGCGGCTGCCTTATCGACCCAAAGTCGCCAAAAACATCGATCTGCTTTCTTTTCTGGGCCATGTCCATTGGCGCACCCGAAACACACTGCATCGATATCACGTCGGCCATCACTGCAATCATGGACAAAATGTGCAGCGATATGCACCTCCAGGGGGGGCTCGGCTCTTTTCCCCATGCTCGACTGGGAAAGGTTCCGGTCACGCCGATCCTCGTGGCGCGCCTGAACGACCAGGGCATGCAGCTCGCGAAGTAGGAGCTTTGCCCTCCATGGTCCAATAGGCAGGCGACTACAACGCACCATCCCTGTGACGCTCCCGGCTCTATCGCGACCACACACGTGCTTCTTGGGACGGGGCGCGCATCGGTCGATAGTCAAAAGTCGCAGGAGGAGACGGAGCCTAACCCCCAAGCACATGTTTGTCGTGGCCTCGCTCATGGCAGCCGCAGCAGCACTATTGCCTTGTCCGTTCCCGTGACCATGAGCACCGCTTGCCACGTGGCCAATCAAGGAGTTGCCGGCCTGTAGTGCTGTTGCATCGTTCAATTATGTTGCTTCCTATCGATTCTGTGGGGGGATGGAAAGATGCAGCAGCAGCTCAGAACAGATTCCGTACCCATGGCTGCATCCATCTCACATGCAGTCATCGGAGCTTGGACTCCAGATTGAGCCCGACTCGGCTCGTCTCCGGTCTGCTGGGACCACACACATGTGCACCCCGTCGCGGTTGAAGACCACACAGCCAGGCGCCCGGAAGACGACGGCCCCCGGATCTGCCACACCCTCGCGATCACCTAAACATGCCACGTTGAGAGGCATCCCGCCCAACTGTGGCTTCCTGTACGACAAGCACGGACAAGCCGGTCCCGATTCGGACATATTGATCTGTCGTGACGATGCTACACTGCCCCCGCGTGCTGCCGCCTGTGGATGCTGTGACATGGGTGGCGTCTTGCGATGTACCTCATCGGTCGCGGGTGTCTTGCTGGCTTGCTGTTTTTGTGCGTGCTGTGCTATGCTAAGCCTCGGTGGTGCATGCTGATCCGGGGTCGCGCACACCATCTCGATGATTTAGTGTCCGCTGTCTGTGACCGTAGGGCTGGGACGCAGGTCCTGCCTCGTTTGGCCTGTGTGTACCGTAGGTGACTGTGATGTTGTGTTCGGGCGCAGATGAGGTTGACTCGGGGAAGCCGTCCGATGTGATACAGGAAGATGAATGAGGCCGCCGAGCAACTAGGGATGATACAGGTGCGTTCACGAGGATGTCGGGGCGTTCACGAGGGCGCCGGAGTGCGTGCATGAGGACGCCGGAGTGCGCTCACGTGTTGAGACAGGACGTTTTGCAGTTCTGTTATTCTGCCCGCTGAGGTGCCAGCCTTTGGCTGTTGTTGATGCCCATGGTTGTGCAGGACAGAAAGGAAGGACGCAAGCACCTTCGTTCTGAGGTCTTGACAAACGGACCAGGCGATACTATTCAGCTTCAGAGAGTGTGTAGATCTGGTCGTCATTCTAGACGCAGGGAATCAGTGCAGGTGGTTTGCGTACGTAGCATCTATCCGTGGCTAGCATCAGAAGTCGAGCAGCAGTCTTTTCGCCACTTGAAACGTGGTGGCTAGGGATGGCGGGGGTGACTGTCACGGCAGCATCGGATGTGTAGGTGTTACCACGCACACGTATTGTAACGCCCACCAGGGATATTTGTCTCTTAACGATGCCCACACTCTGATAGTCACGAGAGCATGGCATCGAAACGAAGGGACAGTCTGCCTTTCAGTACCGTCGACATCAATGGACTGTGGATATTTCCGGCTTTCATCCTGTACTCATGGCGAATTGTCCTCTCTCAGTAGTCATGGCGAACTGTCCGCCCTGATGCTTGTCAAGTGACTTCAACCCACTGTCCCAGCCAACAACGGATGACGAGCCAACGGCCTAGGCGCACTGCATGGAAACCACTACACGCACAAGGAGCATGCGCTGCTTGGTCGGGGCCAGTTCTCCGATCAGAAATATGCGAGGCATGAGGCGCCGATGCTGCCACCTCGTGACTCCGCCCAAGCAGCAAGTCCAGATCGAACGGCACGACTTAAAATCAGATCAACCCATTGCCCAAGATCACGGCTCCAAGTTGTCCGCAAAACCCAGCACATCTATGCGTGAGCCGTTCTCTTCGTGTGAAGGTGACATCACAGCTTTGGTGTACAGCCTGTGCTTCTGGGAGTTGACCAATCCTCCAAAGTTGGCGAATACTTCGATCCAGGGCCACCCCCTCCCGCAACCTACATATTTTTTTCCAGCCTTCCTCTTGCGAATAGGTGTATACATGTGACCGAGACGCAGATAGTGCAACCCTCTGATCAAATAAATGTCTGCGCCGTCATATACGAATTCAGCTTGTGCTTCTCCTCCAAGTGTATACCGTGCCGCAATAGTTTAAATAGTAGAACGTGAGCTTGGACAAGTCTACAATGAGCCACATCCGATGTACGGATGCCAGCGCTTGGGTTCACGGCGAGAATAGGCTCTGTTCACACTTGGAACCAAGGCCAAACGAGTTGTAGAGTCCCTCGGGACATTACGCGGACACGTGACTGCACCAACAAACATCACCAAAGTCTGTCAGCAAAAGCGACACCAGAGACCACGACCGTGAAACGACTCTTTGTCGGTAGATTGAAGCCAGACTACTGCGACTCCACGCAACGCTGGCTGAGACACAAGACGTACCCGCAGGCCCCCTTGACGAAAGAGATCTACGACCCGTTGCCGCACGAGAAGACGAAAAGGCATGCTATGCGAAAATGCCGCCCATACTCACCCTCCCTTGCCGCTGCCTTTACCCTCCACCCAGCCTAACCATGAGCTCGGGACCGGAAAGTGGCAGCCCCTCGACCCTGCGAGTCAGGTGCCCGCCATCTTGACGTCCTCCTCCTTGGAGCCGCGCTCCGGCTCGGGCGCCCTCATCATCCACGCCATGACGCCCCAGACAATCTCCATGGCTTCGATCCTCTGGTCGACGAGGAACAGATCAAACCATCGGCTCCTCCGCACCTCCAGCCCACCCCAGCTGCGCTTGCCACCGACGTACTCATCGGGCGCACCGCCTAGTACCTCGAGCAGCCGATCCGGCACCCTCACCCGCAAGATGCTGACGTGGTGGAACAGCGAGCTCACGACGAAAATGTCATCGTATCCCGCCCCCCTGGCCTTTCCAATGGCCTCATATCGTGTCTTCTGGTCCCACGACGCCGAAGGTGGACGCACCATGCGATAGTTGTCATAGATGCTCATCTGCTTCCGCGGCCGTTTGCTGACAGGCATGCCCGGTGCCGCGCCCGGTCTGGCGCCTGACGAGGATGACCCGAGCGCGGCCGTCGCCTGCTCAGCTTTCCTTTCGTTGCTTGGTGCGGCGTCCTTGTCGCCGGCAACGACGTCTCGATCGACTTCCCGACCGATAGGCCCGCCTTGGCCACCACCCCAGCGCCGTTCGGTCGTCCACCACTGCCCATCGCCGGGTCGGCGTTCCGTCTTGCCCTCGCGCGCGCGGTGCTGGGCTGTGATGAGCGCAGCGACAATCTCACGGGCAAAGTCAATGGTGTGGTCAGCTTCTGTATCAAAGTTTGCGGACGCACGGGCCGAAACGGCACCGAGAGGTCCATCCACAAGGCCCTGTCGAGCGGCATCACGGGTGCGTGGACTGCGGAAGATGAAAGTGCAACCCGAAGCAAAGTACGAGCTACGTTGGTGCGGTTCTCCTGAGCCGCTGCTGGTCTTGGAAGAAGACGCGGCGGAGGGTGCGATCAGGTGAAGACGGGGCTCAGCGCGCGACGCAGAGGCATTGCAGCCAAAGTCGTAGGCGACGAGCTTGAGAAAGGCATTCACGAGATTCTGGCGATAGTCACCAGGCATCGAGGTGCCGGCCGCCGTCCTGACAGCATGCACTGGCTCTTCCGACGGTTCTCCTTGGGTGGACACATCCGTACTCGCCGATGAGTCATCTGCGGTAGCAGCAGTAGCAGCGTCGTGAGCGGGAGGGGTAGGCTTTGAGGTGTCATCCCAAAATGTCGTGAATGCCTCCAAGCAGCGATAGAACTCGTAGGCGTTTCCCAATCGAGCCTGCTGCTGTCCCTTGAGCGGCGGCAGGCGTCTCACGACGCGATAGGCATCCTGGTTGGAGATGGACAGCTCGCGCTTGCGATCTTGGTAGGTCTGACAGCCCGGAGACTGAACGCCGGTGTTCAGAGGACGCTTGGTCTCATCGTTGCGTTGCCGGGCCTCGTCGACTGACAGCGCATCCCAGGTGGCAAAGTCGGGGACATAAGCCGGGTCGGGCAGCAAGTCAGCGACAGCCGTGTCGGGGATTACATGAACGCCGAGGGCCTCGAAGATGGAGGGCGCAACCTGGCCGGGGCGATAGACGGTCTGGATGAGGTGGACCAGAGGCTGGGCGGAGGATGCAGGTGGCGAGGGTGGTGATTGCAGCTGAGGCTGGCTGTGAGGTAGGGCGACGGGGGTCGGTGGAGGAATGTCCTTGGGATCGATTTTGGCGTACCGTGGTAGGCTAGCTATACTGGTGTAAGTTTGATGACGCCAACGTGATGGATGGCGGCGCAGAGACTCGTGTCATGGTGGCCCGCCATGGGTATAGTCATGGTCGACTGACAGACATATACAGGCCTCAGACACTGTACAGCAGAATCGGGACAGGGAATGCAGAAGGGCATCATACACAAAGCCGGAAGGCTGGCATGCCGGCATGGGGGATGGACCAGGGGAGCAGATCAAGCACGGGAAACACTGAACGCGGTATGAGGAGGCAAGCGTGGGAAGGCAAGAGTGCATGGCAGTGCTTTGGGAATCAAGATGAAGCGTTTCGCTAGGGTCGATGCGTACAGGGATGGAGGAGGGAGGCTTGGGGTGCAGGGGCGTGGTAGCAAAGACGATTTGAACGGGAAAAGAGAGAGGCAGACAGAGGCAGAGCCAAATTCGCAGGCTTACACCCAGGCTGAAACTTTGCAGACTCGAAAGCAGAGACTCGAAAGCAGAGACTCGAAAGCAGAGCATAGGAAGCAGAGCATAGGAAGCAGAGCATAGGAAGCAGAGCATAGGAAGCAGAGCATAGGAAGCAGAGACTGTGAGGAGACAAGACGCAACCGACGTACCAATGGCGGGAAAGGAGCCGAACATGACGGGGTCTGTTTAGCGGATGCTATGCGATGCCGCGTGGTTGTGATGACTGGGGGAGTTGGACAATGGCGGTCGCAGACGGCTCAGGGATCTCGCTTGCCTCCACGCCTCGTGCTATCAACCAACAGCAGCCCACGGCTATAGCCACCTGAGATGGCGGTGGGCGAGCTGATGAGCCAAAAAGTAAGGTTGTGTGATGTTCGGTCGAAGCGAGGTGGACAAGCCGGCGAACGCCTGTGCGCAGCGAGGCTTTTGGTGTGAGGTTGTTGGGCTTGGTGGAGATGGGGGGGAGATGACGATACCCGTCGATCGATGGAGGGAGAGGGGGGGGGGGTGGAGGGCGAGGCTCTGATGCCAATGGTGGTGGTGGTAAGAGTGTGCTGTGTGGTGTTCCAAAAGGCTGGCCAAGACAGCCAAGGCAAAGCTAGGTTGACTGTCTGGGTGTCTGGAAATGAGATGCTGCTGCTGCTGCTGCTGACCGGCAATCAGTTGGCGGGTGGCCCGGGAGGCGTCTCACGATGGGACGCTGGTACGATGGCGAGGCAAAGGCGACGCAGTGTACCTTGGCCTTAGAATTTGGGTGAGCAGATACCTGGGTCGGTGGCAGATAGGGAGCTCGAGCGAGTGACGTAGAGAGAGGCACACACAGAGCGAGTGTGTGAACGGCTGGAGGTGGCGGTGAGCAGCGAGAGGGTTTCGATGTAGGTATTCAGCGCACAGTCCACTGGCATTGATTTGCTCTGTCAATCCCGATATCCGTGCCTCGGGCAGAGGAGTAGTCTGTGTTGGGGAAATCGTCTGGCCGTGAGGGGATTCTCAGACGACGCGACGATTGTATTGCGAGTGACTTGACGTGGACGTAGAGGCAAGTGCAGTGTCGTGTGCACCTTCAGTTTGAGGGGTCGATTCGAGTGACGTGAGGTCAAATCAGGCAGGAAGCAACCTGGCCGTCCATTCCAGCCGGTCCAGACGTCCAGACCGCCCGGACCAGTGACGAGTGGGCGGGATTCAGGAAGCAGGGAAAGAGTGAGGGGTCGAGCCTAGGTCCTGCCCAGCGTCCACCCGCTGCCTCGAGGTATCGGTGATGTGCTGACCTGATTGGGTCAAGGCCACCGTTCTGCGGGGAGCGGCGTCGCACGGGCCGGTGCCGCCATTCGAGAACCGTGTCAGACATCAATGGGGACTGATTGGCCCTGTTCCTGGCTAGTGAGGTCTGCTCTCTGGGCACCTACCTTTTACCCAAGGCACCCAAGGTAGGTAGGTAGGTACATACAGTAAGTACATGTGGTACAGTGCTCTAGTCAGGGCCGGTGCTTTTACTTTCCCGTCTGCCTGATCCAGACGTCGTCCTCCTGCTCCCCTGAACCCTGACCCACCGCATCTGCCACACCGTCCGCACGCGAGCGTGTGTCTCTGGCGTTGACTGTCGACCGCCTTTCCCTGCCATCGAGACAGCCGTGAGCTTGCCACGCCGTCGTTCTGGCTGGGCCTTGTTTTGGATCGTGTCTCGCCAGTCGCGTGGCTGTCCTCCCTCGCTGCCCTCTAGCCCGCGCGCGCGGCTCCTCGTCGATCTCTCTCGCCTCTGGCGTTCCTTTCCTAGAATGCACCATGGACAACCTGCCATCTCAAACGGACGGGACGACAAGACGACTAGTGTCTGTCGGCGTGGCGGTGTGCCGTCGCTCATGACCATTGCCCACATCCGTTGGTTTCTTGTCTTTTGTCTAGAAAACACCATGATCGAGTCGAACCCACTCAACATGCAACGCAGAAGCCTCGGCATGATGCGTTTCTCACCTGGCCCGTGAAGCGGGTGAAACGGCAAAACATCATCTAGTACCCGTTGGTTGCCAATCGTGAACCACAGCGGGGTCCCATTCTGGAGAACCTTATGACCGAGTTTGTCTGGCCTGATCCGGCGTTGGGGGGAGAGAGAGAGGTCGAGAGGTCAGAGCAGGTCCCCCTCGGGGCGGAGACATACCCCCCTGCCTGCGTCGTAGTATTGTTATTTTCGGTTCCCCGAGTGGGTTTTCTTACTACCTCACTGTACGATGTCATGAGGCAAGGAGACAAGGAGGCACGTTGAGCACGAGCAGCGGAGGGGTCCGTCATTGTTCGTTCCGATGCAAGGAAGCGCAAGAGAAAAAAAAAGAAGGAGAAGTGAATAAAGTTGCACCACCGTTGCAGTGAAGCACCTCTGATGTGACCTCGTCTTCCCCCTTACTGCGTTTCTCAGTGTCGCGAGAAACAAGATGATACGTTCTCGTCCTTTCCATCGTACAACAGACGACGGAGAAGCCCACAAAATGGAAGCGAGGGAGAGTGAGCAAAAAAACAACCCCCCCCCCCCCCCCCCCAAAAAAAAAACAAGAATCACGAGGTGGAAAACCCGCTCGCTTGGACGTTTGCTGCTTTGCACCAGGACAGCTGATGGTTCGGGCTGCTTTCCTTTTTCAAATGGAAGGCCGGGCTGCTCGGACGCGGTAGGTTTGTCGGTAGCGCACGCCAGCTCGCTTTCTCTTGCGTTGGTGTTGGTGTTGGTCCACGACGGCACGCCAGCGTAATTATAAAGGCAGATAAACACCGCAGCGAGGATGGTGCCTGCGCAAGCGTGGCGCACGCGGGTCGAGGCAGTTGGGCAGACAAGACGACAGACAGACGGAGAAGGCGTGTGTAATGTGTATGTGTCTGTGTATGTGGTGGACTAAGCCTGCTTTAATCTAATGGGTCGAGTGGTGGTGTGTGCATTCATCACGAGAGGTGCGTCAAGTGTGTGTCGAGCTGCGTCCTGGGGCTGCCTTCTTTGCCGTACTCAAGAAGCAAGCGAGGTGGCTCATGTACGTCGTAGCACTCGGTATACTGTCAGCGGGCAGCCAGGCCGTTGAGGTCGTGATGCGCCGTACAGTAGCTCGGGGCAGACAAAAGAAGAGGAGGGTGGCATTCGATAGTCGGCTGTCAATAGCTCCACGTACCTTACAGGTGTGGCTTGTTCATGGAAGTTGGATCCGGTGCTACGACCTCCAGTCTCTACGGTACCTCCAGACGCTACAGTACATGGCTCGCGTCGAGGTTGGAAAGAGGCAATAAGTGGGCCGCCGCATTGGTCGTGCGGCAGGGATGAGGGCGCTGGGCTCCAGGGCTTCAGTGCTTCAGGTCTGTCACAGACCGGGGGCTGTCGCCTCGAGAGAACGTGTCGCCTGGAAGGAACAGTGCCCGCAGAACGGGGTGCTCCCTGCGCTTCCGACGTCAGGGCCCTCGGTGACGCCCCAAAGGTCCCAGAAGTCGACCCCCTGAAGCCCCTCATGCCCCTAATGCCCCTAGTGCCCCTGCCCTCATGCCCCTCTTGCCCCTGCCCTGCAAGGTACCATGCGCCTGCCTCTCCGTCCGACACGCTCGAGCCACAGCCCAGCCCCTGCCGAAGCCTCGTCAACCAATCCTCCCCCTCCACTGTCATCTATCAAACAACCAGCCGCCCATGCCCACGCCGGGATCAACGCCTGGCCAGGCCCCTCTGAGTCCACCAGCACATCGTCAGTCATGGCACAGCACTACGGGGACAACCCAGGACTACCACGTCAACCAGTTCAGCCAGGTCACCCAGGTCGAGGTCAACCAAGCCAGCCAGCTCGGCCTGCTGCGTGATCTCCCTTCTCCCGCTCTCGTCCTGCCCACCCCCCCCTCCAACTCTCCTCCACTCCTCCACGCCATCGTGATCCTCCTTCCGGGCCCCCTCTCCTTCGGCCAATTTTCACCACTAGCACTCCGCTTCCCATCAACCGCAATCTTACTTCGACAGGCATCACTGCAGGCATCGTTCCTCTTTGAGCCGCCAGCCTTCACCCGCTTCGCCCAACTCGTCACCTCCATACAACAAGGCAGTACCCGTCAGGACAACCTCGAGAGCTGTGCTCTCTCTCCTCTTTCCCTGCTCTCGACAACCCAACTTTGTCCAGATCATCAGCGTCTACGGCCTGTATGATCTGTTCCGCAGACTAGATGGCCGCATAGGCTTCCTTAGTTTTTGCGTCTTCTTCTTCTGGACCGACCACCCGTCTTTCGACCCGGCCGGTCTGCCTTTTTTTTTCTTCTCCTTCTCCTTGGACCTCCGGCCCGACGACAAACACGTACATTGGCGATATCGACACAGGATCGAGAGACATATCGACGGCAGACGAGACCGACGACCACATTCCTTTGCCAGGAGCGACAGGCATCGCCAAACGAAATTCAACCTATATACACCATCTCTCGACATGTCGAGCCCAAACCTCCCGGACGGGGCTTTTCTCACGAGCATCAACGGCAGGCGCTGCACCGCCATCCCCAAACAGGGCCGCCAGGAGCAGACGACGAGAGAGGCGCCGACGACGACCGCCCAGCAGCCCACGCCGACGCCTCCTGCGCGCGAGACGCCGACGCCAGCCAACCCGCCGCCTCAGCAGCAGAACCCGCCGCAAGATGACACGCCCGCGAGAGCCTCGTCCTCGCCGCAACCAGATCCGCCCCAGCGTGATCCGCCCCAGGCAGAACCACCGCGGCAGACACAAGCGGATCCTCCGCCGCCGCAGGAATCCCGTGAACCAACGAGTACATCCAGTACGACCACAGCCTCCCCTTCACCTGTCATCACTCCCTCTGCACCCCCACAACCCATCCGCACCGTCATCACACCTCCTCCCGCCTCACAAATACAGAACCCTCTCGTGCCTCCCACGCCCCAGCGGCCGCCCCCGCTGGCCGAGGACGGCCGCGGTCCCATTCTCGTGCCCTCTCTGACACCCCCCTCCCCCATCCGTCCTCCCCCATTAGCAGACGAGCAGCCCAGGCCGGGCCTGCCCTCCCTCTCCCCATCATCACCAGCCCCCGGCAGAGAGACGGGTGCCCAGTCGAGCACGACGGCCAGCGACACGACAGAAACGTCCGTCTTGGTGCCGTCGCCGCCGGCCGCGCCCGTCTTGACGCCGCCCACCTCCCCCCTCGCCCCTGTATTTCCTTCCACATCTGACACGCAGCCATCCGCTGTAGAGAGCAGTCGGACTGATCAAGAAACAGCCCCCACACAGGCCAACCCAGGAAACGTAGACGGGCCCCAGAGCGACGTCGAGGCGCCGTTGGGAGGCGCCTCGTCGACAGACGACGCCGCCTCGCTCATTACCAGCGCCCCCGTGCCCATTGGCGGAGGAGGAAGCCGAGCCGGCGAAGACGCCGTGACGACGACCGGCAGGGAGTCGCCTCTGCTCACGAGCCCGCTGCCAGGAAGCAGCGCCGACGGTGGATCCTCGGGCATGTCGGCAGCCATCATCGCCGGTGCCGTCGTCGGCGGCGTCGCTTTCCTCACCATTTGCGCGCTCCTCTTCTGGTTCTGGCGGAAGAACAAGAAGAAGAGGCGCAGCACGCTACTGACACCCCTCTCGACGCAGCCGCCGTCGATGCGCAAGGAGCGTCCCTACATCTTCGACCAGGAATCCGTCGGACCGACGCCCCGCTCGACCAAGTTCAAGGCGGCGCTCGGCTACAGCCTCATGCGTCTCCGCGGCCAGGTCGGCGGCGTCTTCTCGTTCGGTCACCGGCGCAGCTCGAGCGCCGTGCTCAGCAAGGAGCAGTCGCAGCTGGCGTACTCGGACCTTTCGGGCCACAGCCGTCACGGGTCGAACGCATCGAGCCGGGGCGCGCCGGCGGCTGTCGTCGTGACGAGCCAGGACCGCGCCCGCGACTGGTGGGACAGGCTCAAGATGGACGCCCTCTTCAACTGGCGCACGCGGAACAACGGGCCCATGGACCCTGATCCGTTCGCGTCGGTGCGCGAGAAGCAGAGCGAGACGGTCAACAACAATGTCGGTCAGCCGGACTTTTTGACGCTCCTCGGCATGGATGAGAGGGAGGTCGAGCGCGAGGCGCAGCGTCGGCGGGCCAGCCGCAAACACGGCAGCACGGCGTCGATGGACCACTTCCTCAGCGGGCTCGGCCTCAACGTCGACAAGAACCCGGACCCGTTCTCGGACAGTCACGCGCTGCCGGCGGAGCCGACGCGGGCGGCGCCGACGAACCCGTTTGACGACAGTAACGCGGTGGCGGCGCCGGGGTTCGCGGCCAATGCAGGCCAGAACTACATCGAGGCGCTGCGGCGGTCGCGCGGCACATCGATGGGCGGGCTGACGACGCGGCCGCCGAGCACGCAGGTGGCGCGGTCGTCGCGGTACGACTCGGTGTACCGCGAGTCGGGGGGCAGCGTCGACAGCTTCACGGCGCGGCGCAACAAGTGGCGGTCGGACCCGTTTGACCTCGAGCGTCCGGACCTACTGTCGAGCCAGGGCAGCAGCGTCGTCGGCGGGCGGGTGTCGGGGGCGCTGCGTCGGCCGTCGGCGGCGCACATGCGCAGCGAGAGCATGCAGAGCAAGTACAGCAGCGGCGTGGGCTCGACCGGGTGGAGCGAGCCGGGGCCGGACGTGGGGCCGACGGGGCCATCGGGGCGGTGGGACACGGACAGTCCGACGTCGGGGTACCGACCGGGCGAGCAGCGGCGCAGGCTCAGCGGCGGCAGCCAGCAGACGCAGGGCAGCGTCGGCAAGGCGATGTGAGGCCGCGAGGGCGTCGAGGTGCTGAGGCCGTGGAGGGGAGCTAGGCCGTGTTTATATACCAGGCAGGCGAAGGAGCAGAGATGTGTTTGAATACCCGACGCGGGAGACAGCGCTCGTTGCCGTTCTTTGTTGGTGCTAGTTTGGGGGCGGGGACGGGACCATGATGATTGACTATATCCATTCGCTATACCAGAGTAGGGGGGTGCAGGGACAGGACGGGAAAAGACGCCGGGCCGCACTGGCGGTGGGGATGTAGTGTAGTAGTAGATGCCTAGGCGGTCGTCTAGCAAGACACATTTTATCTGTGGCTGATAGATCTGTGATGTGATGTGGTGGTGATGTGGTGGTGGTGTGAAGTAAGTGAGGGGAAGTGATGGTGATGTGAGGTAGGTGAGTGGTGATGTGAGTGGTGATGTGAGTGGTGATGTGATGTGGTAGTGATGTGAGTGGTTTGTGAGTGGTGATAAGAGGTAGGTGAGGGGAAGCGATGTGGTGAAGCTGGGTGAGGCTGGGTCAGGCAAGGTCGTGATGTGCCTGGTGAGGCTGCACGTGTCGAGGCGCGCGGCTGACGTCGACGTGGCGGTGGAGCAGGGCGGTAGGGCTGTCCTGTCCCGTTCCTCAGCCTGCTCTCTGCTGCTCCTCTGCCCCTCCTCTGCTCCGGACCCAAGGTGGGGATGCTCCTCACCGCAAGAGTCCTGACCGATCTTACCAGGTAGGGAGCAACTTACTTTCGGGGACTCCATCTGCTGTCCCAGCCTCATTCACCATCTTCTACGTATTCACCATCTTCCACGTCCACATTCAACGTCCAACTACGTCCACTCACAGACAGCAGACACCACATCAGACCCCGCATCCAAGACCATCACCACCACCACCATTGGCCGTCTCGAGCCGCGCTGCATGACACATTGATTGCATTCGATTGCCAAAGCAGCACGATCGCCACAGCAGCACGACGGCAACGGCCCATCTTGACACATTGACCTCCCGCTGTCGACGACTGCCTGCGTGCCCGTCCCCACTCGGCTCTGTTGCCTATATCAGGACACGCTGCCTTTCTCCGCTCATCACGTCGTCACCTCGGCCTCTGCGTAGCACCACCACCCCATCGCATGCCCCCCGCGCCCCCTAGCCCAGCATCATGTGGTCCAGCCTAACCCGCCACTTCTCCTCCGCCGACATGGCCGCCGACGACGCGCCCCCCGGCCCACGCCACCTCGCCCACGCCCACACCGACCCCCTCGCCGGCGTCACGGGCGTCTACACGCCGCCGCACCTGCGCCGCACCGCGAGTCCCTTCCGCCCGCCGCCCCTCGACCCCGTCGTGCTCGACGGCCACCGCGCCGCCACGCCCGCCTCCGCCCGCCTCCTCGGCCGCGCCGTCGCCGAGGAGGTCCGCAGCCGGCTGCCCGAGCGCCTGCGCATCGTCGAGCACTGGCGCCTCGTCTACAGCCTCGCCCAGGACGGCGCGAGCCTGCACACGCTCTACGCCCGCGCCGCCGCCGTCCAGGGCGCCCGCATCGGCTTTGTGCTCGTTGTGCGCGATGATGCGGGAGGGGTACGTCTCGCCCCTTCCTCTTCCTCTCTCCTCTCCTCTCTCTGCCGAGATGTTCCTCCTCTCTCTGCCGAGATGTTCCTCTCCTCTCCTCTCTCTGCCGAGATGTTCCTCCTCTCTCTGCCGACATGTTCCTCTCTTCTCTCCCCTTCCTCTCTTCCCTCTCTCTGCCGACATGTTCCTCCCGCTGACGAACAGACCTTTGGCGCCTACCTCTCCGAACACCCGCGCCCCGCCCCCGGCTACTTCGGCAACGGCGAGTGCTTCCTCTGGCGCGCCTCGGCTATCGCCGCCCTGCCGCCGCCGCCCTCCGCCGACACGGCCCCCGCCGCGCGCAGCACGACCATCGCGCCCGACCTCCTGACGGGCGAGCCAGAGACGACACCCTCAGAGACACCCGCCGGCGCCTCGTCTCCAGCAGCACCAGCAGCACCACAGGCACAGGCACCGGCACCGGTCCCGGCCCTCCGCTTCAAGGCGTTCCCCTACTCTGGCGAGAACGAGTACTGCATCAACTGCGAGACGGGCTTCCTCAGCATGGGCGCCGGCGACGGACACTACGGCCTCTGGCTCGACGGCGGGCTCGCGCGCGGCCGCAGCGGGCGCAGCCTGACGTTTGGCAACGAGCCGCTCAGCGACGAGGGCGACAAGTTTGGCGTCTTGGGCGTTGAGCTGTGGGTGCTGGGGGCGTAGGGGCGTAGGGGCGTAGGGGGTGCTGGGGGCGTAGGGGGTGTTGAGCGGGTGCTGAGCGGGTGCTGGAGACGCAGGCGGCGAGGCTGGGTCGCGTCGGACCGAACAGAACTGCAGAGACCCATCTACGCCAGGCGAAAGACGACCAGGCGGAAAGATGTATGCCAGCCGCGGACGGCCAGAAGGACAGAAGAACAGAAGGACATGGACAAAATCAGCTAGATGAGCGAATGATACCCTATTGAACCGCCTGAGGAACACGCCTGAGGAACGAGCTGATGCCGCAGGACAAGGTCGCTCATGGACTTGTCCACATCTTGCCCCCAGATATACCTCAGATATGCCTCAGATGGTACATCTCCAAGCTATGCAGACGGCGATGCATAAGAACCTGCCCTCGGCATAGGCAACGCCACACCTCGACCACGGCGATGCACATGAGCGCCATGCTGACAAGACATGCTGACAAGACATGCTGACAAGACATGTAGACAGAAATGCTGACAAGACATGTAGACAGAAATGCAGACAGAAACACACAGACAGAAGACGCATGTGCGACCAACAGGTCATGTACACATCAGACGGACACGCACCAGGCAGACAACACAAAAAACAGTCAAAACATCCCAAAGTTCCTCAAACCGTACCTGCATGCACCGTGCCTCCATGTCTTGGGGATAGAACTGGAGAGGGCCCATCGCATTGACCGATGGGCGATGGACGCCCTCCTGGGAGGAGCGGGCTTGACCTCGCTCAGCACATACGTCAACATGGTGGTCTCCGTCATCGAATGCCGTGGACCGGTGGTGGATCGCCAGATGATGGGAACCCAGATACTGCCCCCGACCTTGGAAAGTTGGATGGGCAAGCACAAATGGCCCGGGATGCAATGGCAGTACTCGTGCAACACAGATCAACCCGACGGATCCAAGACTTGGAACAGATCCTGGCCATGATGGAACCACGCAGACAGAAGATACACACGGCAAACATACATCAAGGCACGCAGCCGCACACCAATAGAATGCTAAGAAATCGTTGCCTATCCATCGCCGGACAGCGGTCTTGCCGACCTACCCACCGCCACCGCCACGCCACGCACTGCCAAGGACGCCGTCTATCAACCTCGCCTACCGCATAATCTCCTGGTAGATCAGCTGCTTCAGCTGCTCCTTGCTCAGCGTGTCCTTGTGCTTGTCAAAGTCGAAAAACTCCTCGGGGATGGGCGGCGCCGTGGGCTCGTCATCCGGGTCGTGGTACGGCTCGAGGTACGGGTGCTTGAGCGCCTCCTCGACCGTGATGCGCTTGACCGGGTTGAAGGCCAGCAGCTTCTCGAGCAGGTCGAGCGCGAGGTCCGACGTCTTGGGGAACAGCGTGCGGAACGGCACCTTCTTCTTGAACGGCAGCGAGCGGATGTACTCGCGCGCGCGGCGCGACTTGATGCCGTAGTAGTCCTCCATCGTCGGCGTGCCGAGGACGTCGAGGATGAGCGTCAGCTGGTGGTGGTCTGTCTGCGTCAGTGGAGGCGGCACACGGCGTCGGGGCGGCAAAAACACCTACAGTCCTTGCCCGGGAACAGGGGCTTGCCGCTGAGCATCTCGGCGAGGATGCAGCCGACGGACCACACGTCGATGGCCTTGGTGTACTCCTTGAACGTCAACATGATCTCGGGCGCGCGGTACCATCGTGTCGCGACGTATTCCGTCATGAAGCCCGAGTTGTCCTCCTGCGACGCCGCCGAGCGCGCGAGGCCAAAGTCGCACACTTTCAGGTCGCAGTTGGCGTTGAGGAGCAGGTTCGAGGGCTTGAGATCACGGTGGAGGACGTTGGCCGAGTGCATCGCCTTGAGGGCGCGCAGCGTCTGGTAGATGAAGTACTGGCAGTGGTCATCGGAGAGGTCCTGGGTGCGGATGACGCGGTGCATGTCCGTCTCCATGAGTTCCTGGGCTTGTTAACCGTGCTCGCTCGTCGTCCCGGGCGCACATGCTGCTCAGCCTACCTGGATGAGGTACACCTCGTTGAACGTGTCGTAGCCGCGGGGCTTCTGAATGTCGAGGATGGAGATGATGTTCTCGTGGTTGAAGTACCTCAGAAGCTTCATCTCACGCAGGGTCCGCAGACAGAACATGGAGTGGTCGAAAGGGGTGATCTTCTTGATGGCGACCTTCTGGCCCGAAGGCTTGTGTATCGCCGAGCTGGGCGGGCGCTTGTTAGCGAGGCGGCGGGAGACGCTGGGGAACGCGCGACAGGGGAGGCGAGACATACCAGACGACACCGTAGGCGCCCTCGCCGACGACATCCTGGATGTCGTACTGCTCGCTGACGTTGAAGGAGATCTTGCGGGATCCCGAGGGATTAGGGGCGTTGCTGCGCGACATGATTCTGGTGCACGACGAGCTTGTTGGGGGTGGTCGTCTGGTGTAGAGGAGACGGCGTCAAACTGGTGGAGGATCAGGAGCTATGCAGTCCGCCTAAATTATATGGTGTTGAAGAGCCCGTCCTGGTCGCTGCTGGTGAGGCTGACAGGCTGATGTCGAAACAGAAACACACACAATAGGGCGCTTTGGTGGTCTTTGTTGGTCCGGATGATGCCGAAACAGGAACAACACAGTAGGGTGCTTGCTGGTCGAATCCAATCAATGGACTGACATGGAGGGAAAAGGGGGG